GAAAAGTTTTATAATTGTTCATTAGATATATTAATGTAGATATAATGTGCATGAATAAATATATTGAAAATAAACTTTGAATCTTATCTCGGATCGATAATAGATAGCCCTTCTACTCATTTAAAATATGTACAGTAATTACAGCATATCGCTTAAGTAGCATATATTTGTTGGAAAGAAATATATAGTTGTCCTAAGAATTAGTCAAACCTCTTATACTACATGTAATTAGAATATTGAATGTCTCGGTGATTTAACCATCCACATCTATTCTATTAAAACAGAAATACTTTTAGTGCTTGCATCCAAACACTCCTAAAGTTTTTTTTTTTTAAATTGTTTAGAAACTGTTTTAAAATTATTTTATTTTGTTGCAATATTATTTTAAAAACATCTTTTTAAAATATAATTTTTATTCTGAAAAATTGATATTAGTTTAAATATCTAAAGATTTCCTTAAATATATGTCATATTTAATTTAAATTATAACTATTTATTTTTTTAATTAAATTTAATTCTGAAAAATAGATATTAATTAAAATTACTCTACACTTCCTTAAATATATGTTAGATTTGATTTAACATTTGAAATATAAATAATTTCAAAATAACACATATATGATTAACGAATTATTTTTTTTTCAATCATATTCAATCAAACTAAAATTTCACATATTGAAACTGATAAATATTAATATTATACAGTAATTTGATGGAGTGAGTTAGGTATTTTTTATAATTGTGTTCTTAGAGTATCTCCAAGAGATACTTTATATTTGAAGTATTAGATACTTCAAATTTGAAGTATGAGGTGTTTCTCTCCAATGGTGATACTTCAAAATAAACTTCAAAAAAAATATTAATTTGCATTATAGTCCTTCCTATTCAACATAATCAGTTAAAAATCACAAAATTTTATAAATAACATTTAAACATACATTACAGAAAAATCACAAACAACATTAATTAATAAAATAATATAAAATATATTAATAAAATCATAAACTACAATAAAATATTAAATTACTCACTAAAATTATTTTCGAAATACTCTCATATATTGTCAATTGATGCATTTCGAAGTGATATATGAGCTTCTTTATTTTTTATATGTAGATTACGAGCTAAAAATTGTTGAAATTGGGTATTCTCGTTGATTGCCTTTTATTTGTAGATTACGAGCTAAAAATTTATATGTTCTTTTGATTTATCTTTAGTAATGTTATGCTATATTTTTATGTGTTAATATATTTTATTTTAAATACAAGTTGTTTTTTAATTTTATCTGTTAAAGTTATAATTTTTGAAGATATATGTAAAATAATTATGAGATATATCATTATAGAATTAAAATGATAAACAAACATAACTAATAACATTATCTATAAAGATAGATAATTATAAGGACTAAAATTGCAAAAAGAAAGATGATACTTCAAATTTGAAGAATTGAATAGTGATACTCTATATTTGGAGTATCACTATTCAATTCTTCAAAATTTGAAGGTTTGAAGTATCTCTTGGAGTGTAAAAAACTTTAAATATGAAGTTATAGAGTATCTCTTGGAGATGCTCTTATAGAGATTATGTTATCAAAACATGTAGGATATTAAGATAAAATTATTTTAAAATAAGTAAATATTTATATTATATAGAATATAAACATATGGGTTAGAATTATGGTCTTTTAACCATGATTCTTTTCGGATTAATAAAATGAGCAATTTAGAAATATATATTTATAATAATAGTCATTTTTTCAGTTAATAGAATGGTCGGGTTAGAATTATGGTTTTATGATAGTGGTAATAATAATACTAAAAAAGAATTAAAAACAAATTATAATTAAACGCAAAAATAAATTTCTGTCATTTATTTGAAAAATAAATTTATAAAGAAAACATATATTATGTTATAACTTTTGACTAAAAAAAGTCTCATACGGATGCACGGGGTAAAATCTAGTATACTATTACAGTGGAAGCATTTTTTGTGTCCAAACAGAATCTTTTTAGTTCATTACTATTCTGTTTTTAGATAATTATTATTTCTATTACCAAAAACAAATATTAATTTGATTTTAATTTAAATTTATCAAATAAATTAATTTAGTGTAATATTAAGAAAATAATATATTTTAAATTTATATTTTAATATAAATCCAAAAATTTGGATTTTAATTTAGATTTGCTATAGATTTCTTTAATTAAAAGTTATATATTTTATCAAAAATTAAAAAAAATAAATTATTATTATATCTTTACAAAATTAATAAACCAAATATTAATTTAGATTTGATTTAAATATTTAAATTTAAATAATATTTCAATGACAGAGATAAAAATCATATATTTTATATATTTTTATTAAATAAATCTAAAATTTTAAATATTTAAACTTAATAAATATTAAAAATATATAAATAATATGAACAGCCATGTTAGAATTATGTTTTAATAATATTGGGTTTTTAGATTAATATAAATAATCATGTTATAATGACGTTTTTATAATAGTAGTACTTTCTAGATTAATATGAACGGATGTGATAAAATAATATTTTTCTAATCGCGGTCATATATAATACTAGAAAAGTAAATCAATAGAAACAAGTTATATCTAAACAAAAAAAAATTAACTTATTATAAAAATTATATATAAACAAAAATGAAAATAAAATTATATTACATAAATAAAAAAAAGTTCTCATGCGAAAGCACGAAATAGAATCTAGTATCATATTATATTAAGAGTGCTATTTTTTTTTGTCGACGAGAGAGAGAACTATAAAGGGAAGAGATTTATCTCTTATCAGATATATCACGTACATTTATGAATAACTTAAAAAATATGTGAATAACTTCAAATTTTTGGCTAATTTTTCTAATGTTTTTCTAATCGCGGTCATATATAATACTAGAAAAGTAAATCAATAGAAACAAGTTATATCTAAACAAAAAAAAAATTAACTTATTATAAAAATTATATATAAACAAAAATGAAAATAAAATTATATTACATAAATAAAAAAAGTTCTTATGCGAAAGCACGAAGTAGAATTTAGTATCATATTATATTAAAAGTGCTATTTTTTTTTGTCGACGAGAGAGAGAACTATTAAGGGAAGAGATTTATCTCTTATCAGATATATCACGTACATTTATGAATAACTTAAAAAATATGTGAATAACTTCAAATTTTTGGCTAATTTTCTTTAATAATTTAAAAATACAGATAGTAATATTATGAATAAATTAAATTCTTACCTAGATCTATTAAAAATTAGAAAAAAATTTGGGTTTATCCCTAGGGGTGAATTCCTTTGTTCACCCCCTTTTTAATTATAACTAATTAAAATTTGCTATGTAATATTATTTGTAATTAAAATATAAAATTAAAATTTAAGAATTAAAATACTCATTCAAATATTTTATTTTATATATATAAATAAATAATATACATTTAAGGTTACAAATCAAGATTTGGGTTTAGGGATTAGAGATTAGAGTTTAGTTTTTATTTTTAATTTCTTTTAAAATTTAAAAAATTGGATTTAGGGTTTATGGTTTCTGGTTTAGTTTTTATTTTTCAATTTTTTCTTTAATTTATATATTATAGTTTAGGGTATAGGGATTAGAATTCAATGTTTAAGAATTAGTTTAGATTTTTTTTTTTTGTTACTTTATCTCATATATTTTATTTTATTTTTTATTTTTTAAGTCATCTTAAATATTACATAACACATTTTGATTGGTTATAATAGAAGTCGGTGAATAAAGGGATTCAACTTTAGGGGTGAACCCAAGAATCATTTTTAAAAATAGATGATATTTTTTCTTATTAGATTTTTAATTTAAAAGTGAAATAAAGTTGTTTTGAATTTTTGTATGATAAAAATCCTAGTATTTTTTTTCAAACTCTAGAATTAGTTTAGTGATAAAGAGAAAACTTTAGGACTTAATTGTTTTTCTCCCATAATAATTAATATTAAGTCACTGTTAATTTTTTTTGTCAAAAAATCGTTTTAAGAAATTCCTTCAAATAAAATTTCTACTGGCAGTGGGAATTTTACTTGCTTAAATTCAAAAAGGAAAAATACAACTGATCTCTTTAAAATCAAATGAAAACCCTATAACGAAATGAGTTGTTGAGATGTTTAATTAGTATTCAATTATGTCTGTAACATCTTAATACTAATAATTATGTCTGTCTCATAATATATTACAGTTCATGTAGTCAATTATACAGCTGTTAGTGCTAAGATGTTTATCATTGGCTTAATATAGTAAAAAAAATAAATCAGAATTATTTGATTTCAGTATTATTTAATGAAAGAGTTAGGTTGGTTTCCAATTATTATGTATAAAGGCACGTTATTTTTGTCCTAAATCACTAGAAACAAATCTAGACTTCTGTCTTTGGACAAAACTTATTCCCCAATTTATGTTTTATTTATCTGTTCATCTGTTACATTAAAATAAAATCTACAAATATATGAATTTGAAGTGGGAATATATAATCAATTTATTAAATTATACAATCTTTTCTAATATAAGTGATATTTAAGGTTTTTGCACATAAATTAAGAATTTATTTAATATGTATTTTTATATACTAAAATTTTTGTTTATTATCTATTTAAACACAATTCAACCAATAAATAAAAATTTGCAGAATACAAATAGTCATAGAAAAAAATTATTAAATCTGTTTTAAAATTTGAGAAAAAAACAAATTTTTAAAACATCAATTATTTCAGAAGAGAAAGAGTAGTTATGAAAACATTAAAAAAAGTGAACCATTAAACTTCACCATTACCAATGTTTACACGTAGCAAAATAAATTTGGAAAATATAGAGCATTTGCGTGAATCTCAAAACTGCATTTAATACGTTTTAATCAGATTTTTATTTTGAAGTTAGAGTTTGCCAATATGAAGTTGAGTATTATATCTAATTTATCGGAAACAAAAATACATACATTTATATATTTATCTTAAAGTACAATATTACAAATTGGGTATCTTTAGTTTTCTTTCGACCGACAAAGAAAAACAAAACAAAGGAGATAGCAATTTACACAACTCTGAAAGATTCAAGATTTCACATACAAGCCAAAATTTTCACATTAGTCATTAAAAAACAAAAACAAAAACTCCATTTAGGGAATCTTCACAGTTCGTTTCTCTGCAAAATGATTAACCAAAGCAAGAGCATTGCTAGTGACTTGAGCCACGTGAACCACTTTAAGCCGAATTAGCCTCTTCAATTTGCCTTCCATGGCTTGACCCGAGAATCCATCTAGACACGTTGTTTCGTCAGTCAAAGCAGCACTAACCCATGTCTGAACGTTACTCATCTTCCACATGAAGTCCTCACTAGCCACAGCATGGCCAGCTCGACCCAGTTCTTTAACCGACTGACCTAACCGGTCCACGCTATTGCCTAACACTTCGATGCAGTCTTTTATTGCTAAATATTCTCTACGCTTGAAACTTGGCGTTCTACATATACATAAAAGTTTGATTCAAAAGAAAAATAAATATTTCTGAGGGAATCTATCATCATTTATCATGGAATCTATCATCATTTATGAAGCACAAATGTAACTAATGGTATAGAAGAGCATACTCTTTGGTTAGTTTGACGACGAATATAGCAACGGACCTGGCTCGAGCCAAGCTGATGGTAAGAGCCGTTTGGGCGAGATCTTGGTCGTTGTTGTGGCGAATCATGGTAGAGTAAGCAGAGAGAGTATGCACACATAGTGATGGATATCGGGTGGTTTGGCATGATGACACGATGAACCGGTCTGGTTCGGGCCGTTTCGGGTTTGCAGATGAAGATTGGAGAATGGTTGTTGATAGAAGTAGAATTAGAAAGAATGTATTTTTAAGCTCCATGATGTTTTTTGTTATTTTGTTTATTTCTTTTTTTGTGAAGTGAAGAGAAAGTATACAAGGGAATGCTATTTATATAGGATTTTGATTTAGGTCAAAGTAGAGAGACACTTTTGCATATACTAATATTTTTATTACTTATATAAAAATAAAAGGTCGGTACGTAGATTAATATCTCACTCACTTTGCTTATACTGACACAATTTAGCTTTACATTGTGATCCATTTTTTAAAACGTCATTGCATGTATTAATGAGTAGATTATAGTTTCAAGATGAGTCATCTATCAACACATATCCACATGCCATAAGTGAAATTGGCAATAGTTTAAAGTTTGTTTTTAAATTGTTATTGCAACTTTTGTATTTTAAATTAATTACTTTTTTCCAACGCATTGGTGTGTTTATTTGAGGTGCTTATCCATATCATAATGGAAATAACGACAATGGGCTCATGCACATTCACATTTTTCTGTGTACTATTTATATTTCAGCGGATGGATGAGCTTTGATTCCGGGTAAGCAGGCCAGTTGATTAGATATTTACCTTAAAAAATAGTACTTTATATAGATTTTTAATTCCACTATCTTTTTGTTAAAACTTAGTTACTACTGACTATCATATGTTTGTCTGCCACCATAAGAAAAGACCAACTCATTTGAAATGACAATTCCGTGATCAAAGGAAAAGTTCAGTTTACGACTTTGGTAATAAAATAAGTTACAATAGTAGTAACAAAAATGATTATTCTATTTTCTAATTTTAATTTACGTTAATGTTGTTTCTGTATTAATATCAAATTTTAGCTTTTACATGATCCTTTTTCTATATACAACTTCGTTTCCTTTTCCAAACTTTTATATTTAGAATGTTCTTCATAATTTTGATAATTTTAACTTTAGAAAATTTACAACGATATACAGTATTACTATTTACGAAGAAGAAAAATTCATGTGAATTTACTCAAGAACCTCTTTACTCAGAGTCAGAGACCGTACGGTAGCCAAATCAAGACGAGGAAAAAAAAAAAATCAAGACGAGAAGCAAGTGGATGTGTTTTTTTCTTTTTCCAAGTCATTTTTTATTTATTAAACTAGCTAGTATGTGCTCTGTAAACCCAAAAGAAACAAAAAAACATATGCATGTGAAGATAATAATTAAGATAGATGTGTCACAAACTCACAGTGGAAAACAAATAAAAACTAAAGATGATAATGAGAGGCCATGCTTGGAAGTTGGAACCAATAGTTTCATATATGCCACCTCTTTTTTTTTTTTGTTACCAGTAATTTCCTGTGCGATACAGATTTATGCATTTTGTTAATCTTATTTTATTTTATAAAATTTTTTTATGGGACCTTATATTCATCTCTATGTCTCTATTGTTTCGAATTTTTCTGTACATGAAAGTCAATAAAGCAAAGAAACATACACAAGGACAATTATCATCCCTCTAAATGTAGACACATTCATTATAATTTTTGTAAAACTCTTGTTTTTTTAACTGAGTTATAATCCTTACTAAATACGGATCTCAAAATCATGGTTTATTTTCCATTAAACTTATCCTGACTTAGAGATCTGAAAGAAAAAAAGTCTCTTAAAAGTATAACATCGTTCCCAAAAAAAAAAAAAATACAATTCACTCAACAACAACAAAAAATATATAAATACATTTTGCCCGACAAAACAAACATTCCAAAGTTTGATTTACATCATCCTACACCGTCAGGTACTTAAGAACCGAAGCACGTACCTTCTCCATGTAATCTCCTGCTTCTTTCTGCAAAAATTAATAACATCTGAATTTATAAGACGAACAACAATATTTTGATCTTGTAAAGATGAAGATCCTAAATCAATTCAATGAGAGATTTTTCGGTTCAGTTTCGATTAGGATTCGAACCCAAAACGATTTTGATTTGTCTCACCTGGTTTCCTCTGTATGCATTTGCAATGTTTTCATCAAGAAGTGTCAACAAAGATCTGTTGATCTCGTTTTTCTCCACCATATCCAACAACTGCATATAAAAAAAACAAAAAAGAATCAAAAACAAGGGTTCAAAATCATCTCATGAAGCATCATAATGTTTAGTGTTTACAGGTTTATAGTTTTTTTTTTAAAAAGTCACATACCGTCGCTTTTATATCGGTTGAGGTTAAGATCTTGGTTAAGCTATTTGTAGCCGTCATAAGCTCGTTTTGCATTTTGTCATAAGCCTCTGCAAAAGCAAGACAAGTAATCAAAACCCGTAAATCAAGATTTGTTGAGTCAGTGATCAAGACTTTGATTAAGGAAAACAAAAGACGAAGCAAAAACCTATTCCTTCTTCTAATGCTTTCTGTAGTGATTCAAGCTCTATCAATCTATCTTCACTTTCCTGTCAGATTTTTGTTTTAACCCGGAGAAAGTTAGTCAAGTGCTCAATTTTTCCGGTAATGGATCAAATGTCGGTTTGAAGAAAACCGTACCGCAGTTTTCGAAACAGCAAACCGAATTTGCCCGATTTCAAGCCGTATCTGCGCAAAGAATTCGTCGGTTAACCTGGAAATTACAGTAATCATGAAACCATTAACACAGGACTTTTAAAAATCATATCTTGCAACAAATCACGACGAAAATGGACTGGCTTGATATGGTAAGCATCAAAAGCATTTTCAAAGGGGAAATTCATCGAACAGGTGGTGTGCACATTCAACAATTTTCAATTCACGAACCTTCCTCGAAGCCTAGCGATTTCGAACTCAATCTCTTGAGCTTCCGTATCAAGAAAGTACTCGATCAGCTCAGCCGAAGTATCCGGTACAACTCTAGACTGAAACACAACCCAGTGAAGCAAAATCAATGAACAAACCATCGGTTTAATTGCAAAATCTCAAATCAGTATGATTTCAATTATTTACTTGTCTAAGGGCTTGACGACGCTCTCTCTCCTCGCGGATTTGTTTCTGAAAAGCTTCTTTCGCCTCCGAATCTCTCTCTAGCCGGCGCTTGAACTCAAGACGAGCGATATGACCAGTTTGCGCCGGACCTAAGATACCTTTCGGATCCTTTCTTAAGATTAACAAACCCAAAATCAAAATCAAAGAATCATTAAATTAAATTAAGCAAAATAATGGATTTTGATTCTATACCCATTCGCAGGAGATTTTGCTCCTCCGTGAACTGATTCTCGGGATTGTACGGACGGTGTTCGCGACGGCGATTCCGATTGAGAGCGAAGCCATTGGGATGAATTTTTATTTTTTTTCTTTCCTACGAGCTCTGCTTTTTACTAGCTACGTTATCTTCTACTCTTATCTGTTTGTATGGCGGGACATTGTGGCCGTTGAATTACAACGGATGTTTGAGGAGCTTGATTAGATCTTAACCGTTGCTATGTTTTGATCTGACTATCATATTTCGTCCATGTGATATATGAGGACAGGTTTTTCAATTGTGCAAAAGGCCCAATTAATCCAAACATTGGAAGGCCTTTCTATGGCCCGTATAAATTTTCACCGGTTTAGTTGGGATTGTTGCACACACAAAAAACGATACAGCCACAGCTAGAGCCTAGAATTAAGGATGTTAGTTGCACAAAAAAAAAAAAGAATTATAAAGATGTTATATGTAACTTAACAAATGTTTTTGTCTAAAAAATTTCATAGATCAAGCTAAAAACAACCTAAAAAGAATGAGCTCTTTAATAAAATTTAAAACCATAATCAAACTCCTCAACAATAAAAAAAAAAGCCAAAACACAGAGAAACTTGAGAAATTCAAATATCTTTGCTTAACTCTAGCTCGAAGCAGCTAGTTCAGTATGTGTTTATCCCGTTTAGAACACTTGTGGCAAACCTTCTTCTTGTGTTAGAGGCTTTTCCACACTTTGAAAAACTCTTCTCACGGCCACCATTTCCTTCCACTGATTTAGTATTATCAAACAATTGGTCATCATGATACGCACAAACAAATGTGTAATAGAAATAAGGATGTGATAAGTTGTAAAACCACTTAGAACATGCATGCATTATTTCATGCATGTACACATTGCTGGCACGGTTCGTCGTTTTATTATGATTAACTTAGGTTATTATTGGTTTATGAATGTTTTCTACCTTAAAAATATGGTGCTTGGATTGTTATTTGGTCGATAAAAAATTCGTTTTCTTAGCAACAAAAGTTAATATTAACTATTTAGTGACTAAAAAAAAAAAAACTATTTATGTGACTATCATAAACAAACCAAAAATAAAAACGATGCTTATTTCTGCATATTTACACCATATAATAATCGAAATAAGCTTATATGGACTATTCATATTTTTCATATTTAATGCATTCGAACAACTATTTTGCAGTATCAGTAAGGCTAATTGCCAGGTAGCTGCTAAGTAAGAAATTCCATTTGCATGGAAATTTTTAAGATTATATAAAATTAATTAAATATATGCATCATGCATGTGCTTAAGATAATTCCAAAGATCCGTGAATACATTTATAAGATACATTTTAACTATATAAGATTCATGCCATTTCAGACACAATCATCCATAAAATCAAATTATGGTCATATAATAACTCAACATAATGGTAGCCTACGATTTAATTCAATGTACATCAAACAAAAATATTGTTATTCTTATTTATGAAATCAAAATTTATAGAATTATTCTTATTAAAAATAAAGTGACAATTGATTAACGGTTGTGTAAAACTACTTAACTTAAGAACATTATAGAGCTGCATAAATCTATTTGATTATTTCAACCCTAAGTTCTATTTAACATTCCAATTTTAACGCCTAATCGTCGTCTTTATGGATTATATAAATTTCCTATAAACTGGTAGATTGCGTATCGGCATAGGCATGTCTACATATTGAATTGCACAAGAATGTTGGCAAGAAAAAAAGAACGAGTACTAGAATAGTCTCATTTACGTCAAATGACAATTAATAATAAGAAGCATCATTTTCAATAACGTATAATACATTATTACCTGTAAAACATTCAATCTTCTTTAGTCAAAATATCTGGGAGATAACATTTTCCAAAAAAGAAAAAGTAAAAGAAAAAAAGACACACATATTAAATAATGTTGAAAAATAAAGTAAAATGCGAAATGTTTCCTCCTTACCTTAAGCAAAGTTTTGTATTAAAAACCGAACAAATCCAAAACCAAAAGCCACAAGTAACCCAAAAAAAAAAAAAGAGAAAGGAAATAATGACGCGTTTCTCGGCGGTGATAATCTTCGCGGCGGCGATGACGGCGATGGTTTCGGTTTCGTTGCCGGAGGTAAAAGCGCAAGCGCCAACAACGTGTGTGAGCAAGCTAGTCCCCTGCTTCAGTGCCTTGACATCGACGACGAAGCCTCCTAAAGATTGTTGCGACTCGATCAAAGAAGCAGTGGAGAAGGAGCTTACTTGTCTCTGCACCGTCTACAACACTCCTGGTTTGCTTTCTCAGTACAACGTCACTACTGAACAAGCTCTCAATCTCAGCCGTCGATGTGACGTCAACACTGATCTCTCCGCTTGTTCCGGTAAAATCTGATTTTTCTTTTCTTTTTTTTTTTCAGATCTAATCCGGTTCTGTGAAATTAGTGATTTCGAATTTAGATCTGATTTTGGGATGAATTTGAAAAATCCTGATTTCGAGATGTAGAATTTATTCTGAGAATTTTGACAAAATTTGCAATTTTCCTCGTTCAGATTATTAATGTGAGATTTTTTTTAAAAAAAATTTGATATAAATTTAGTAGAAATAATGTTACATTTTTGGTTTATTTTTCAGCATCTGGAGCTCCATCGCCAAAAGCTTCTTTATTACCTCCTCCAGGTATAAAACCAAACTTCACCTGACCTACTCTACTTACATTTATTTTTCTCGATTACTTTATTTCGTTTGCTCAAATTTCTGAAATCAAATGTAATTATTCAATATTCGATTGATTAGTCGGAGAAGTTTAGTAATCAACTCAATTGTTGTTAGTCAAGTCAACAAGTCAACTAACAAAAAAAATTACCAAAATTTTGTTCTATTTTTCTTCTTCTGAAAACGGCAATATCGAGTGTGAAAGCTAGCTTTTTCTTGTACTTACTTTTGCCTCCACTATTGACTTGAATAAATCAGACGAAATCACTAAGAAATAAAACATGTCAGATTAATTTATATATATAGTTTATTTGTTTGATTGACAAATGTTCTTATATCGAATTTTAATTTCAGCTGGAAATAAAGAAAAAAACGCCGGAGCTGGGAACAAGCTCGCCGGTTATGGAGTCACCACCGTGATCTTGTCTTTGGTTTCCACCATCTTCTTCTGAAAACACTCAACCGACATTACCCGGTTTTTCCGGTTGTTAACCCGGTTTATTATTTCTCGAGATTGTTTGTTTTGTGACTTTGTCTAACTTAAAATAATCAAGGATAAAATAATTTTTTTTGTTTGTTCACGTGTATTATTGTCAGTTATCTATGTCCATGTTCTTATCATTACCGGTCTGAATCGGACATTATCAGTTTGTTCCGATTCCTGTATGGCTTTCTGAATTCTATTGGATTTAATCTACTGTGTCTGGATTTATTTATTATAGAAATGGAAAAATTATATTAACAAAAGCAAGACAGCCCAAATCATATTGAGCTCCAAAGAGAGGATATAGCCCAAAACATAGAGGCCCACAACGATGTTTCCATAGAGAGAAGAAATCAGAAGATTCGAGAACCGGAAAACAAACAAACTAAATCACAAACCGGTAAGCTCAATAGGCTAATAAAGAATTTGCTAAACCGGTTTCAGGAGTCCCACTCTCCGTCGTGAGTCTCTCTCTCAGTTGTTGAGGAACGAACACACACTGTTAAGGGTTTAATGAATTTTACAGAGCAATAGAGAGTGAGAAGAAGCCCAAATCACCAGAATCTAAATAAAGAAGATGAGGTTTTCGTTTGCGTTTTCGTGGACGAGAAAGAGATGTGTGCACCGAAATCATCTCAAAAAAGGTAATCACGAAACTGCTCTTCCCTCGATTTCCATTTGTGGTTTCAGTTGCTGGGTACGAGCTTTCTCTGGTGATAGTTGTGATTACAGAGAGAAGATTAGAAATGGGTTTCTACAGAATATTAAATTAGACGATGCAATTGTTTTGTTTGGTGAGATGGTAAAGTCTCGCCCTTTTCCTTCCATTGTCGACTTCAGTAAATTGTTGAGTGCTATTGCGAAGATGAAGAAGTTTGATGTCGTGATATCTCTGGGAGAGAAGATGGAGATGCTGAGGATTCCACATAATCTCTATACATACAATATTTTGATAAACTGTTTCTGCCGCTCCTCTCAGCTCTCTTCTGCTTTCGCTATTCTTGGGAAGATGATGAAACTCGGGTATGAGCCCGATTTAGTCACGTTTAACTCGCTGCTCAATGGTTTCTGTCACGGGAATAGGATTTCAGATGCAGTATCTCTGCTTGATCAAATGGTGGAATTGGGATACAAACCTGATACCGTCACGTTTACAACTCTGATTCATGGACTTTTTCTCAACAACAAAGTCTCAGAAGCAGTGGCGTTAGTTGACAGAATGGCTGCGAAAGGATGTCAACCAGATCTGCTTACTTATGGTGCGGTGATAAATGGAATTTGTAAGAGAGGTTCTATGGATTTGGCTTTAAATCTGCTCAAGAAGTTGGAAGCAGAGAAAATAAAGCCAAATGTTGTGATCTACAACACAGTCATCGATGGTCTTTGCAAATACAGAGATGTGAATGAGGCACTCGACTTATTCAACGAAATGGAGAACAAAGGAATTAAGCCAAATGTTATTACCTACAATTCCTTGATAAGCTGCCTTTGTAATTACGGAAGATGGAGTGATACCTCTCGACTACTCAGTGATATGATTAAGAGGAAATTGAACCCCGATGTTGTCACCTTCAATGCGTTGATCGATGCGTTAGTGAAAGAGGGAAAGCTTTTGGAGGCTGAGGAATTATACAAAGAGATGATCGAAAGGTCTGTAACTCCTAATACCATCACTTACAATTCATTGATCAACGGGTTTTGTATGCACGATCGTCTAGATGAGGCGGAACGTATGTTTGAGCTCATGGTTAGCAAGGATTCTCTCCCGGATATAGTGACTTGTAATACTCTTATAAATGGATTATGCAAGTCTAAGAGAGTAGAAGATGGTAGGGAACTCTTCAGGGAGATGTCTCAAAGAGGACTGGTTGCAGACACAATCACTTACACCACTCTGATGCAAGGGTTTTTCCAAGCTGGAGATTGTGATAATGCCCAAGAAGTATTCAAACAGATGGTTTCTGATGGTGTGCCTCGTGATATTGTGACATACAACACTTTGTTAGATGGACTCTGTAACAACGAGAAGCTAGAGAACGCATTGTTCATATTTCAGGATATGCAGAAAAGTGAAATCGAACTTGATATTGCTACGTATAATATCATCATACATGGGAAGTGCAAGGCTGGTGAGATTGAAGATGCGCAGGAGTTGTTTTGTAGCCTCAGGCTCAAAGGATTGCAGCCTGATGTTATAACATACAATACAATGATCTCAGGATTGTGTAGTAAACGCCTTCTGAATGAAGCGGATGCCTTGTTCAGAGAAATGAAAGAAGACGGGCCTAAACCAAGTAGTGGAACGTATAATACGCTGATCAGGGTACATCTAAAAAATGGTGACAAAACCGCATCATCTGAGCTCATCAAAGAAATGAGAAGTTGCAAGTTTTCTGGAGACGCTTCGACAATAAGTTTGGTTTATGATATGTTGTATGATGGGAGATTGGACAAAAGCTTTCTGAACATGATTTCTTAAACCTAGTTTATCCACAAGAGAAGAGGAATGGTAGACCAACTCTCTTCTCTTCAAAGCATCAGTGAGGTGAACCAAATTATTTATGTCGCTTTTCTAGAAATTACATGTAGAAATAGATTTTTGTGTATTTGGTCGACATTGTGTGTGTGAGCTTCATGAAGATGACTGATACTGTTCTCTATGTATTTCATTGTTAGGTTAACACAAGATCAGTGGTGAGCATCAGAAGAAGAAGAAGATCTCAGACTTTATTATGGTTTTAGTTTATATTTGGTTTTCAACCAAACTTATTTGACAATTCTTAATTTTAATGATTGTTTAGACAAGTTTATACATAGCTCTTTCGCTTCAAATAAAGTAACTTTGTCCGTTGGGTTTTTCATTCTCGGTTCTATTTTCTGTGCACAAATTTTCTGAATTTGTTTCTTATACAAATCGAAATAGACTTAAGTAATTAAAATAGTCACTGATAAACATTGTACAACCATATTTAAAATATAACCGATGATAAATGGTTTTTGACCACCTCTTCTCTTTCTGATTTTGCTTGAGGCATACACTCCGGGTGAGTGAGAAAATTAAACAACATTAAGTGGTTTAGGGGATTCACCGGAAAGTTGAGAATATCTGCAGATTCTGGTTTTGGTATTCTTGTATTTTCTTTACAAAAGTTTGTATTTTCCGGTGACCAGAGTTTGTGCACAACTACTGAAGATTCATGTTTCTAATGTTTGTTAAGATCATACATTCATCTTTGCACGGTTCCATTCCAATATAAGAAAAATTGGAGCTTAATTCATACGAGTCTTAAAGAATCTACCAAAAACTAGTCTTAATTTGGAAATTTAACATAGCAAATATCTTAATAATATACCAATTCTTCTTCTGGGGTAGAAATTCTACTAGTCTAGAAGATTTTAGAGAAGAAAGTTTATGTGTTGATTCGATTTTATTGGTAGAAAAAGTTCTCAAGTGCATGTTGAAAACATGTAACAAACCCCTTATGTCCTAGAAAACATGTAACAAACACCTTGTCTACCCAAAGTGTTTGGTTTGTAGACTTGTAGTGTGCTGTGTTGAGCTTTACGTGATCTTTGCTCCTTATTTACCAAGTTGTGCCTTACAAGTGCTGATAGGAGCTTTTTAGTTTAGAGATACAGACCCAAACCGAAGATCAAACCGATATACTCAGACTTGCCACATCTTGGTAAGAAGCTCAAGTGAGAGCTAATTAAAATATACTCAAAACTTTTGATTTGTTGAAGGGATTGAAGTTTTTCTACAAATTTATCACTTTTTTTGGTTTTTTACATCCCACATGTAAATTCTATTTCTTCTTTTTTTGTAACTTTTTAGGGAAAGAAAAATGGTACGGTGAGTTTAATTTGTATAAGTTTCCAATCATTTCTTGGTTTATTTTTTTGGAACCGGGTTGAGATCTTCGCAATTTTCAATCAGAATACGTAGTCCGGTTTCCGGTTCGATGATAATTACTGAACCGAGTTAGTCTCTGTCTCACACTCTCACTCTCTGGCCTCTGCTCCGTTTAGGTTTTGACAAATTGGTCAAAGTGAGAAGGATTCCTAAAACTTGGACAGAGAAAGGAACCTAATCAGCTCATTTGCGATGCGGAGATCTTTTGCGATTGCCTCGACGGCGAAGAGATATGTTCACGGCCAAGGTAATCTCGTTACTGCTCCTCCGTCGTTGATTTTCTGTTGCTGGAGACGAGCTTTCTCTGGTGCTAGTTGTGATTACAGAGAGAAGATTAGAAATGGGTTTCTAAAAGATATTAAGTTAGATGATGCAATTGGTTTGTTCGGTGAGATGGTAAAGTCTCGTCCTTTTCCTTCCATTATCGACTTCAGTAAATTGTTGAGTGCTATTGCTAAGATGAAGAAGTTTGATGTCGTCATCTCTCTGGGAAAGAAGATGGAGATGCTAGGAATTACACATAATCACTATACATACAGTATTTTGATAAACTGTTTTTGCCGCTCTTCTCAGCTCTCTCTTGCTTTAGCTATTCTTGGCAAGATGATGAAACTCGGGTTTGAGCCTAGCATTGTCACGCTTAACTCGCTGCTCAATGGATACTGTCACGGGAATAGGATTTCAGATGCAGTGTCTCTGCTTGATAAAATGGGATTCAAACCTGACACCGTCACGTTTACAACTCTGATTCATGGGCTTTTTCTCAACAACAAAGCTTCCGAAGCTGTGGCTTTAGTTGATCGAATGGTTGAGAAAGGATGTCAACCAAGTCTAGTTACTTATGGTGCGGTGATAAATGGAGTGTGTAAGAGAGGCAATATGGATTTGGCTTTAGATCTCCTCAAGAAGATAGAGAAAGGTAAAATTCAGCCAAATATTGTGATCTACAACACAATCATCGATGGTCTTTGCAAATACAGAGATGTGAATGATGCACTCGACCTATTCAACGAAATGGAGAACAAAGGAGTTACACCGGATGTTTTTACCTACAGCTCTCTCATAAATTGCCTTTGTAATTACGGAAGATGGAGTGATGCCTCTCGACTACTAAGTGGTATGATTGAGAGGAAAATCAACCCCAATGTTGTCACCTTCAATGCGTTGATTGATGCGTTTGTGAAAGAGGGAAAGCTTTTGGAGGCTGAGGAATTATACAAGGAGATGATCAAAAAGTCTATAACTCCTACTACCATCACTTACAATTCACTGATCAACGGGTTTTGTATGCACGATCGTCTAGATGAGGCGGAACGTATGTTTGAGTTCATGGTTAGCAAGGGTTCTCTCCCAAACGTAGTGACTTATACTACTCTTATAAATGGATTTTGTAAGTCTAAGAGAGTAGAAGATGGTATGGAACTCTTCAGGGAGATGTCTCAAAGAGGAATTGTTGGTGACACAATCACGTATACCACTCTTATCCAAGGGTATTTCCAAGCTGGCGATTGTGATAATGCCCAAGAAATATTCAAACATATGGTTTCTAGTGGGGTGCCTCGTGGTATTAGGACGTACAACACTTTGTTAGATGGTCTTTGTAACAACGGGAAGCTAGAGAAAGCATTGGTCATATTTCAGGATATGCAGAAGAGTGAAATGGAACTTGATATTGTTACATATAGTATCATCATTGAAGGAATGTGCAAGGCTGGTAAGGTGGAAGATGGATGGGATTTGTTTAGCAGCCTCAACCTTAAAGGTGTGAAGCCTGATGTTGTAACCTACAATACAATGATCTCAGGATTTTGTAGGAAAGGTTTAAAGCAGGAAGCAGATGCCTTGTTCAAGAAAATGAAAGAAGATGGGCCTATCCCAGATAGCGGTACCTACAATACGCTGATTAGGGCATGCCTTAGAGATGGTGACAAAGTAACATCAGCTGAGCTTATTAAAGAAATGAGGAGCTGCAAGTTCTGTGGAGATGCTTCAACAATAAGCATGGTCACTAATATGCTGCATGATGGGAGATTAGACAAAAGCTTTCTGAACATGCTTTCTTAAAACAGGTTTGTATTCTACAAGAGCAAAGGAATGGTAAAGCAACTCTCTTCTCTTCAAAGCATCTGTGAGGTGAATCAAGTTATTTATGTTGCTGTTTTAGTAATTATATGTAGAGATAGATTTTTTTTTGTATTTGGTCGATATTGTGTGTGAGCTTCGTGATGAATAAACACATCTGTGGTGAGCATTAGAAGAAACTCTTCCCTCCAAAAAGATATCAAATTTTCCTATAAAATATTTAAATTCAAACTAGTCTTATTATCTATCCAAAACGATAAACAAACTAGTCTATAACATCTTGGAAAATAATTCGATTCAAACTAGTCTAAAAGATTCCCTATAAATTTTTTTCTGGAAATTCAGAGAAGAAAGTTTATGTTTTGGTACAAAATCGTAAACTTTTTTTCTCTGTTTAGCGAAATTGAAAGGAAAAAAGTAGTTTGATGATTAAAATTAATGATAATACATATGCAGATCATCAGACAAACCGGCTGCCGAACAAACTTAAGAACATTCCCCTGAATCTTTTTGAAATGTAATCTTAACATGTCCTCAAGGAGGTTTAATTTTTTTTTTTTTTCAATGATCTCATAAAACAAACAAAGAACCAAATCGCAAGATTTAGGCGATTTGGGTAATTGCAGCATGTATAGCATCAGCGAGTTGAATTAGCACTGTCTTTGAACTTAGACCTGCCATACTTATCCTCCTGCAATATAATACACAATCTTCACTTTGAAACTAAGTTTTTTAATCATGAAAACGAGACAATTAACTAAAACATTTAAAGAAAAGTGAAATAATTTTCCCTCACCCATCATAGGTCATGTAAATGTGATACTCTTTGGCAATGAAGCGAATTTGCTTCTCATTCAATCCGGTAAAAGAAAACATCCCAATCTGTTTGATAATGTTACTCCAATCACCTGGTGTGCCTGCAAGAATAACATGGTACACAATCAGAAATTATGAATGATTCAATATTAACAAAAAATAAAATTTAAAGAAAATAAAATATGAAATCAAACCTCTAGCTTGTAAAGCTTCATATAACTGTTGGCGCATGCTAACTATGCGGCTAACCATTCCTTTCAGCTCAATGGTCCAGTCCTTGTACATATCACTGCCAAAGATGTATACAACGAAAGAAACTTTGAGAATAATCAAAATCCCATTTGTTACAATGAAGCATTTAAACACAAGAACAATTACCTGTTTTTAAGAATTGTGGTAACAATTGATGCTCCATGAATAGGTGGGCTAAGATACATTGGTCTCACAACAAGTAACACTTGGCTGTGAACATTCCTAGCCACATCTTTTGAGGTGCATACCTTCACATTAGACACACAAATTTTATTTATGCACTTTAAAATATGCTTTATTATCATAAGTGCACCCCAAGATTTAAGTTTGCATGTGAAAGTGAGAAATTTTGGTTGCTTACAATAGTTAGAGCGCCAATACGCTCCCCATAAAGACCCATGTTTTTGGAAAAACTTTGAGCTATAAAACATTCACCTCCATCAGCAACAAACATACGAACCGCTTTTGCATCAATGTCAAGGCTACCACTAGCAAAACCCTGAAAGTTAATTTAAGGAACAAGATGAAAATGTATATTACAACTAGCACTAAAAATAAAAAAAATGATCAAAGGAAAGAAAAAGATAAAATTTTATGACTTGCCTGATATGCATTATCAAAGAATGGTAACAAGCTTTTAGATCTCACTAATTTTCGAATCTGTTCCCATTGATCCAATGTTGGGTCCACTCCTGTGGGATTATGCGCACAAGCTTGCAATACCACTATGGCACCAGAAGGTGCAGCGCTAAGATCTTCGAGCATGCCTGTTTTGAAATCAATACTTCACTTACTCTTGTATACTTAACATCATATCATGTTTTATCTTAGCTTTGTTTGCTTCCATCTTGGTCCGTGGACCAATGAAACAAACAGTAATCAGGATGGAAACAAACAAAAATAAGATAAACAATGAGGAAGGTAATAGAGAGTTAATGGACAACATTATAAAAATCAACCTTTGAAGTCGAGTCCTCGGGTTTTTGGATCATAGTAACGGTAAACTTCTACAGACAAACCCGCCAAATTGAAAATTAGGGGATGGTTCCCCCAAGTTGGGTTTGAAACGAAAATGACACGCTGAAAGCAATCATGAGAAATGCAATTATCAGTTAAAAGGAACTCTGTCAAAAACAAAGTTGAAAGAAAAAAAACCTAATCTTTCAAAATGAATTATGTGAGCTTTTAATGAAAGTTTTAAAACCCAACCCTGCAGAAAAAAAAAAATCAAAAAGAGAACTCTATATTACAATAATCCTATACAAACTTCCCTCACAAATATGTTGGTACGTAAATAGCATATTTTTTTATGAGACTAAAAATTAGTCATCAGTTTTGTGAGTATATTTTAGAACTGCCGTATAGGATATGATACGGTTGGCATCTTTCTGAGATGTTACGAGTTTCTTTTTCCGACAACATGTGTTATATATGTGGGTCTAAATCTGAGGTGGTGACGCAACGAAAACACTAATACAAACCTCTACATGTCATCACATGAACAAAACTAAATAGATTGTTTTTTTTTTTTTGGTAATTTTAGGTAAAAGCAGAACCAAATAGATAAACAAATAACTTACTTCTTGGTGGTGTTTTGCTAAAAACTCGGCTCCAACTCTCAGAGAACCAGTACCAGACAAACACTGGATTGTAACAACTCTATCCTCCTCCAATGCAGGACTGCGCAAAAACAAAAATAATCTTTAGAGACCTAAAATTCAGCATCTAGCTACAAACGAAAATTTAATCAAACCTTAATAGAAGTGATCATTGTTTACCTATCAGCACCTAAGATGAGTTTGGCGCTCAGATTGTTAAAATCAGCAAGTCCATCAAGTGGAAGATATTCCTTATTCCGAGACCTTGAGGTAAGAGAAAAATCATAAGGCTAATAATTAACAACCAAGGGAACAAATAAAAAAGGAGGAAATTACTTATTCAACAGTTCTCCGACTGGTCAAGATGATTGACAAACACGTCCGCAATCAAGCTTTGTTCTATCCGCAGTAATGGAGTAATGAAGTATGCAGATGGTTTGGAAGTTTGGTTTTCTTCAAGATAAGACTTAAGACTTAAAATCTTGTTTTTTCTTCAAAAATGTAAAAAATAAGATTGTAAAACGTTGTTTTTTCTTTTGAATATAATTTAACATTTTATTCAAAAAAAAAAAACTTCTAGTTTGTGAAATGTCAAAAAAAAGAAAACCACCTTCTAGTTTGTGTGCATTCGTGTTCACATTTACTGTATTTTCTTAGTGCTAGTTACTATATTTGTGTTTGCATTTGTGTTGATTTTTGAAGACTTCAGAACTACTATTTTATGATTTCTTATATTCTTAATAGATGCATATGTTATTTGGTTTGATGTAATTATAATTTCACTCAAATTTCATTTTATTCGAAAAGTTTTGTTATAAATGATTATGTAAATCTATTAAAATCTAGTGTTATTGCGATATAGTTTTTCTACAAGTTCATTCATAAAAAAAACTACTTTCAAAAGTCTATATATTAGATTTTTAAAGTCTGTACAAATAAAAAATAATAATTATTTCCTGAATATTCTTTAAAAAATTTACAAAACACTATAAATATAATAATTATTTCAACTTATAAAATTATCCAACTCTATTTAACTAAACAAAAAAAAGTATGCCTTTTTCATATACTGACGCAAAATTGCAAATGAAGAAATTGCATGTGAGTGAAACAATCGAGCTTTCATCTATAACAAAAACTTTTGAGCTTACATATCATTCGCTAACTGCTGCTCTGCTTTTCTCACCACCTCGAGAACCAGAGGTTTTCCTTCCTTTATAAGAACAAAAAAAATAACACAAGAGAAAACTAATATAATCAAAACATGAGCTTGTAAAATGGCTAATTAACTTTAATCTATAGAGATTGTGAAGATCCATGCAACCAAAATTACCTCAGTTCGATAGGAACCGCCGCTCAAATTCAACTTAACCGGGCTAGGATCATCTCTACTAGCAAAATATACCTGTTTGTGCATACAATAAAACGTTAAAATAAAACACAGCTTATATACTAATAGAATCAGATTACAGATATATAATTTTGGTGAAATGGATTTAAACATGCAACATAAGTAAGATCGATATGTAGAGCCTTAGAGTAAAGGTTAGATACACTGAGAACGGGATCTTCAGGAGGAGGAAGAACGCTTGAAAAGAAAGAATTCATGATTATAAAAAAAGACGTTTGATTCAGTTGAAGTGAGTGAAAAAAAAAAACTTAAAGAAGGAAAACCAACTTCGAGCAGTTACTTAAAGGGGTGTTCTATGAAGTCAAAGCATAATTAGGTGAACAGCTAAAATATTTAATTCTTAAATAGAAGGTTGTCTTTATATGATGATAATGTTTTTTAAAGCTGATATGGTCATTTTTAATTTGAATATAGGTATACCGTTCAGAGTCATCATGCTTCATGTTGTTCGGGAAAGGCATGTCTAATGCCCATATTGTAAATTAAAAAAAAAAAAATTGTGAAATTAGACGGCCTTATTATTTTTTCGTTAATTAGGCATATGTATTTAGTTTATTAAATATGTAAAATTAAACAGCTACTTTGCTGTCGAAACTGTCTTACAAAAACCAAAACCGAGAAGCTTATTTGTTTTCGTTATGAACGTATCCTAAACTGAGAATCTGTCTTATAAATTATAAATTACGAGATACGTTCATATATTGTAAATTTCTAAGCAAGTATAGTATATTCATTTACGTTACGACGCCACCTGTCTTAGGAGAACTAGATTCCATTTACGTTACGTTCATATATTACAAATTTCGAAGCAACTTTTTTAGGAATAAGTACCTTCATTTACGTTACAACACTTGTGGAGTACATAATTATCAAACGAATCATAGTAACGGAAATACTTCTACATAGACAAACCAGCCAAATTAATATGGTTCCTCCAAATTGGGTTTGAACAGAAAATGACACGCTGAAAGCACATGAGAAATGCAATTATTAACAATGGAAAACTGGGTTCGTTGATCTGCATCTTTCTAAAATGTGAAGGGTTTCATTTACCAACTTCTAATGGCCATCAACAAAAAAAAACTATACTAAATAAAACTAAATTGTAATGGGAGTATAAATTAGTGAGAAATATATATATATATATATATATATATATGTATTTACTTCTTGGTGATGCTTTAATTTGTTAAAAACTCAACTCTCAAAGAAACAGTACAAGACAAATTAACACTGTATTGTAACAACTCTATTCTCCTCCACTTCAGGACTGTCTAGATAAACAAAAAAAAAATAATCTGTATAGACACAATTCAGCAGCTAGCTTCAAAAGAAAATTTAATCAAAGCACGGATTGAACATTGGAAAGAAAAAAAAAAGAGAGAGAAAATAAAAGTGAAAATCATCACCTAAGATTAGCTTGGCGCTCAATTTGTTAAAGTCAGCAAATCCATCTAGTGGAAGATACGTGACCTTGAGGTAAGCATTAGCCATTAATCATAACATTTTTTTAAAAATGATATGTTAAATATAAATGTAAAAGGAAAACGCAAACGGAAGGAAATTCAGCATTTGGTTATTCCGTTCATGTGGAAGTTGAAATGCTTCGTCTTGTTGGTAAGGAAAAATTTGTCCGGTTTATTTAGACCTGAGTGTTTCAAACCGGTTCGAAAAATTAGACCTGAGTCATTAATGGTCTTTGCAAATACAGACATGTCAATGATGTACTCAACTTATTCAATGAAATGGAGAACATAGGAATCAAACCAAATGTTTATACCTACAGTTCCCTAATAAGTTTCTTTTCTTTTGATCAAACAACCAACAGTTCTATTATATGGATTTTCTCTAAGAATTATTTGTTTGGACGTTGTGGTTTTATTACAAAACGGTAAACAAACTTCAACAGCCCATGGCTAAACCGGACATTTGATCTGATGTAAATTCTATACGAAACAGAACAGATCAAGATGAAGCAAATGGTCTACAGACTGGTAAGTCCTTTTCTAAGAAAGGCGCGACCCAAGAATCGGATTGAATTCAAAAAAATTAGCCGGTTTAAGTTCAAAGCTAGCTGCGACGGTTGGCATAACCGGATAATCTTCTTGGCAAGGTACGTGTTGGAACACTAGCGTGTACCACAACACTATGTCCTTGGACCTTGTTTTCGATCGAACGATCCCTGTGTCACCACGACAAAATAGAGTAGAGAAATGTTTTAAACCAAAAACCTTTTACGTACCTAGAATCGGTATGACTTAATTGGTATGCTGCATTAATTGGTTTCGTACCGGTTTGACCAAACTTTTAAATTGTAATGTGTCATCGCCGTGGCTCTGGTAAACTAGGACTCCTCCGGCAAATTGTTTTGATCGGTTATACTGAGTTACCCATAACTGTACCGATAAAACTAATTGCATTGATTTAAACTAAACATTTGGACACATTTGAGTATAACCCGGAGAGTTTATACGGCCGTTGTTTAGAAACATAATCCTGGAACTAGCTTTGTCTATACCCAAAGTGTTTGGTTTGTTGTGCTGTGTTGAGCTTTACGGGATATTTGCTCCTTATTTATATACTCAGACTTGCCACATCTTGGTAAGAAGTTCAAGTGAGAGATAATTAAATCGGTATACTCAAACCGGGTCTTCAGAAGAGAGATTTATTGAAGTTTTTCTACACATTTATCACCTTTTTTGGCCTTTACATCCCACACGTATAATTTCGATTTCTTATATTTGTGACTTTTTGGGAAAAGGAAAATTGCGCGGTGAGTTTAATTTGTATAAGTTCCCAATCTTTTCTTGGTTTATTTTTGGAACCGGGTTGAGATCTTCGCAATTTTCAATCAGAATATGTAGTCCGGTTTCCGGTTGGATAATAATTACTGAACCGAGTTAGTCTCTGTCTCACACTCTCTGGCCTCTGCTCCGTTTAGGTTTTGACAGACAGACTGGTCAAAGCGTCAAAGTGAGGAGGATTCTTAAAACTTGGACAGAGAAAGGAACCAAATCAGCTCTTTTCCGATGCGGAGATCTTTTGCGATTGCCTCGACGGCGAAGAGATATGTTCACGGCCAAGGTAATCTCGTCACTGCTCCTCCGTCGTTGATTTTCTGTTGCTGGAGTCGAGCTTTCTCTGGTGCTAGTTGTGATTACAGAGAAAAGATTAGAGGTGGGTTTCTGCAAGATATTAAGTTAGACGATGCAATTAGGTTGTTCGGTGAGATGATAAAGTCTCGTCCTTTTCCTTCGATTGTCGACTTCAGTAAATTGTTGAGTGTTATTGCGAAGATGAAGAAGTTTGATGTCGTCATCTCCATGGGAGAGGAGATGCACAAGTTGGGGATTCGACATGATCTCTTTACTTACAGTATTTTCATAGGTTGTTTTTGCCGCACCTCTGAGCTCCCTTTTGCTTTAGCAATTCTTGGGAAGATGATGAAACTCGGGTTTGAGCCTAGCATTGTCACGTTTAATTCGCTTCTCAATGGATACTGTCACGGGAATAAGATTTCGGATGCAATATCACTGCTTGATCAGATGGTGGAATTGGGATTCAAACCTGACACCGTCACATTTACAACTCTGATTCATGGGCTTTTTCTCAACAACAAAGCTTGCGAAGCTGTGGATTTAGTTGATCGAATGGTTGAGAAAGGATGTCAACCGAGTCTAGTTACTTATGGTGTGGTGATAAATGGGATATGTAAGAGAGGCGATATGGATTTGGCTTTAAATCTGCTCAAGAAGATGGAAGCAGGGAAAATTGAGCCAAATATTGTGATCTACAACACAGTCATCAATGGTCTTTGCAAATACAGAGATGTGAATGACGCACTCAACCTATTCAATGAAATGGAGAACAAAGGAGTTAAGCCAAATGTTTATACCTACAATTCCTTGATAAGCTGCTTTTGTAATTACGGAAGATGGAGTGATGCCTCTCGACTACTCAGTGATATGATTGAAAGGAAATTGAACCCTGATGTAGTCAGCTTCAATGCATTGATTGATGCGTTTGTGAAAGAGGGAAAGCTTTTGGAAGCTGAGGAATTGTACGAGGAGATGATCAGAAGGTCTGTAACTCCTAATACCATCACTTACAATTCATTGATCAACGGGTTTTCTATGCACGATCGTCTAGATGAGGCCAAACGTATGTTTGAGTTCATGGTTAGCAAGGGTTGTTTCCCAGATATAGTGACTTGTAATACTCTTATAAATGGATTATGCAAGTCTAAGAGAGTAGAAGATGGTATGGAACTCTTCAGGGAGATGTCTCTAAGAGGAATTGTTGGTGACACAATCACATACAACACTCTTATCCAAGGGTATTTCCAAGCTGGCGATTGTGATAATGCCCAAGAAATATTCAAACATATGGTTTTGGGTGGTGTGCCTCGTGATATTGTGACATACAGCAATTTGCTACATGGGCTTTGTAACAACGAGAAACTAGAGAAAGCATTGATCATATTTCAGGATATGCAGAAGAGTGGAATCAAACTTAGTATTGTTACATATAGTATCATCATTGAAGGAATGTGCAAGGCTGGTAAGGTGGAAGATGCTTGGGATTTGTTTTGCAACCTCAACCTTAAAGGTGTGAAGCCTGATGTTGTAACCTACAATACAATGATCTCAGGATTTTGTAGGAAAGGTTTAAAGCAGGAAGCAGATGCCTTGTTCAAGAAAATGAAAGAAGATGGGCCTATCCCAGATAGCGGTACCTACAATACGCTGATTAGGGCATATCTTAGAGATGGTGACGAAGTAACATCAGCTGAGCTTATTAAAGAAATGAGGAGCTGCAAGTTCTGTGGAGATGCTTCAACAATAAGCATGGTCACTAATATGCTGCATGATGGGAGATTAGACAAAAGCTTTCTGAAGATGCTTTCTTAAAACAGTTTGTATTCTACAAGAGCAAAGGAATGGTAGATCAACTCTCTTCTCTTCAAGGCATCTGTGAGGTGAATCAAGTTATTTATGTTGCTGTTTTAGTAATTATATGTAGAGATAGATTTTTGTGTATTTGGTCGACATTGTGTGTGAGCTTCATGATGAATAAACACATTTGTGGTGAGCATTAGAAGAAACTTTCCCTCCAAAAAGATCTCAAATATTCCTATAGAAATTTAAATTCAAACTAGTCTATAACATTTTGGAAAATATTGTCGATTCAAACTAGCCTAGAAGTCCCTATAAAGCAACTATACTACTATAGTATATTCATTTATATTACGACACCACCTGTCTTAGGAATAACTAGATTCCATATACGTTACGTTCATATATTCAAATTTCGAAGCAACATTTTTAGGAATAAGTTTATTCATTTACGTTACAACACTTCGTGTACTAGTACATATTGTATGGTCTCGAAACTCGATTTTCGTTTGCCAAATGCCGACATAATTAGTAACCGAATCATAGTAACGGAAATACTCTAACAGACAAACCAGCCAAATTGATATATTGGGATGGTTCCCCCAAATTGGGTTTGAACCGAAAATGACACGCTGAAAGCAATCATGAGAAATGCAATTATACTAACAATAGAAAAATGGGTTTGTTCTGCATCTTTAATGGCCAAATTCTAATGGCTAGTAACAAAACTATACTAAATTAAACTAAATTGTAATGGGGAGTCCAAATTGTTGAACGTGGATTCGCACGGGTTAAACAAGTCAACTTATGTTAGAGAGTTTGGAGATTTTCTGTTAAATTAAGCTTAGGTCGACAATGAAATAAGAACAAAGTTTAAGACATGGTGAGGTGAGTTTGACGAGGTGGCGAGGTGAGTTTGACGAGGTGGCGAGGTGAGGTGAATTTGGCGAGATGACGAGGTGAGGTGAACTTGACGAGGTGACAAAGTGAGATCAGCTTGACGAGGTGACAAAGTGAGGTGAGCTTGATGAGGTGACGAGGTGAGATCAGCTTGACGAGGTGATGAGGTGAGGTCAGTTTGACGAGGTGATGAGGTGAGGTCAGTTTGACGAGGTGGCAGATAATTTGGCGAGGTGATGGCGAATTTAGCGAGGTGGGAGTTATTTTGGCGAGGTAATAGTGATTTTGGCGAGGTGATGGTGAATTTGGCGAGGTGATGGTGATTTTGGCGAGGTGATGGTGATTTTGGCGAGGTGGGTGTTCTCATCCCTTGGCGAGCTATTTCTCTTCTCCCTTCCGAGATCTCCTTTTTTGGTCTCCTCTTCTCTTCTATTTATAGTGAGCGAGTAGGTGACGTGATGACGGTGGGTTGATTTTGTGGACCTTGCTAATGGGCCAAAATTGTAATGCTGGTGGATTTTGATGGGCCTGTTGGGCTAAATAGGGGATGCTAAACCCTCCCCCCCCCCCAGTTTGTTGAAAGAGAGTTGCTCGAGTTCGGCGAACTGCAAGATATGCGAAGAACTGCGAGGTCGACAAGCTGTGAGGTCGACGAGCTGCGAGGTCGACGAGCTGCGAGGTCGACGAGCTGCGAGGTCGACGAGCTGCGAGGTCGACGAGCTGCGAGGTCGACGAGCTGCGAGGTCGACGAGCTGCGAGGTCGACGAGCTGCGAGGTCGACGAGCTGCGAAGTTGATGAGCTGCAAGATCGAGAAACTACGAGGTTGACGAGCTGCAAGATAGACGAGCTGCGAGGTTGAAGAGCTCAAAGTCGAATAGACGAGGAACCGCAAATCTGTGTGGTCGATGAACTGCGAGGTCGACGAGCTGCAAGGTCGACAAGCTGCGAGGTTGACGAGCTGCGAGGTCGTATAGACGAGGAGCCGCAAAGCTGCGAGGTCAACGAGCTATATAGCTGCAAGATTAACGAGTAATATAATGCGAGTTTGAACTTGGTTAATCGAACATATAGATACAGACTGAAATAAATGTGAAGTGGGAACTCGGCTTATTAGATCTGTAGGTGCGAGGTAAGACCTCGGCTTATCCTATTTTGTTTACGAGTAAGGACTCGGTTTAGTATGCTGTAGGTGCGAATATTAGCTCGGTCCACCTGTTAGCTTCTTAGATCGTATCCGAGTAGCGAAGATGTGTTCGGCGTTTTTTTTACTCGTGCGATCTAAGAGATTATGCGGGACTGGACCCGGCTTACTTTCGTATAGTCATAAGGTTTTTGTTCCTTAGGACTTATAAGAAATTGCACTATTGGGAATGCGTTTCTTACGGATCGCGCATCTAGCTAGGATGTCGATGTCAATGATGTCGAGGTATTTCAGCGAGTTACGTTGTAACTACGAACTGGCGAGATGAGCTCGGCTTTAAGAAAAGAGAGTAAAAAATGAAACTAGCTCAACACTTATCTTGTTTATAAGTGAGTTCCTTTGTTTGATGTCGATGAGCTACGAGGTTAGCTCAACTATGCATGGTTTCCTTTGGCGAGGTCAGCTGGGTTCTTAACATTGCCGAGCTGCTTTGGGGTGTAGAAAATCTTCTTGCCCCCCCCTACCTGGCGCGCCATTTGTTGAACGTGGATTCGCACGGGTCAAACAAGTCAACTTATGTTGGAGAGTTCGGAGATTTTCTGTTAAATTAAGCTTAGATCGACAACAAAATAAGAACAAAGTTTAAGACATGGTGAGGTGAGTTTGACGAGATGGCGAGGTGAGTTTGACGAGGTGGCGAGGTGAGTTTGACGAGGTGGCGAGGTGAGGTGAGTTTGGCGAGGTGACGAGGTGAGGTGAGCTTGACGAGGTGACAAAGTGAGATCAGCTTGACGAGGTGACAAAGTGAGGTGAGCTTGATGAGGTGACGAGGTGAGATCAGCTTGACGAGGTGATGAGGTGAGGTCAGTTTGACGAGGTGATGAGGTGAGGTCAGTTTGACGAGGTGGCAGATAATTTGGCGAGGTGATGGCAAATTTAGCGAGGTGGGAGTGATTTTGGCGAGGTGATGGTGATTTTGGCGAGGTGATAGTGAATTTGGCGAGGTGGTGGTGATTTTGGCGAGGTGATGGTGATATTGGCGAGGTGGGTGTTCTCATCCCTTGGCGAACTATTTCTCTTCTCCCTTTTGAGATCCCCTTTCTTGGTCTCCTTTTCTCTTCTATTTATAGTGAGCGAATAGGTGACGTGATGACGGTGAGTTGATTTTGTGGGCCTTGCTAATGAGCCAAAATTGTAATGCTGGTGGATTTTGATGGGCCTGTTGGGCTAAATAGGGATGCTAAACCCACCTCCAACACAAATTAGTGAAAAAATTTACTTCTTGGTGGTGCTTTAATTTGTTAAAAACTCAACTCTCAAAGAACCAGTACGAGACAAACACTATATTGTAACAACTCTATTCTCCTCTACTTCAGGACTGCCTAAATAAACAAAACAAAAAAAAATCTTTTATAGACTCAAAAGTCAGCAGCTAGCTTCAAAAGAAAATATAATCAAACTTACGCCGCCACAAATGTTTATACAAGGAAAATGATCAGTAGGTCCATAGATCCTGATACTACTACTTACAAGCATATGTTTCCTTTGATGGTAAGCAAGGGTTGTCTTCCAGATTTTGTGACATATGGATTTTCTCTAAGAATTATTTGTTTGGACGTTGTGGTTTTATTACAAAACGGTAAACAAACTTCAACAGCCCGTAGCTAAACCGGACATTTGATCTGATGTAAATTCTATACGAGACAGAACCGATCAAGATGAAGCAAATGGTCTACAGACTGGTAAGTCCTTTTCTAAGAAGGGCGCAACCCCAAGAATCGGATTGGTTTCAAAGAAATTGGCCGGTTTAAGTTCAAAACTAGCCGCGACGGTTGGCATAACCGGATAATCTTCTTGGCAAGGTACGTGATGGAACCCTAGCGTGTACCACAACACTATGTCCTTGTTTTCGATCGAACGGTCCCTGTTTCACCACAAAAAACAAAAAGAGTTGAGAAATTTTTTAAACCAGAAACGGTATGACTCAATTGGTATGCTGCAATAATTGGTCTCGTACCGGTCTGACCAAACTTGTAATGTGTCATCACCGTGGCTCTGGTAAACTAAAACTCCTCCGGCAAACTGTTCTGACCGGTTATACTGAGTTACCCATATCTGTACCGAGAAAACCAATTGAATTAATCAAACCAAAGATTTGGACACATTGAGTACTAAACCGAAATTTCAACTAATTAAAATTAAAACCGCATTTTTTGAGGGGTGATTTGGTTTTGCTTTTTACATTGAAGCTTTTAAGTTTCTTTTTCAACGGATTATGAAATATTTATGATCTTAAAAGAAAAGCTTAAAATAGAGTACCTGATTATTGGTGAATGCACCTCGAATTTGAGGAGGATCATCGTGATCAAGTAAACTCGCCGCATTACCACCTGGTACGATCTTGTAACCGGCCGGGTTTCCTATCCGAGACTTTCGGTTCGGGTTCACAATATGAAATTCATATGGATCATAGAGGTTCAATTTGATCTGTGCATCTTTCTCAGTCTTGGCAACATATTTCTTAACCTTCAAGTAACTCTTCCTTGGCGATTTTCCCGTTGGAATTCTCTGCTTCTCTAGATGGAACTTAACCAAAGAATTGTTCGTATGTCCATCAATGTCCATGTCTAGATGAAACGTTATGAAATGATCATGAACAACTCCAATAACATTCTCAGAGATCAACGGTCCAGAATCATCCTCTTTATCACCTAAGTCATCTACATTCTCGTAAGGTGTTCCTTTCACCATCAACATCCCTGAAGCCGCAACCTATCAATAACATTTATAACTATATAAGGAAACTTAAGAACAAATATAATCATACACAAAAATAAAAATTAAAAACCATGTTTATTTACCGTAACGCGAATCAAACCATCGGTCTGAAATTCCCAATCAACAATATAGTCGTAATTTCCAACCGAAGTTGCCATTCGAGCTACCAATGTAACTTTTGGCCTTGCCTCTTTTATCTGTAAAATGGTCAATATAGGAATCAGTTCTCGTTCAAAGAAAAAGCAAAGATCGTGACATTAGGGATGTTTCCGAAAAAATAAAATTGATCCGAACCAAACCAGAACCGGAACCGACAACCAAGTGAAGCCTTCGTATGGTTATACATTATTTTTACTTTTATCCAAAACTTTTCAGAACTAAAACCTAATTTGTTTAGAAACCAAGCTCAAACTGTAAACTCAAACATACTAAACCTGTCTATACTATATTCAGTTTGGTAGGCTGGTAGCTACTTTCTTAAAACTGAAACCTAAATTTAAACATGGATTTTAATACTTTTAATTCCTAATTTTTTTTTTTAATTCCTAATATTTGAGTATGATTATAAAAACAAAAGGGACTGACATCGACGTTGATATGATTATACAATATACTTTTCTATCCAAAAATTTTCCCTATTTGAAACCAAAGTTTTCCTAGAAAACCAAAAACTATAATGCATTAAAAACCAAGCCTAAACTGTAAACTCAAAAATACTAAACCTAAACATGGGTTTTAACACCTTTAATTAGTGCCAAATATTTGAGTATGATTACAAGAAAAAATAATGGACATACATCGACGTTGGGGATAAGAATTTCAGAATGTCGCCAGCTAACATCGCCTGCGTAGCGTTCAAACAAGCATATCATGTTAGGTTGTACGATGGCTTTACCATCCGGCGAGGCGAAAATGCCATCTATATAGTAAGCATTGCGAGGGCAATCGTTGAGAGGCACAAGCGGCATTGCGGGAGGGCCTAAACCGAGCTCTCCTGCATCCATATAAGTTTTGTAGTACCATAATTCCTCAGGGTCCATGTATGGTACGAACAACTCCGATGGGAATCCTTTGTACATCACACTTCTTGGTTCACCTGCTCTCTCCACGTTAACAAAAACATCAAGTGTGTGGTTTCTCTTTTAAAAGTTTCATGACTATATATAGTTTGGCCAGTGCATGATAATGACTTAACATTAGGGACCAACTCTTTTCTAATGTTTAGTAAATAGTTATTGCAAATGTGATTTCTTGTCGAGTTGTCGAATGAATAAGAAAATTATATATATTCGTATACAATTTTCCCTCAAAGACCACAATAATAGATATTTAAAAAAAAACAAAAATCAACAGAAACATGTTGATATTTGGAACGGCTTGGCTGAACGAAAATTTGTTCCAAAAAAAAATTGAAGTTAATCATTTCACCTTGAATACTTATTATGATAAAGGACAGTATATTTTATTTTATTTTATTTTCTTTGTTAGCGTAGATTTTGTAGTCATATTTTATGTGTTCTTTTGTTGTATTTATTTATAATTTTTTCATTGTGCATCTAATTAAATTATGGTGTGGTTTGAGAAAAAAAATCTGAATTATATTATTAATCATTATATACCTGTCTCGGAGTCACGAACCGTGGCCTGAGAGATGATCATACCGGCTCGTTGGTCCGCTTTAACATGAAAAACCCAATTAGCCCACTTAACCAAATGTCCACCTTCGACCCGAAAACTCGGACCACCCGGCTGCTCCATCGAAATCGGGTTGATTGGATCCATATGCACCGGTTTATTAAGAACACTATACCGGTATTCTGTACCAGCGGCTTTAGGAATCGGAACCGGGCCTTTATCAACGACCTTGATAACCTCTAGTTTGTTCATATCGACCATTGCATAAAGACCTTCAAGGGGTCTCATGAAATAGTTTGGAGTGTCTTTTGACGTGTAACATTGCACTCTTATGATTCGACGTCCTTCTTCCTCCGGTCCAAACCATCCCGCGAACGGCGTTATGCAAACCAGATCGGAAAATTTAACCCCACGCGCTTCGATTGAGCGGTTGAATTCTATGCTCTTGAAAGGAACCTGCATTTTTGCGTTGCCATTGAAATTTTTTAATTAAACCGATTAAGAAGAGTGAAATCTCGCGGTTTGGTCTTGGTTTTCTTTGGTTAAATGTTGGTGACTGTCTGAAATTTAGTCTAAATTTTTGATTAAACAGTGAACCATAGCTAAAAGCCTAAAACCATATCCATAATAAATCCAATTGTACATTAGTTTTTTTCTTCTTTTCTTAAAAAAAAAAAAACAGAAAACCAAAAACCAAAAACTTTAAAACAAAAAGATATACAGTATAGTATACCAAGCCTATTCAGAGTTAAAAAAAAATTTATTAGACAAAAAGATCAGGAAACCGAAAAAAAAAAGAAGCTAAACTAGAACCACACCAAACCGATCAGTTCTTATACTTCTATTTCAAAAATAAATTAGAAAAGCAAAAAAAAAAAAATTGAATGGAAATCCCGGTAGACCGTATTGGCCAGAAAGTGAACCGAAACAAACCGGGTAATATAAACCATGTTTTTTTTGTCGCAAACCATGTTTACGAATAGAAAATACGTCCAAATAAAGTGAACCTGCATTTTTGCGTTGCCATTGAAATTTTTAACAAAACCGGTTAAGAAGAGTGGAATCTCGCGGTTCGGTCTTGGTTTTGTTTGGGTTAGAACTGTCTTAAAATCTAGTCTAAATGTTTGATTAAAAAATGAACCATAGCTAAAACCATATCCATAATAAATCAAATTGTACATTAGGTTTTCTCTTTCTCTAAGGTAACATAGAAAACCAAAAACTAAAAAGTAAAAGATATATACCAAGCTAATTCATAGTGTATTAAATTTTTGTTTTTAAAGGACAAAAAAATCAAGATACCAAAACTAAACTGTAACCACACCAAACCGGTCAGTTCTTAGTCTTTTAATTCAAAAAAAAAAAAAATTAGAAAACCAAAAAAAAATTCGAATGTAAATCCATTTAACCGTATTGGTCAGAAAGTGAACCGAAACAAACCGGGTAATATGAACCATGTTGACTAATATAAAATACGTCCAAATATTATTAAATCAGATACTACCTGCGAAGCCGCGATTAGGTCGTCCATGGTTAGAATCGGATACCCAGAAGACGGGTTAATCAAATCCGAAACGACCCGACCCGATTCAAGATCCACCGTAATCACGTGGCTTTTACCACCAGACAAAGCGACGACCTCAGCTCTTCGCGACGGAAGCCGGTTTCCCTTCTTCCACCGAACGACACGTGCTTTATCCGGTTCGTCGAGAGCCATGGAGTGAATCGTGGCCGACCCGGAACGGAAATCCGGGTCATGACCCGAGAGGATGGATCGGACTCTTTCGATTTCACGCACCGTTAGTGGATCAAGTGGATGATGAGGCTTATCGGAAGAGTGGTCAACGCGGAGTTTAGGATCCGACCCGAGAGTTTTCCGGACCCGGGTACCGGATAAGAAGCCTGAGTCGGGTCCAAAGACCCAAGAGTAGGTGGCGAAGAGAAGGAGAAAGCCAAAGAACAAGAGAGATAGACGAGCAAAAGATGGTTGCGCCATGATAGAGAGTGAGAGAGCTTTTTGACTTACTTATAAAAGCCAAATCAAAATTTTATTTTATTTAAAGAAATTGCTTTTCCACGTTATTGAATAAATATAACTAACGTTTTGAGTGAGTCCAAAGAAAGATAAGTTTGATTGCATCTATGAGAGATTTTACATATTTATTCTAATCATGCAACGACTCATGGTTAAGCACAAGCAACCTAATTGTTTATACTAATCGTTGTGTGGCTTGTGTATCGACAAAAAATGTTTATATGATCTAATCCAAGTTTGATTTAAACCAGTAATTTTTGTTCCAATCCGATTCATCTTAACCACGAAGCTAGAGTTTGTCAACGTAACTAAAATTTTATCAGGTGTTATTTATTTATGACTCTAATTAAAATTTCAAACATGTATTTCAAATATGTAGCTCACCTTCGTTTTATAAATAAAATTTCAGACAAAAACAATTGAGTTTGATCGCAGCTGTGAAATATTTTTACATATTGGTGGTTCTTACTTCTTAGCGTGTGACGCCTAGAGTTTACCAACGTAATTAAATATTAAATTTAGTCAGCTCGATCGCATCTCTGAATATTTTTCTTATTGATTCTGATGATGTGACAACTGAGAAGATCAGAGAGTCTTATCCACTTGATTAAAACAGTAATTATATTATATTAAGACTAATAAGCTGGTGGTATAGTTCTAAATTTTGATTAATTCTCGGTTGAAAATAAAACGTGGAAAATCATGGAACCACTAGTTACCTCTTTTTAGTCTAGTCTCTATACACCATTTTTTAACTCCACTTTTTTAGTCAAGTCTTCTTCCTTTTTTTTTTAAGTCAAGTCTTGAATCTTGATGGACGAGATTTTGGAAAATTAATCCACTTAACTATCGTCAACTACTACTGTTTAATCTCTTAACAATTAACTTTTGATTTTTCAAATATATAGGGTCCTAACTCCTAACTGGTGAGATGCTAAAGTAATTAATTTAAAGTTGGAGTAATGTAGTATAGTTTCTTATGTTCTAACATGGTTTCTATTGTGCATTTTTAGTTTTATGTTTATGTCTTTTTGGTCCTCTTTAGCTCAAATCTATTTTTGGGATGGATACGTTTTTGGTTAGGATATCGCAAAGTTTAACATGTATTCAATGTTTGTTTTATTTGGTTCATCATCTTCCAACCGTTTGGTTTATTTTTTCCTAACTGACCTCAATTTACCTCAAACTCCCAAACTTCCAAACTAACCGGCATAAACTGAATTCACTGAATTAAACCTAGTTTAGGAAAATGTATGACAAACCAAAGGTTTGATACAAACCCAAAAATTTTGGTTCAGTTCGACAGAGATTGTGCCCAAATTGGAGTAACCGATCACCGAATCAAACTTTTGATCAGTTTTATTCGGCAGTTATTTTATAAACCAAATTACTAAAAACATGAACCTAATCCATCCGAAATAAAACTCCCAGACTTAAATAAACATGGAAACGTTTATTTTTTCTTTGTTAAACTTCGAAACTTGAATGAGAGTTGAAAGTTGAGAATGGAGACTTGAAAACTTTTTTCTCTACACGTGTTACCCAACTTTTTGTCTCTGACACATGAGTTAAATATCATTTTGTCTCTTACTATTATGTTTATGGTATACCATAAAAAGTTTATGAAAATGAACCATCAGCTAAGTTCTTAAAATCTAATTGGAGTAGAAATTGACGGAGCTTGTTGTACCAAGCCCTCGATGCTTGTTTGAGTCTGTAAATGGCTTTACGACTCCACTGTTGAAAAAACCTCTGTATTCAACTCGCAAAATTCACAAAACACATTAAAGGGAACTAAAAATCAAATAGAGCTTAGAAAAGAATTGTAATCTGAATGATTTCTTGTTATTGAATCAGAAAGAATTACAGAAGCTTTATAGTAGCTTGAACAAACGTGAAACAGAAACTTACGGAATGAAATTAGGAAACAAACTAACTCCTAAAAGACTTATTCTTCTCCGACTAATACGCTTGACTTATTCACGATTCAGACTTGGTCAAGTTATCCAACAAATTCCTCCCCTTAAACTGACAAGCTTCTTCTACGTCAGTTTAATCCATCAATCTCCGTACTCCGAGTAATCTTCTCAACTTCTCAAACTGATCCAACTTGATCGGCTTTGTCATGATGTCTGCAATTTGCTCATTTGTGCTACAGAAAACCAACTTAATAACTCCTTCATTTGTAAGATTTCGCAAGTAGTGATACCTGACGTCGATATGCTTTGTTCTTCGGTGCATAACTGGGTTCCTTGACAGCTTAATGGCCAAACTGTTGTCACACATAATATCAATGCATCCACTACCCAGAAGACTCAACTCATGCAACATACCTTTCAGCCAAATGCAGTGACACGCAGATGAAGTTGCTGCAACGTACTCAGCTTCGGTGGAGGACAAAGTGACAATGTCTTGTTTTCTTGAACTCTAGCAAATTGCTGCTCCATTCAGCAAGAAAACATACCCGGATGTACTCTTTCTATCGTCCATATCCCTGGCATAGTCGCTATCTGTATAGCCCACCAACTCCAAACTAGATGACCTTCCATAAAATACACCATGATCCAGAGTTCCTTTTAAGTACCTTAGTACTCTTTTTGCAATCATCATGTGCTCTTCTCTAGGATCAGCCATAAAACGAGATATCAAACAAACCACAAACATTAAATCTGGTCTGGTTACCGTAAGGTACATTAGACAGCCCACAAGTTGCTTGTAAAGAGTTGCATCAACCCTTTTGTTTCCCGTTTTTGAGAGAACAGTGCCTGGAACGATTGGATTTTTGACAGCATTGCAGTTCCACATGTTGAATCTTTCAAGCACCTCCTTTGCATACTTCTTTTGGCTAATATGTATACCATCCTTGCCTTGATGAACCTCTACTCCCAAGAAGAACTTCATCTTCCCCATGTCTGTCATTTCAAACTCCTTTTGCATTGATGATTTGAACTCTGCACATAAACTCTCATTATTTCCACAGTAGATCAAGTCATCGACATAGAGGCTTACCACCAAATACTTGTCCTTTATGGTTTTGAAGAACAAGGTATGGTCGTAATCACTCTTCTGGAACCCAGCCTTCTTGAAATAACTCTCAATGCGACTGAACCAAGCTCTGGGTGCTTGTTTCAGTCCATAGAGTGCCTTCCTTAAACGATATACTTTATCTTCCTCCCCTGCTTTGATAAACCCTTCAGGTTGATCCACAAACACTTCTTCATTCAGTTCTCCATAAAGAAACGCACTTTTGACGTCAAGCTGAAAAACATACCATCCTTTCTGAGCTGCCATCGCTAACAGGCTCCTTATTGTGTCCCAACGAGCAACAGGTGCAAATACTTCGGTATAATCAACACCAGCTGTTTGAGAATACCCTTTTGCAACTAGCCGGGCTTTGCACCTATCCACCTTTCCCTCTTCATTCAGTTTGGTTTTATAAACCCATTTAACGCCTATCTTCTTTGCTTGTGGTGGCAGCTTCACCAACTCCCACGTATGGTTCTTCTCAATGGATTGAATCTCCTGGTTCATGGCTTCTTTCCACTTCAGTTCTTTCACAGCATCCAGGAAGTGAATTGGATCATCACTACTTATATAGAGAGCAAAGTTTATCAAAGCATCATCATCGCTTACTTCTTCGCCGGTTACAAAGTTATCCATCCACCCAGGCTTTCTTCTTGATCTTTTTGATTGCTCTCCAACCTCATGAGTCGCTGTTATTGGAGCTTCGACTGGTTCCTCTATCTGCTCCTCCACCTCGGCTTCTTCTTCTGTATTTTCTGGATTGTTTGCAGTTTCTGGGTCTGCTTCATCATCTGTTTCATCTCCGTTAATGACTCCGTCATCTCCCCAGGCGAGTTCTTTCTGATCTGTTGTGTTTAAATCCCAATCCCATTTGCCATTTTCTTCAAATATGACATCTCTGCTGATAGTAATCTGCTTTTTAACTGGATCAAACAACCTGTACGCCTTGCTTTCTTCACTGACCCCAAGCAGAATACATTTGTAGCTGCGATCATCAAGCTTAATCCTTTTCTGCACTGGAACATGAACGTGAGCAATGGATCCAAACACTCTGAAATAGTCGACCTTGGGCTTGATCCCTGACCACCTCTCTTCAGGAACCTTGTCTTTTATCGCTTTAGTCACACTCCGGTTCAACACATGGGCCGTCCATCTGGCTGCATCAGGCCAAAACTCTCTTGGCATCTCCTTCTCTGACAACAAACAGCGAACCATATTCATTATAGTTCGATTTCTCCTCTCTGCTACTCCATTTTGTTGAGGAGAATATGCTGCTGTTAATTGCCTCTTTATACCATGGTCTTTACAGAACTGATTGAACTGATCGCTTGTGAATTCTCCTCCTCGGTCTGTGCGTAATCCTCGTATCTCACTCTTAGCTTCCTTTTCCACCGAGTTTTTGAAAACTTTGAATGTTTCAAAAGCTTCCGATTTCTCTGTAAGGAAATAAATCCAGGTTTTTCTGGAGAAATCATCAACAAGGACCATTAGATACCTCTTTCCACTATGAGAAGATGGAGTGATTGGCCCGCACAGATCCAAATGAATCAGCTCAAGCTTATCCGATGCTCTCCATTTGCACCTTTTTGGAAATTTGTTCCTTTGCTGCTTTCCTATGTTGCACACAGTACACACCTTGTCTTCATTTTTCAGAATCGGTAAACCCTTTACCAATCCCTTCTTCTGCATCACTCGGATAGAATTGTTGTTGAGATGTCCATACCTTCTGTGCCACAAAGATCCCATATCTTCTTCTTCCACCTTGAGACAATTTTCAGAAGCTGCTTTGTTTTTGGCATAAACCAAGAACATTCGGTTTATCGTCATCTCCGTTTCCAAATTAAGACCTCTTTGGCGATGATAAACTCTGCATTTGCCATTCTCAATGATGAACTTCAACTGTTTTTCCTGCAGTTGTCCGTTACTTAGCAGATTGTTGGTGAGTTGAGGGATATAATACACATCAGTTATTACTTGTATAATTCCCTCAACTTCAAACTTGATCTTTCCCTTTCCTTGAACCATCATCTTCGACCTATTTCCCAAGCGAACTGAGTGCTTGAAACTCTCGTCGAGCTCTGTAAACCATGACTTCTCTCCAGTCATATGATTCGAACACCCAGAATCCAAGAACCATATTCCTTTGCCTTCAGCTTTACTCATGTCTGCGTGAGCCATCAGCAACAATTCCTCTTCTTCATCAAACTCAACATAGTTTGCTTTCTCAGTGCATTCAAACGAGTAGTGACCCAGCTTTCCACAATTGAAGCAGTTGATGGCCGACCTATTCACGTAAGGTCTGCCTCTCCCTCGTCCTCTGTTACTGCTTCGTCCTCTATCTCTCCAATTTCCTCGTCCTCGACCATTCTTTGGTTCGTTTTCAACTTGCAGGGCCTGCTCTTCATGCTTCTTCTCTGTCACTTTGCTTTCATGAATTTGCAGAGACGCTTGCAATTCATCGACCGCCAGCTGATCGATGTCCTTTGATTCCTCAATGGAACACACCACGAAATTGAAATTCTCCGTAAGACTTCGGAGAATTTTCTCAACAATTGCGACATCGGTCATGTCTTCTCCGCAATTTCGCATGTCATTTGCTACTTCCATGACTCTCGCGAAGTACACCTCTACTCTTTCTCCAATCTTCATTTCCAGAGTTTCGAAAGATTTCCGAAGTCTTTGAAGCTGTGCCCGTTTCACTCTAGATGTTCCATGATGTTTGATTTTCATGGAATCCCACAACTGTTTGGATGTCTCCTTCTGGGCAATGGTCTTCAACATGGCTTTGTCGATTGATTGGAAGAGGTAATTTTTCGCCTTTAAATCTTTGAGCTTTGCTTCATCGAACGCCTTTTGTTGTGCAGGAGTAGGATTTGTGATCCCACTTAGGTCTTGAATTCCTGATTCAACGACACTCCAATACTCCTTGGATTGCAAAAGATTCTCCATCACCAGGCTCCAATGGTCGTAGTCTCCGTCGAATTTTGGAACAGCAGGCATCGAGAAATTTCCAGTCCGTCATCTCTCCGACACTCAACACTCACTTTTGTGTATCTCTTGCTCTGATACCAGATAAAGGGAACTAGAAATCAAATAGAGCTTAGAAAAGGATTGTAGTCTGAATGATTTCTTGTTATTGAATCAGAAAGAATTACAGAAGCTTTATAGTAGCTTGAACAAACGTGAAACAGAAACTTACGGAATGAAATTAGGAAACAAACTAACTCCTAAAAGACTTATTCTTCTCCGACTAATACGCTTGACTTATTCACGATTCAGACTTGGTCAAGTTATCCAACACACACTTCTCTCCGTTAATATGTTCAGTGTGACAAAGCTTACAACCCAGAATTATCTCATGTGGGAACGTAAAGTAAGGGCGTTACTTGAAGGTTATGAACTACACTAATTCATTGACGGATCTAGAGAAATTCCCTCTCAAACAATCATTGTCAATGGTGTTTCCTCTTCCAATCCAGCATATGCTCCAAGGTGGCGCCAATACAGACTCCTCTACAATAGCATCTCTAATGTCAAGTTTTGAGCTTAGATGTGTCTTAAGGCCCTTGTCTCCAAAGGCACGAGACACTGTTAATTGACCATTTACCTGAGCAACTGGTATAGTTCTGAGAGGGAATTTCTCTAAATCTTTCAGTGAACTGTTGTAGCTCATGACCTTCAAATAACATCTTTACTTGACGTCCCGACATGCGATAATTCAGGGTTGTAAGCTTTGTCACACTAGACAAGTTAACGGAGGGAATGTGTTTTGTGGATCTTGCAAGTTGAACATGGAGGTTCTTTTTAGTAGTGGAGTCGGAAGCAATGAGAGACAGAGGAGAGAAAACACTGAAAACAAAGAGGAAGAAGGATTAGAAAAAGAAGAAGAAGTGTCCGCTGAAAAAAAAGGGTTAAACACCCATTGGTGCTCTGATACCCTATTATGTTTATGATATACCATATGAAGTTTATGGATTATATAATATTATTGATGAGCAAAGCTCTTCATATATACAGAATAGAGTAGAACGTAAAAAGAAGAAAATATACAGTAATTAAGGAGACGTAACTGCAAAGATTATAATAATATATACTTTATATACTTTGGGAAATATATCTCTAACTATGTATATTATACTAAAAAACGTCTCAGTACTAATTATATAGCTCAATATCGTTTTTTTTTCTTTCTTTTTTATCAAAAGTTTCTGGGTCGAAACCCGTAATTCCCTAAATTCGAAACCAAATAATATAATATTAGTTTCGTCTCAAGAGCCAGTCGAACCAGCGATCTCTAAGCCTTGCATCCTTACATTTTTTTACATCTTTAGGCTATCTAAAAGCACAAACAATGAAGGTAATGTTTAATTACATATACCTTCTTGTTGCATTTATGATTTATCGAGCTTATGTTACGTATTTTATTCACAAAGGAATTTGTAGAAATAAAATAAAAAATGCTCGTTGTATTCTTTCTCGTTAACTCTCGTCGAGCTCAAGTTGGATTACATTCTTGTGAAGAAAGCTTTTTGTCCGTTTATTGGAGTTGATGATCTTCACGAATCCAACACATCTGTTTGTTGGTGCACGTGCTCCACCATTTTTGCGTTTGGACTTCTCGCGTCCCCACGTGCCCGAGAAATTTGACCTGATCTTTAATCAAAGGAAGATCTGATTTTGGTCAAACTAGCACTTGCTTTACGTGATTGGGCTTCCTAATTGGGTCAATTATATAATATTGGGCACCAAAGATTAAACGGGCCAAATTGGGCCAGACTCGACAAAGTCTTTGATCGTTTAAACTTTAGCGGTATCGGGTTTTTGTGCTAAATTCAACACCAACTGTTTAGTACACAACCCAAAAATATCAACTTTAAAAAATTAGGTGAATTTGCACCATACGCTTTGGGAGACAAATTAGGAAATTCACTAATGCATATTATTATGTACTTGGTTATACATGTATTCTGGAATGGAGCAGAATCAGATTTATACATTTCATTACAAGGGTAGTAAACAAACAAAGCTGAAGATCAAACGCAAGATCACACAAGTTCTCAGCTCACACTGATAAATTCCATGCAACGAAGAAATGAACATGACGACAATATCGTGTAGGAAAAGCCAAAATCAAGCTCAAAGAGCAACGGTTTGATGCAGAACATGAAGAAGAAGACACACAAACACAATAAAGATGAATAGAGAGACACTTTCTTCCTCATGATGATCTGTATTTCAATGATCTGCACATCAATTTTATAATCCTTTCTTGCCAATATATGTGACTTAACATGAAAACCCAACAGCTCATGATTAGACAAAATCCCAAGGATATTGAACAAATCAAAGCTGAAGATCAAACACAAGATCTCTAATATCATTTCAAGATCCTAAGCTCCCAACACAACAATCATTTAATGAACAAGACGAGCTTATCGAGTCGAACATGCGAAATTCAAGCTTGAAAGAGGAACGATTTGTCGCAGAACATGAAGGCAAGTTCAAGCACCAACAAAATCAATCAAATTCAACTCAATAAACTACAATAAGCATAAAGATAAGACATTTATCATTCCCCAATTAACATTTCCGAACAAACCCTAAGATTCGTTCCAGTCAACAGATAAATAAAACTAAGGAGTAAAATTCGAACCAAAATAAAATTCAAAAATTAGGAGATTCAGATCTCACTTGGCGACCATCCTAGCGATGAAATCCTCGTACCGGATCTTACCATCGGATCCAACATCAACCTCCTTGATCCACTCATCGAATTCACTCGGCTGAAGCTTCTCGCCGATACTAGTGAGTATATGCCTCAGATCCGCCACAGCGACGAACCCTGTGCCTTCTTTGTCGAGCACCTTGAATGCATCACGGAGCTGTCGATCGAACGGCTCTGTTTTCAGATGCTTCGCCATGAGATCTAGGAATCGGTTGAAATCGAACGGAGACGAGAGATTCTCGGTCGCGATGACTGATTTAAGCTGGGCTTCTGTGGGATTTCCGCCGAGCGACCGCATTAAGATCCCGAGCTCCGATGGTGCGATTTTTCCGTCTCCGTCGGTGTCGAAGAGCATGAAGGCTTCCTTCATTGAAGACACCTGGTCGTCGCTCAAACCATCCTTGCCCATCTTTCGATTTTTACGGGTTTTCGGGTCGGATCTCTCTGAGTCTCTGTCGACGACAAATTCCTATTTCCTCCTCTATGCCTTTCTGTACAATGAAACTAAACGATTTGTGTGTAGCGTTTTGAAATTGAGGTGGAGAGACTGATACAATACGTCGTCGTTTAAATAAAATGGCCGAAATAAATGCGCCTAGCCCATTACAATATGGATGCGATTTCACAATTTACCAACGTCGATATGTTTCTAAGTTTAATTTGGCTTAGTTTTAAAATGTTAATTGGAAAAGCTCTTTTAGCGTAAACTAAACCAAAAATACCAAGGTTATGTGATTATATTATAACAAGATAAAACATAAAAAACAAAGTAAATTTGACTTCTCAAAAGACTCAAATGATAGTGAAGCTTTCTTTTCCTAGTTGAGTGAATCATCGAAATGTGGTAAAAGATTAAAAAAGTACAAAACAAAGAACAGCAATTTACAAATACAAGACGACGTAGCTGAGTACACAAATTTTCAATATGAAACCTAATTTACTACTAATCGAAGATTTGTCGATTCAATCTCGCAGCTTTAAGTGAAGATATCATCGATTCCCCTTCTTGAGAAAGATTCTTTCTTTCTACAAGTATAACCCCTAACTTCTCACGCAAGTATTCATTTCTCAACTCGTCTCCCTCCATTTCACCAAGCTCAAAAGCTTGTTTCCTTGTCACTAAACCGTAAACCCAAACACCGGATTCGGGTTTCTCCATTTGGATGCTCACTCTCAACAATGACATGGACTCGAGTTCATCTGAATTCGGAGTAAACAACACCGAGAAATTCCCGAATGTTAAATCAGGTGTCTCGAACAACTGATCCAAACAGCTGTCTTCTTCTTCTTCTTCTTCTTCTTCTTCGTCTTCTTCTACTTCTTTGTCGTTGAAGCTCTGGTGAGGGTTTGAAGCCGATGATGATGCCCTTCTTCTAGCAACTCTAAGTATGTTTGCTGCTTCTCTCATTCCGCTTAAAAAGGCTCCGTGCATTGTAGCTGGGTACTGTTTGTTAGTCGCTTCGCCTGCAAAGAACACTCTTCCATCTCCAACACTCTCAGCTAATATGTCATAATCATCTCCAGATGATCCTACCGCAACATACGAGTAAGAACCATACGAAAACTTGTCTTGTCCCCATCTGGAACAGAGAGCTTGAACCGGGTCAGGAACAACGATTCCTTTTGGGTGATATATTCCACGTAGTATCTGCAAGACCCGATTAACGGAATCAGTAGGCGACAGCGTCTCGAATCTTTCTGCGGCGTCTCCAGCTACAAGGGCTACAAGTAATGGACCACCAGAGACAGAAGAGTAGCTGTAGAACAAGAAGAACTCTCCTCTCGTGCTTGAATCTTCAGTTAACCTCCCAAACGTATCGATCTCTTCGCCCCAAAAGTTATATGGAAACAACATAGCCACTTTGTTCAACAATCCGTATCCGAGTCTCTGAATCGCTTCTTTCTTCTTCAGAGGAAGCTCAGGATAAAACCCAATTGCACCTTTCTTCAGAACACCTAGAGGAACCGTGCAAAGAGCCATATCGCAGTAGAACTCCTTCTCACCCGCGTAAACAAGAACACCGTTGCTTCCATATCTGATGCTCTCGACAGTATTCCCATAGAAAACAGGAAGATTCTCAGCCAGAGCATGTACAAATATCTCGTTCCCACCTGGGATAAAACAATGATCACCGCCCATCTCATACGGATCATCTTGATCCCAATACGCCATTGACAAGTTCCCTAACAATGTAGCATTTGCATATTCCAAATTTGCTAAATGCCAATCTAAGAGCATTCTCTCTTGCGGATCCTCTGCAACCCCATAAACTAATCGAAACGTTTCAAGCGCTTCTCCCAACGGCACATCTACTGATTTAATCTCCTCTATCATCGACTGTCTAAGCTTACAAACTCTATCTAATAACTTATTAAACGATGCTTCGATCTTAGAATCAACACCAACATCAACAAGCTCTCCACTAGGTAGATACAAAGGACAAATATCTCTAACCTTATGTAGAGGCAAACCGAGTTGTCTCGCTAAAACACCAAGCGGATTCCCATTAATTCCGGTGAGAACACTTCCACCAACATCAGCCATTGCCTCAACACCATCACCACCTTTCATTTTCCGGGTCTTGACCCGCCCGCCCGGTCGATCTCTACCTTCAAGAACCAAAACCCTAAACCCCATTGACAACAATTGTCTAGCAGCCACCAAACCGGCAAGACCCGCACCTACAACCACCACATTAGGCGGCTCTACGCCATCAAAGGACCTCAATTTCGCTTCTTTGATGACCGGAGCGAGCCCGAAGTTGATATAACCGTGCTCCAGGAGGAAATTGTAAGCTGTATCGACTAGGGTTTTGTGTTCGGAGCGTATGGACTCGAGGGCGTGATCTCTCGTAAGCCAATTCGAGACATTTGATCGCCACAAAGCGATAATGTGATTCCTCACAACGATGTAATTCGCCTGTTCTTTACCTCCTATAATCGAAACCACATTTGCTTCGATTTCTTCCTCTGTGAGCGAATTTACTGGAAACCCTACAGACATTGCGATTAGGGCTTCGGAATCCAATTCTTTCCCGACGCTGTTGCGACGGTTTCTGGAGAAAGCTGGGTTCGCGTTTATCTCCGTGAAGAAACGTTTCCTACGGCGTCGTTTTCTTGCCCTAGGTCCAGGCTCCGCCGCATTGGGGTTTTGCGATTGCTGCTCTGCCACCAGATCGGAAGATTCTTCACCGAGTGATTCCGAGATGCGTGTTTCGATTGTTGTGCCTGGAGGAGGAGGAGGAGGCGTAGGTTGAAGCTCCGTAAATGGCGAATTGTCGTCAAGTGAGTTTTGGCCGTCTTCAAGATTTTGCTCCGATTGACTCGCCGATTGCGAAAGGTCTGTCTCCGTATCCGACGCATCGGAAATGACGTCGTTATCGCCGGCGGTGAGCTTTCCGAGAGCTTCTCCGGATGGATCCACATTAGAACGGGTTTCCGGGTCTTCGGGTGTAGATTCGGGTCGGGTTTCTTTAGTATCTGTTGACATGCTATGCTGTGTGAGTGACGACGACGGACGACCATTAAGTGTTGTTAAGCCTTCTTTTTTAGCTAAATAAATGGTTCATTGAAACGCAGCGTTTTCATAAAGAACTAAATTCAATCCACAAATATATGGGCCTGGCCCATTTACTAAACAATTTTTTTTTCAAAATTTTCTCAAATGTTTTCTTGGAAAAATAATTTGTTTGTTTGGTGTTATCAGACACTAGTTAACAAAAACAAACAAAAAAAGACCTAGCAACTGTAGTGTGGAATGTGAATTTTATCAAAAATTATTTCATCATCCAATAGAAGAGAAATTTGGAGAAAGTGGGAAAGATCAATGGGGAACAAGACCTAATATTCTTTTAACCGAAACTTCTAGGGTCGTTTTCAAAAGAGAAAGAACAACTAAAAAATTTCTCGTGACTTAGTCCCACTATTAGGACTGATTTATGGGGAACAATCACAATTCGTATTACAAGAAAGTGCACAATCAATGTATATATAGTATGTACTTATAACGTTCATGATTATTCATCATGTGATAAGAAGTACTAATAATGAGGAAAACTTGTCTGCAAATCAAATCAAATACAGAACTCACTTTACTATCATATGTAAAGTATTGTATATTTTGTATATCTCTCGATTGTTTTTTTTTTTTTTTTTGGCTCAATTTCAACTTTGCATTAAACCAGTGATCAGTTACACTTGTTTATCAACCTCAATGTATTATTCTAACCAATTGGAAACCACATAATACAACTTGGGGACATAGTCAGGGTATATCAGTATATGTCTAGATTGTTTAAATGAAAAGGGACGCACAAGAGCGACTAATGTATTTTATCTCCATTTTTACCTAAAGAACCGCCAAATTATCATTTGATTAACTATAACATACAAAAATTGCTACAATGTAGACGGATTTTTTATACAAAAAATTTGGTAGAACACTATTGTTTTTTTTTACGTACCATATGGTCGTCATCATTTGCATAGGCAAAAAATAGTTTTACTAAATTTTAAGATGTAAAACAAAAAAAAAGTAAGTGTTTTATCAAACAAAAAAAAGTGTTTTTTAATAAAAAAAAGTTATCTAATATATCGATCCAATTGATTTTGTAAAAATTAGTTGTCAATCTTTTCTTTGCTAATTTAACTAGATCGATAAGCAAGTATGAAGAAACTAACTTTAGCAATCTTGTAAGTTGTATCCTTTATCAAAAAAAAAAAAAAATATTGTAAGTTGTATCTACATAAAAAAATATCAAAAAGAAAACATCCACCTAACAAAAAACATTAATATTTCATATGCGAAAGCAACATCTTGCATCAACTTTGTACGACCAAGTAAAACAGCTGTTTTTGAGTTCATATTTGTGTGTTTATCATATGTGCACGTATATATATTACTTTATATACATCCCGGCCGTTGCTTGTACGTATACGATTTATATATATATATATATATACATAATACATCTCTCATAATTGGTAAGATATCTTCTACAGTCTACACGTTCGATAAGAGTTTTTTTTTTTTTTTGAATTGAATGTAAAATTGATTCAAAAACAAAAAAACAACGTTTTTACATCAAAATCAAAAAGAAAGATGCGAAGCTATTTTATAAGATACATTTGAAGAGTTTTCTATCTTGTGGCGAACCAGAACTGAAGACTGCCCTCCAGTTTGGTGAATCCCGAAGATCGTATGGTGAAAACTTATTGTCACGTTCGATAAGAGTTTCATATTAGTACTTTTGTAAATCATAAACCGATTGTTATGTTTTAGTTAAAATCGTAAACCGATTATTGATAATTGGTGAGACGTTTAGGATGACCAAACCGAATTTCTTGTTTCTAGTGGAACTTAAATCTATATACTAAATGTCAATTCAAAAAAAAAAAATCGATATACTACATGTTTTATAAGTTGTGTATGAATAGGATCAAAACTTTATTGATTATTCGGCAAATATATGTCCAAAACGAGTAGCCGACCAAATCCAAAACCAGCGACGGAAGAATCGGTCTGATTTTCGTTTAACAAAGGACGTGGGTGGTGGAAAATATCATTAACTTAATCCAAATAACAAACACCTTTATTATACAATAAAAACTTGTTATGAAAGTTATTAAATAATCACCAACAAGGCAACAACTTTGCATAGTACGTGGAATATATTTTATAAATACTAATATACATAGTACCAAGTCAATTCATTTGGGGATATATAGTTAGTAACTATTGTACCAAAGCATTGTAAATTTAAAGATTTTTTGTTAAATATAATAATTTTAAGTCGGTTCCGACTACTAATTAAAGATTAATTAGTCTAATTTCGTTATTCCAAATCCAAAACTTTAACACGTCGGATTCTCCTGGACAACATGTCAACGATATTTAACAACACAACCTATCTTCAAGAAAACAAGCAGGGAATAAATCATCTTTAGGGTTTATTAATTTTTGACCCCACGTTTTATGGTGTCTTACAGATTCAACCCTTATGCTGTTTTTCCATACCATGTCAATGTTTTTGGATGTTAATTACTACTTCATACTCAAAAGTCACAACTGCTGAATTTTTAAATATACAGGACACACAAAGTCCACTTTTTGCTTGTCAAAGACCTAAATAGATTTTGCTTGACAAAGTTTTCTTTATTATATTGTTGCGGTTTGTATGGCAATTGTAAATTCAGAGATTAGAGGCCCTTTAACTTTGGATCCTAGTTAACTAATAAAAAAGAAACACAGATTAAAAAGTATATAACATGATTACTTTATTAATAATGAATAGTCAAACGATCGGAATAATGCAAACATTGTAGGTGAATAAAGTTTTCGATAAATAATCATTAAACTGATATTAAAAACTAGTATAATGTCTACCAAATACTTTATTAAGTTGCAATGGAGATTAGTTTTGATTTTAATTTAAAGTTTGATTGATAAAATCGTAAAAAGTAAAACCTTATGGGTAATACTTGATTATTTTCAAGAATAATTGGGCTATAACAAAATAAACCAGAAGTATAAGGGGCATTGTCTGACTGTAACGCGGAACTCTTTTTCCAACACAAGACTTTTCTTATGTCTCTGTGTTATTCTTATAAAAGCAAACATCGTTTGGAGGTTTTACGCTACACTCCATAACCCAAAGAACAAGTTAGAAGAAACACACACAAAAGAAGAAGAAGATGAAACTTATTTGGTCACCGGAAACAGCATCAAAGGCTTACATCGACACCGTTAAATCGGTAGGGTTCATATGATTCCGTTAAAGAGTTTCGCACCGTTCTCAAAATCATAAAATTTTATTAAAAAACAAAAATTGATGCTTTGCCACGAAGGAAGGTTCTTTTGATATTTTCACCATTTCTCAAGAACGCAATTCTCTAAATTTGACAATACTTTCGAGAAATTTGAGATTGATCTTTGCACGTTTTTGGAGATTCCAAAGACGAAGATGTTTGATCTTTGCACGTTTTGGTCCTTTGTTTACAATTTGTAAAGTTTTTGATTTTTGGGTAATTTTTGTGTAGTGCGAGAGTCTTGCAACGCCGGGATCGGCGGAGCTAGTGGCCGCGATGGCGGCGGGATGGAACGCGACTCTGATCGTGGAAACATGGTCAGAAGGAGAAACCATAGCCATAAGCGTTGGTTTAAACGTAGCGAGACAACACACAAACGCAAGACACATATGTATTGTACCAAACGCGAGATCAGAAAACGCTTATCTTCAAGCCATGAGACAACAATCTTGCTCCAACTTGCCGGAGACAATCGTTATGAACGAGGAACAAGAAGCAACCGAGAACACGATGCAGAAGCTACAAGGTATCGATTTCTTGGTAATTGATTGGGATCAAAAGGAATTCGCAGCAAACGTTTTGAGAAACGCTGCGTTTGGTAGCCGAGGAGCGGTTGTGGTCTGCAGAAGCGGTTACAGGAGAAGCACTTCGTGTTTCAGTTGGACAAAAGCTTTTAGTGACCGGAAAGTTGTGAGAACGGTGACTCTTCCGGTTTCCGGTGGACTAGAAATCGCTCATGTGGCGGCGGCGAGAAGCTCTGGGAAGAGTGATAACAACAGCAAGAGAAAATGGATCAAGCATATTGATCAAAGATCAGGAGAAGAACATGTTATTAGAAAGTGACTATACAGAGAAAAAACAGTGTGGAGTGATATGTTTGATATTTTCCGTGTTTATGATTTGTATGAGAGTGATTTGTACATAAAACCCAATATATTGCAATATTTATTGGAAGATTTGATTGTTGTGTTACAATTACATTGAATTTCAAGGAAATGACATAATAATCATCTAAGTTAAAGCTTTAGAATCAACCTTGACTCCATTTGTATGTATGGTTTGAAGTTTAATCCCAACTACTACGGTCTCTTCTCGCAGCTTTCTTGTCCGAAATAACTTTTTTGCTTTTAAGTCGTTTATTGTCAGCTTTTGCAGCCCTGAAAATGTCACAATTCACCAGGTAAAGATTTAAAGATTGGAAGGAAGAAAGATGGGATCAAGGAAAGAAGTAATGGTATGGTTGATTCTTACAGCTTAACAATTTTCTTCTTCTGTTCTTCTGATGGTGGTGGTGGAACATATGAAGCCGCATCAATTATCGCCTGTTAAGTTTTGTATGATTAGATCATTAGACCAAAACATATCGGCATTATATAGAACGAGGAAAAAACACCATGACCAAAGACAGGGACATTCAATAGAGTCATTTGGTATCTTACCTGTAATTTAGCAAGTGCATCGTCGATGTTGCCTCTGCAATAAAACATACTATCAGAAACGGAGTTTCCTTGAAAATGGAACAAGAAAGACAAGAGTTTTAGGTTTACTGACTTCTGCGTTCTGGTTTTGGTTGAAGATATCACAAGTTCTCCGTCCTTGTTGATCCGATTCTTCTCCTGTTAACAAACAACAAAAGCAAGCTTACACAACGCATAACCATTTGAACTTGCTCCACAGAACATGATAGAGATAAAACTCGCATTCATAGTTATGTAGCGTTAATAGAGTAAAACACAAACCGTCTGTATGATTTTCTCTCTGATCCTATCACTTAGCCAGTATGCGTTTTTCACATTGAAGCGCATATCTACTTTGGTATTCACTGAAGGAAAGAAAAAACAGTGAATTGGTACATAAGAAGGAAGTACAAGCATTGAGTCAAAAAGCTAAAATGCAAAAAATAAAGGTCACACCTTTGTTCACGTTCTGGCCTCCAGGACCACCGCTTCTAGCAAAGTTAAGTGTAACATGGTCTGCAAAGTAACAAAACAGAAGATAGAAATGAAACTATAAACACATCAAATCCCAACTGTTTACATCATCTTACCAGTATACTAAACATAATTCTATATAACTATGCTTTTACTAATCTACAAAACAATTCAACCAAGAGCAATTATATACACAAACAACATAATTAACGAAGGCAGGTGATTAATTGAATCGATTTGAGAGAATCATGTATACGATTGCACACAGGCTCTATACAATGTGTAAGAGTCATCAGAAAGTAGAGTTCTTCATAGAAACAAACTAAACCCATTTTCTTTTAATCAAACTATCCTCACTTTCCTGATTTTCTAATCAAGAAATTTTCTGGAATTCCCGCAAAACTATATTTCTGAAATTCTGAAATTCCCGGAAAACTAGTAGATGGGTGAAGTAAAAAAGCTTAACTAGAGTGATTTGAGGAATAGGCTCATTGCCGGCGGAATTAGCCCGCTCCTCTGCCTCATGAAGCATCTGTTGCACCTGAGACAACCGAGACGAAACTTTCCGGTCACCGTCGCTTCCACCGGAGGTCGACGCCGCACATCGGAAGGATCCGAATCGGGAATTTGAGAGAACCGGAACATTCCGGGGAGTGCGACGGAGGGATGGCAAAACGAATTGAAGAGTTTTAGATGATGAGTGAAAGAGAAGCGGGTGATGGATAACTTGGCGAAGGATCATATTCGTCATCGTCCTGATTGCCGCCATTTTTTCTCGGCCTGAAGATTTCCGAATTTTTCCGATGTCAATGTTGATTACGAGAAGAAGGCCCTAAATTTTTTGCGTGGCTCCCAAATTCCGGTTTGTTTAAATTCAACGGTTTGGTTACACGGTTCGGAACTTTTTTGTGGTTATCTGCCTACTTTTAAATAGTCCGGTCTAAAGGCGTTACTTCGTGATTTCCCGGTTCAAAACCGCCAGTTTCGGAATTAGATAGCCTTGTTTTGTGTTTGTTTGGGCCGAACTTCTGGCTTTTTTTTTGGGTTTGTTGAATAAAACCAATTAATGCTTTTTTGGGTTTGGTGGCCAATGCTTTTAGATAGCTCAAGCATTTCCACAATACATTCAACAAATGTAGTTGTGTAGTGTCTTCACTTAATTTGTAGTGTCAAAAGACTCAAAACGCAACTGCTTATAGCTGTGTAACTCTGTTTACTTGGTTCAGTAATTTTTGAATTTTTCCTTTCTAAGTGATGAGGCAACGAATATTGTCGTTCATAGTTTGGTGGAGCCATAAAATTCAGAATGCATTGTTATTGGGATATAAAGCCTTTGACAATATTTTCTAGACATCTTCATATTGAGATCTATCCTATAACTAATTTAAAAGAAACACTAATGCATGGAGTCTCGAAGTATCCCACTTTGGAACAAAAATTGCATGTGTCAAGTGGTCGAGGAGTAGAAACTTTTTTTTTCTTTTCTTTTTAAACTAACTTAAATTCATATATTTGTCAAACTAGTAGGATCTTCCTTACCTAATTAAGAAAAAAGTGATTGTGATTTGTCTCAAAAACAAATATCAGTTATAAAAGTGAGTAGATTCTCAGTCACTCTCTTAATTATAGCTTTGTTATAACATGCTCCGCATCATTTCTTAATAAAAATTACAGTTTTATTAAAGTTTAACTTATATATATTCTGAATTGTTACGTTGTATTCCGACTATATTAGTTCAAGCTAATAAAATTCACTTTGCCGAAAAAAATATATATTCTGAATTGTTATATTTTCTCAATAATTTTGGGGTTGTAACTATTGGCTTTTAAGGGTTAAGTAGATAAATATACCACTTTTTGTATTTATTAAGAATCATTTTCTTAAACAAAAAATTGAGATGATTTGGCCAAGACATGTAGTATAATAATACTTATAATGTCGTCAATGTACCATGATCCATATTCAAATATACCTAATAAATTATATAATTTTTTATAAAAAAAGAATAACCTTAAGCTTCGATTGGTAAGCTCTGCTATTTCATGATTACACGATGTTAGTTTATGCTTTTATGGTGTTAATGAGATTTTTCTTTTGGTCATGGGTTTATGAGATTATAATTATTATTTTGTATTATAGTCTTCTAACCGATAGTGTTGATTCATGATTTGCTTACAAACATGGAAACCTTGGATATAATTCCATCACATGCTCCATAAGAAAATCTAATGTTTATAATATTATTACTCGAAATCATAATTCAAAAGAGACATAATCTCTTTTTATCATCATGCATTTCATATCAAACCCCCGTAAGTAATAATGGTCTCTCTTTTCAAATAATATTCTATATTTCTATTTTAACAATTTAATAATACAAAAACATGGAGTAACAATTTGGACTCCTAAGAAACCCGATTGTATATTATGTATGGATTATACCCTACGTATTGAATACCCTATGTATCAAATAACATTCGACTTATTAAGTTAGTATTCTGGATCGTGGACCCACCTCAACAACATTAAAATAAACACAAACAAATAAATTATATGTGTATATATGATCAATAAAATACCACTAGTTTCTAAACAAACATTTTTAAAAATACGGGACATATATCTACTATTCTTTACGTTACCTATTAATTATTTGATTCATAAATAAATACAATAATTTCTGTCCAAATCTGTTGCAAATATTTTAATATTAGGTTATATGTTCTTCAAAAAACTAAGAGATTCTTTGACGTCATTCAGAGAGGGACAATCGCATCAGCAATGCAAACAAATTCCAATGATAATCCAGTCAAACTTGGGATGTTTGACCGCACGTGCCAGAAGACAGATGAGCTTGTCAGGTAAACGACGCCGTTTTTCCTACAGTTTTCTTACAGAGGCTATCATCTATTACGCTTCATGCATACAACTACATAGCCGATGAAGGTTTTTTTTTTGGTCGAGAATCAGATTACCAACTATACCTTTTATGCATAATAAAATTTTCGAAAAAAATGTTTAAATAGATCCAATCTTATTAAATAAAATTAGAGGGGATATACTAATAACCAATAATCTTTACAGAAGAGCAAAAATCTCTGTTAATCATGCCACATATCAGGATCATAAGCGTAATCAAATTTGATATATTGTAGATATCGTACATCATTATTTATATCTGAAAACAGTGATTAGACGATTTACCATGTAAAAATATCATAATAGGCTAAGAAAGCCACTCCTGTTTTAAGCTAATATCATTACCTGTTGAAAAATGGTCATCTGTATAAAACAATATTCATAGTATATATAAATAAAATAAAATTAATATAACGAGTTAGATCCTAAATTTGTTTAAAACATGTCAAAAACGAATCTACTTTATTTGTTATATTATATAAAAAACGGAGGTTTGTATAATGATGAATAAGCATTGGGAGAGGACGAGATTCTTGTGTATTACAAAAAGATTGTTCTGTACCATATCATTATAATTTCTCTTTTCAACTTTTAAAATCTTTTTAAGCAACAATAAATATTAAAACTAATTAAAAACAGATACAAATAATGAGAGAGAGAGATTTGGTGAGAAGTCAGCATTTGCCGACAGGAAATTCTGTCTTACCACCAAAATACCAAATCAATAATGCCTAACTACTTTTTTGAGGTCGTAACTTTTTTACTTCTTTCTTTGGCGTCTACGCATTTTTTTTTTTATGTCAGCAATACAGTTTCCATAATGTCGATGTTTTTGGAAAAATATGATTGCAACAAAATAATAAAACAAACTCTAATCTATTTTTTCATTTGTTTTTCCTTTGATCATTTGTTTTAACAGATAAAATGAACATCTAATTCTTTCACAGATTCCGAAAATTAATTTGTGATTCGACTATTGATCCTTTGATCATATATATATAACCGCTTTCTGCATAAATCTTCAATAAATCATTTTTACTTGTATCTTTTGGTTTGGAATGGAATAAGTCATCTTTAATCAAAAGATATTGTTCATAGTCGTATTCATAATACAGATATAATGGCATTTTTAATTTATGGTATTATTAGAAAACAAAACCTAAAAAATTCATCTGATGATCTCTTAAAAGTTGTAGTATTTCTTAGACAATTCTGATATTAATGTATTTGAATGATCCAATATGTTTTTTAGCCAAACTTTCTGTGTAGTTATGAGTTTTGAATTTTCTTGAGATCAACAGCTAATGGAGGTGGGTAAGATGAATCTAATACCAATCAAGTATAAAGTTATCAAAACAAAAATAAAGTGTATTCTTTTTCATTATAATATGCTCTTGGTGGGGTATAATTATTGAAATATACTTTATAGGTTTATTTTACCCCTCCTTTGGGCAAGTAAAAATGATTCCTTGATGAAATAATTCAAAAGCAAACGAATTCCCTTGCACTCAGTAACAATTATTTCTCCACACTTTCAAATTGATAGATAATCATCAGTTGAAAAAATAGTAATACTATCTTTTAATAAAGAATATATGCATGCATTTACATCTGTAAGATGTCGAGAGAAAAAAAAATACATATATGTCCGTAAGAAAATGGTTGTTGACTAGGCATTGTCACAAAAAAAGGAGAGTACTTAGATTTATCTATTGTCTGGTAAAACACCATCCAAAATGAATGTGTTTTCTTTTACTTTCTTAACATTTTTTTATTAAGTCATTCATTAATTTATTATTTATTATATTTTTGTTTGTTGGTGGTTTTGTTGTTACTTAATTTGTGTAATTTCACTTTAGCTGTCCAGTCAGTACAGTTATGCTATTTTTATCCCTAAATTTTCAAAGTTCAGTACTATTGATAAAAAGCTATGATGAATATTATGGAGGTTAGATTTGCATATCAAAAGATATACAACAAGGAAAACTTTTTGAACAGAAGTTCACTTTTAAATTCTTTTACTATACCATTTTTTTACAAGAGTGTAAAATCATGGGTTTTCAAAAAAGAATAATTCTCTTTTCTAATCTAAAAAGGATCATAAATAGTACAAATCATGAGCTTGGGGAAAAAGGACAAAAGACTTGACCTCTTTTACCATTCACAACAGTACAAATTATGGGTAACTAAACACACAAAAACACACAAGGACTGAATCTTGGAACTTTATCCATGAAAATCAAATCATTTTTTGTAATTCTCAACGAACAAAAACAAAAACAAGGTTGTGGATTTTGGGTTTAGTGTTTTAAAGATTGTTCTTCTAACTTCGACAGTTTCACTTACACAACTTCAATACATAACATCAAAAAAAGCTTTGATTTTGATGCAAGAACCTCCCACTACTTGCTTTCGTTGTGGGGATCCACTTTTCTTTTAGAAAAGATGTAGAAAAAGGATGTAACTCAGTCTAGATTGATAAATAGATAGATAATCATAATCATATAGGCGGTGAAAGCGAACATCCAAAACCCGGTTATGTTCTTGGATGACAAAAAGGTCTACATCTTTCGTCGTCGACATCAACTGAAAACTTACATGTTATGATGAAGAAAGAACGTGAAATTTTTATTAAAACTAAAAGGTTTTTTTTCATGAAGTCAATTTCTTGAAATGGAAAGACATTGGTTCGAGTCATGATTAAAGAATATTAACGTTAACGAAAAAAAGAACAAAAGAGACAGATAAAGGGATCATTACAATGTACTACAATAGAGAAGATGAAGCTGTCGTGTTGATGCCATTAATGTTCCATTAATGTTCTTTAACTACAACCTTTGAGCTTTTGAACCAATAGATTGATGATTACGACAAGAGAAGAAACCAAAATAGAAGTCGTTTCACATTAGATTTCATTGCTACTCAAAAGCCAAAAATTTGTGCAGAAACATTGGAAGTTTTAAATGGTAATATGATAAAGACAAGAAACTTTACAAGAATCACTTGTATTTATCCAAAACCAGTCTCAAGATCATTGCTACAGTCAAAAAAGACACTGGAAAAATCGATAGGCTAAAGAAACACAATGATATGGCTCTCTTTCTCACCTCCTAGAGGAGCCAAGTAGAAATTGAATTAAGGGTTGTAAAAAAAAAAGAAAAGAATTCAAGCAATCCTAACAAAATGGCCAAGTTCTAATGAAAAAAACTAAAAAAAAATTAACAAGTCACACCGAGGATGTGTCTATGAGAACATCGTTTAACACATCATCTTCACCATCTGCCATAGTGAGAAGCTCAGCATCTCTCTCTTCATCGTTTGAAAAATCCCGCCTTTCAAACTTGGAATTAGCTGATATAAAAATTAGCTTTTGAGCTCGATCCATGGCTGCACGTGATCGACCGTTCGAGTTTACCCATCTCAAAAGAGAGGAATTGCATTTGAACCCACAAGAAGTCGCATGAAGGAAAATCAACCTAACAGCAACTCTCCCCAATGACCTAAACTCACTAAGATAAGTCTCCCAAACAAGTCTACTGCTTTGCGGATTAGCTATCTTCATCTTCCCTGAAACCGGGTCTCTCTCCTTCATTTGAACGGCTCGTGCATAAACCGGATCAAGCCCTTCTGTTCTCCATTTCATAAGCTCCATCATGGCTATATGTGCCTCGTCTCTAGACACAAGCCTTGTGATCAACTTATCAACATCTTTCTCTTGCTCCGGCGACAAGCATTTAAACGGAGGAAGATACTTTCCGGTGCTGTCTCTTATCAAGTAAAGCGGGTCAAGTATAAACGCTGCAGCCCAAGCCGGGTGATAACTTTTCTTGAACCTTCTCTCAACGAGCTTCTCTACTTGCCTCTCTTCAACTACATTGAACTTTGCGTACCAATCTTTGATCTTTGATCTCAACTCGTCCCAAAGAGGCAAGCATTGACCTATCAATGGCCTCTCTTCCTCTATTCTCCGAGCCATCTCTTTAACGAGCTTCAACAGCGAGTAAACCGCTTCTACCTCGTTCCAAAACCCGACATCACCGACCATCTCACCAACCTCTCTAGCCAAATGATCCTCCATTAGAACAACTTTCCAAGCATCATCATGCGTCACTAACTGAACCGCTCTAGCGGAATTAAGCACGTCCTCGAGGAGATTATACAATGGCTCAAACGAGGAACATTCCAAAGGCGAATGCAGCATTCTTGATTCTCCTTGCTCTTGCAACTGATACTTACACAGAGCGTTACGTATCTGCGCCGTATTGTTGATGAAGCTTACTAGCCTAGAGCAGCTTTGAGAGACGGATTTGAACAAAGGAAGCTCTTTTATGAAGTCTTTGATCAAACTGTTGAATCCTTGAAACTGACAAGAGAGATTCACCATCCATGAATGCTGGCTCTCGAGATTCCTCAACGCTTTACTCATAAACCTATCCGAAACAATGCCAACACACCTCTGAGGTGAATTTCCACAAATACCCCTTACCGTCTCCCACAGAACTTCCTCTGCGTAGTTTGACGGCACAGCTCCGTTCACGAACACGGCTCGTCTGTACAGACTCGTCCCATTGGGAAGATTTACGATCAAGTTCACGAGATTCTCGCCGGAGCTCTCGAATTTCCATCCGTCTGAAGCGATTTGGAAGAACATTGCGTCGTGGATTCTCGATTCAGCTTCTGCTCTCGAGTCATCGTACTTTAAATCCAACCTTCCGGCGACGAAATCTCTCCTTGAGATGATCGGTAAACCAACTTGCGTCAAAAAAGCTCTCAACTTTGGATGCTCAAGACCAGATAGAGAAACAGAGCCGCAAGATTCGAAAACCCAATCGGAGAGAGAATCAAGCGCCGATTCTATCTGGGCTTTGCTTAGATTCTGCGTCTGCGTAGTTTTGGGGCTTTTAAGCTTCTTCACACTGTCTTCAAGCATAGCTAAAGGACCCAAATCGTCTTTTCCACCGGAAAGCATCAAATGCGGCTGCTGCGGCAGAGAAGACGCAGAGTACTGCAAATCTCTGCCGCAGAACCTCGACGGATCAACGACGGTGAGAGGCGTCACGTGATAAGACCCTACTGGATGGTGATGATTCAACGGAGAAGGAGCCTCGACGGCGACGGAGCTTCCGCCGGAGGAATTGCGTTTTCGATTTGACGGCGGCGGAGGAGGAGGAGGAGAGGGAGAGATTGTGGAGATGGGTTTTGGTAAAGAGTTGAAATTTGGGCAAGTCCCGCGTTTGAGATGCTCGGAGGCGGTTCGTGAAGGGTTAGAGGCGGAGAAAACGGCGTCGCATAAGGAGCAACGGAGCTTGACGGCTTTGGGAAGACCAGTGTCGGTGTTGTGAAGTAAGACTGGTTCGAGATGGCTCCAGTACCACGCGCCTTTGCCTTTTACTGCTTTTGTTCTCACCATCATTAATCCTTCGTAACGCTTCTGTAACGCTTTGGACGCTAATTCTTCTGCCGACGGTAATGGCGGTTGCGGTGACTGCGATTGCGTCGCGTTCGTCGTTGTCGCCATTGTAGTAAAGTCAAAAACTTGAAACAAACCCTCCTCTCGTTGAATTGAGCAGAGAATCAGAGAAATTCTAGAAATTTACTCGGAGTAGAAAATTGAAGAACTTTCCCGGAAAATGAAAAAAAGTTGAAACCTTTAAGCGAGATTCTTAGTTTTTAGTCGTTGTTAGTCCCTTCTATTCAAACGAAAAGCCGTTAAATTTCATACGGGAAATTCGCCGACGGCCGGAGATATTCGGAGCTCCGGTGATTTCTCATGGTGTAAATGAGACGGCACAAAAACAAAAGAGTTCACTTCCTCTCTTTCTATCTATTAAAAAAAAAAAAAAAATCTGTTTCCTCTCTGTGCTCTCTTCACTGATCGTTTTAAAAAAAAAAAACTCTGAAGAAAATTCAAAGAGAAGAAAGAGACAGGAGAGAGAGAACAAAGAAGAGGGAGAGAGAGAGGAGAAGAAAATAAGGGAGACAAGAGTTTTAAAAGAGTGAATCTCACGCGCTTGTTGTAAGCGCGTGGAGTTAAATATATCATCGAATGGAACGTTTGATAGGAACAAGGTGAGACCAGAGTCCCACGTCGTACGAGAACGGAAACAAAGCATTGGATGTTAGACTCTCTCACTTCCTTCTCATTGGTGCGTATAACTCACGCTCTTCATAAAGGGATTTTATTTAATATAATTATTTTACACCTTTTCTAAAAATTAAAAAAAATAATCCCATTATTTTTCAATTTTTTTTATGTCTCCTGCTTTCATACTTTCACCTCAAAATTTTTTTTGAGTGAATTGTTGGGTTCTTGTGTGGAAGAGGTCTTCGTCTGTTTTCTCCTTTCCTTAATTTATAATATTTTCTACTATTCTATAGTATCAACTATTCCACGTAATCAAAATTTGGTATTTTAAGATTTTTTTTGAGTGGTATATAATTCGTGTTGTGAACTAACCAGTAACCACCCATATGATTATAATTTGGGGAGAGGGAAATCATTCATGACATAAGCAGTTCACAAACTTAGTACGAAATCATTAAATGATTTTTTTTAAGTAGATAATTGTGTGAAAGTGTTTATAAATGAGTGAAAGATATGAAATTCTTAATTTAATAGATTTACTTTCTATTATTAATATAAAAAAAGGAAAAATACAAGAATGATGAGTGGGGTTTCCATTTGTGTCTTGTTGTCTATGTGGGATATATTCAGAATGTGGGCATAAAAGGGCAACCTAGGAATTTAATTTGTTTCTATAGAGACTGTGTCTGTGACTGAGAAAGAGAGACTGTGAATGTGTTTGTTGACCAAAAGGACACACTCCTTAGTAAAAAATACTTATTCATTTCCACAAAACAATTCAGTGAAAATGTTTATTGGATTTATATGGTGAAAACAATGAACATATTTTACTGTAACTTGTGATAAAGAATTATTTTCTCATTCGGAATATTAAAAACTTTAGCTGAAACTTGATATTCAGCAGATTTATAATTACTGCTCCTATCAATCATTACTGCTCCTATCAAAGATTATTGCTTCTATTTTATAATCAATGATGTTCAGCAGATTTAATTAGTTTAATTTACTACTACTGATTAACTACTAAGTGCTGTTTTATTATTTTTTCAATGCAAAAAAAAATGTTTTACCTACATATCTTTATTATCGGCTTTAGTATTGATCATTGATTGTAAAATGGATATCCTTTATTTCACTAGTAATTTTGTTGTCACTTGTAAGCAATTTATTTAAACATATCTTGTATAGAAATGAATAAATACCATCAACGTTTATTTTTTTTTTCCGTCACTCATTTCATCTATTCTATGTTGTTTCATTTCATTAGCATGGTGGGGACACTGTGGAAAGCCATTTTTCATCATAAATATATTACTTTCCTATTTAGTTAAAAACTTAAAATTTAACTTTTGCGTAGTAGATAATTTGGTTTCTTGCCATTTTAATGAAATATTTGACTTCTTACTCTCTCTTTTTCCCCGCAATGACTTTTTACTCACTTTTTTTAACTGTCTTGTGTGGCATTCGTGAATCTCATGGTTGTTAGTTGTTACAACACTCATTTCATGTTTTTCTTCGTTGTTCTTTTTACTCTACCTTTTTTTCTGTAAAGTTATTTACTCTACTTCTTTTTCTAGCTAGATTACCTAGTTACTCTACTTCTGCTAGCTTATCTTATACAATTATGTGTTTTCTGAGTGGAGTTTTTTGTTTGTTTTTATACAGATCTGTTGTGGAATTTTGAGCATAGGTATTAAAAAAATAACAGATATATGTAATATTCTACTTGATATATACATTATACGTACATTACGTATCACAATTTTTATTGGACTTGAGCGCTACTGTTATATAGATCGTAGTGAATATAAATTTATTAGAAGGTTGTATTGATTTAAGGTTGCTTTTATGTTCTTATTATCATTAAACATTAGGTTCATATCCCACATTAACTTATCTTTTTTTTTTCGAAGTCCCAATATTAATTAATTCATCATATGTCGATTTCTTGACTATATATAAACCAATAGCTAGTATCCCTATATCTAGATTATTAATGCAATGAGCTATCTTAATCATAAGATCTGTAATATTACGTAGGGTTACAAAATGAAAGAATGTTCGGGTCATATTTTTTTGTTTGCCTACAACTGCACTGCATCTATATTTGGGATCTGCTTCTGAGAATTTTGATATAGGATCGTCAATGGAGTTCAGTCTTTTCTATTTTTTCAGAATATTACATACCTCTTTTTGTAGTCTATCACCAAAAAAAAAAAACAATTGGATCGCAAAATTAAAAATAAAACTTTGTATCAAAAATTAAAACCATAATTAAAGTAAACAAGTGGAGATTAGTATGAGTCAAGATATAATTGGTCAATATCTTAATGTCAATATAGCCACACGTCACAACTGTCTCCCACCTTCTTGTGTACGATCGTATAATGAACATAAATATACGATTGATTTTGTTAAAAAGACAAGAAGACGTACTATAATAAAGTGAACAGCCCAATTATTAAAAGATGAATGGTCCTTAATATGAGATTTGATAAAAATAAAGATAAATAAAAGAATAGTCCTTAGTTTTGAGAATCCGTTGTGTTACATACTATCCGCAAGAATTCAGAGTTTATCTTGTAAACATTGTTTTTTTTTAGGTTGTCTTAAAACCGATTCTTACTTGAAACGAATAAAAAAATTGAGCCAGCTAAAATTAAACCGAACCGATTACGAACTAGCAACAAAACCGAAAAAACTAATTAACGCACATTATACTCTCTCTTTTATCCATCGAGTTTTACATTCGCCTGAAAAAAAATCATATTCTACTTGAAACGAAATAAATAAAGGTGATGATTTGTCTCAGTACGTGAGAGAATTGTTATTATTTTATCCACTTGCCCCGCTACACGTGTCTACTCATTCGTCACAATGTTTTGCCACAATTCTTTTCCTATCTCTAAAAAGACTGTTGTAGTTAAAAAGAAACTTTGTTCCAAAAAAAAAGTTAAATAAAGACTTTAATAGCTTAATTTAATAATTGAATTTAACATGCAAAAGGTTTTTGTAGGGAAAGAAGAATAAGTGATTAACTAGCAAAAGAACAAGAGGACGGATTAAACCACATTGTTTTTTTTTTTTTTTGTCAAACCACAATTACAATAAAGAAAAGAGTAAAAGTAGACAAGAAACACTAACCAAAATTTGACTCTCGTAACTCGCATGATTTTGTCCATACAAAAGTCACATCAAAGGCATTGTATATACTACTATATACAAAACCTTTTTTTCCAATGAATTATTACCACTTTAACAAAACTATGGTTACTACTTCTGGTATTATTATACAAAATAGCTGGATGATTTCAAAACTCCGCAAGTGTTTATTTATTCTAATATAATTTGCGTGACCATTTTAGCTTAAGGTACGTTATATTTCGCAAAATGCTTAAGTAACAAATAAATTCAATGTTCTATTCTGTTTTTTAATCAATGATTTGTTTTAGTGATTTCTTCAAGTGATCCTATATGTACATTCTAAACCCACGTTAATGATACACTACAAGAAAACAATCGTTTTCCAACGGTCCACGACGGATTTTAAATCGTCGCAAATTTACAACGATTTTACGACGATCTTACGTCTAATTTAAAAACCGTCGTAAAACCGTCGTATATAAAAATCGTCGTAAACTCGACGTTCAATTTACGACGAATTACGACGATTATACATCGATAACGAAAGATTTGCTAGTAAATGTAAAATCGTTGTATATTCGTCGTAATTTTGCGACGAATTTACGACGACTACATTTCGATGTACATATTACGACGATTGTACGTCGAAAAAGGAGTTAGGTGAAAAACATTTAAAACATGTTTACCTAACAATTGTAGATGAAAAATTTTATCGCAAAATCATCGTAAACTCGTCGTAATATTATTGTTGAATGTAAAACCGTCGTAAAAAGTCGTCGTAAAAGCGTTGTAAAGCCCGAAATTTTCCTATAAATAGATCTTCATTCCTTCATTCAATCACAACACATCATCATTCAAACATAAGAGCATCTTCATCTTGGAGACCCATTGTAGGTCTCTTAAATTTTAGTATAGTGTTGTAAATCCTTATATATTGGGTTGTCAATTGCTGAAAACCAGAATTAAGATATTACTTTGAATCAAAGAAGTAATAATATTATAAGGTTAATTTACTTCATTCACGTGGCTAGACGTGACACAAGAGACCACCTCCTTTATTGTCTAATCAATAAAAAGAGATAGTATTTTGAGTTTATTTTCAAGATGTCTATATACGAGCTAAGAAGTTGGATGTATATGCGTAAAGATTCAGATGGGGCGTTGACAGAAGAGTTCAAGAACGGGTTAGAAATATTTATGTATCAGGCTACAAATATGGAGAGAACGAAAGATAGTGGGAAGATGTTTTGTCCTTGTTTGAAATGCAAGAATACGAGGTATACACTAACCAAAACCGTGTGGACGCATTTATTAAATAGAAGGTTTATGCCGCAATATTTTGTTTGGTATCTACATGGAGAAGGATATGGCAGTAATACTCATGGGAATGCTGGTAGTAGTAGTAATTATCAAAGTCATGTTGATATTGATGAATCGAATTATGGTCATCAGCCTAATCAGTATCAATGTAACTTTGTTTGTTTGAATTTTTTTAAAACCATATAATTCGATTTTACGACGGTTTTACGACGGTTTTTCTAAACCCTAAACCCTAAGTCTAGGTTTTAAGCCCTGAATGACTAGGGTTTCAACATTACGACGTCTTTACGACGAACCATCGTAATTTCGTCGTAAATTTATGACGGTTTTACGACGAGTACACTATTTCGTCGTAAAAGCGTCGTAATGTTGAAATCCAAGAATTTGAATCTTTTATATCTTATTGGTTGTAAGGTATTTCACAATTGTTTTTGATTGGTTATCTTATTTTATATGAAATGCTATCAATCTGATCAAAATCAAAAATTTGAAAAAAAACATACATATTTACAAGTTCATGCATGTTTTCGTAAATGTTAAGTGAAAGGTTATATATTAGATTACGGAATTTCATTTTTTACTATCTCATGTCATAAATCCATCATACATGCAAAGTTGTAAACCTTTTATTATATGTTAGGATACAATAACCTTTGCATTGTTCTTTATGCAATATCCCATTTATAAGATTTAGGGTTTACTCACTTTTTTAAAAAACATCGTAAAACCGTTGTAATATAATCGTAAATTTACGACGGTTTTACGACGATTAAACCCAAAGTCGTCGTACAACCGTCGTAACGTTTGCACCGGATAGGCTCTTGATCCGAGGTACGAGGTTATAAAAGTTTAGACGTTACGACGATTTTACGACGGTATTGGATTAATCGTCGTAAAACCGTCGTAAAGTTACGACGATTTTACGACGATGACCTCACGACACGTGTCGTGTCATGCAGTGGACCGACTGTTATACAATCATATCGTCGTAAAACCGTCGTAAAGTTACGACGGTTTTACGACGATCACAAAATCTATATAAGGGACGCGAGATTTCTTCATTCGTCGCTCATTCCTCTCTTCCCTCTCTCTCTCTAGAAATCTCTCTATCTCTCTAAAAAATAAATCTCTCATTCTCTCCCTACTCTCCAGCCAATTAATCTGTAAGTATTTTTTTAAATGAATTTCATTACATTTTATTTTAGATTAAGGTTCGGAATTTAGATTTAGGTTCGGAATTTAGATTTAGGTTTCGGAATTTAGATAGGCCCGGATTTTGTAAATTTTAATAAAATTTTTTTGAAAATTAGTAACAATTTTTTTTTAAATTTTGTAGATTTTGTCTTGATGGCTCCTTGGGCTAAGAGATTTCACTACCGACAGCTCGTCGATTCTGACGGTACGGCCCCGTCTACCTCGGCGACCGGCTCAGCCATCCCGGAGTCCTCGGGAACACAACGGACGGTTTCCCAACCGGTCGTTGTTCCGCAGCCGCCACCGCCTCCACCACCACCAGCCGAGCCTGCAGCTCCCGCACAGGCCGAGCCTGAGGCTGATCCTATCCCGCCTGTACCGTATGCCCAATTTACGGTACAGGATCTTCTGGCGCAACCCGGTCGTGGGACCATGAACAAACTCGACCCGGATCGAGCTTCCGGCACCTATTGGTACGTAATTTTTTGCTTACAATATTTTTAAATTAATTAATATTTATTCTTATATATTTTATATTAATTAACTCTTTTTCTTTCCATTTGACTAGGTTTACGACCGACAATGCAGTCGGTCGTAACGTTGCGGATATCATCAAAGGGTTTTTCGTACAACCCCATACCAGCTGGAAGAAGCTGGATCAGGCCACACTTGACACTTGGTTCAAGTGTTTTGCGGTTAGTAATTTACCATTTAATTTCCTTTAATTTTAATTTTAAATTTTAACTTTTTACAATAATTACTAACTTCTTTTTTTTCCTAGCAAAACTGGCATTGGGAAACATCCGCACACAGACGTGTGAAGACGGCCTTCAAGGAGAAGGTCAAATTCCACCTCAACAACACCGTTTCCGACTGGAAGCGGAAGTGGGAGGTCGACGGCGACAAGGCCAAGCCGGCGCCTATGTCCAATACCGTCTGGCGGGGCCTTGTCCAGTACTGGTTGGATCCGCACAACCAGACTACGGCCGCCAAGTGTTCCGGATCTAGGTAAGTCGTAGTTAATTTCAATAATATTTACATTTTTTTTCCTTATAATAGATTCTAATCAAAATATTTTTCAGGAACGCTACTGACGATACGGGAAATCGGAAGAACGTCCCGCACACTTCTGGCCAGATTCCTTTTGCCGGAAGACGGCTTATGATGGTAAGTAAATTAAAATCATTAGTTTTTTTTTCCAAATAATTAACTCTAATTTCTTGATACTAATTAATTTTTTCATTTTCTTTTGTAGGTCGAAGATAACGGAGGAGAACTTCCTCCGATGACGAAGGTTTTCGCCGAGACGCATAATGCGTAACGGCGAATTCACGGATCCTCGGGCGGAGGAGATCTACAACGCCGCCTGTGCGGCGATCGAGGAGCGACAGACGCAGCTGACGCAGCAGGCGCGTCAAACGTCTCCCGGAGGTAGCTCGGTCCAGTCGACCCCGGCGCTGACGGTGGCGGAGATGGACCAGATCTTCGAAGAGGTAATTAATTTTAATTACTATTTTTAATTAATTTAACTTTAGTTTTAAATTATATTTCTAACCATAATATTTTTAAATGTTTGTAAGTTGCCCCAAAGAAAAAGGGGCGGGTATTAGGGATGAGGTCCATCCGTGATACCCCGAGAGCTACGGCGACTGGTCACGTCCGGGTCCCGGATCCGGTTATCCGCCAGGAGATCGATCAGATGCGGACCCGGTACGAGACGAGGATCGACCAGCTCTACGGTCTCTTCGAGACATGGGAGCCGACAATCCGGTACTCATGGCGCAGTTGGACAAGCTGCGGGCTGATGGGGTTGTCGGATCGTCTGCCGCCGGGTCATCCACTAGGACTCAACCGCCGATGCAGACGGACGAGGAGATGTTCCGATATCTCGGGGTTGAGCTTCCTAGAGCCAGAGATCAGGTGTCGGCGGAACCATCAAACCGAATACCCGGCAAGGAACACGTCCAGGACGATAGGGAGGAGGCCGGTGACGGGATCGACGGGATCGATTTAGATTTAGATTTAGATCTGTAGGGTTTTTTTTGTAAATTACAATTAATTTTAATTTCAAATTTTCATAAATTTTAAATTGTAAATTATTATTTTTATTTAAATTTTAATTCGAATTAATTTTTTTTTTTAATTTTCAATTATATTAAACGTCGTATAATCGTCGTAATCGATTTATTCAAACCGTCGTACATTCGTCGTACATATTACGACGAATTTACGACTACAATGTACGACGAGAAATACGACGATTATACGTCCGAGAGTTACGACGATTTTACGACGAAATGAAGAAATACTTTACGATTGATTTACGACGATTTATGCGTCGTACATTTTACGACGATCTTACGTCGACCATTAACGACCACTTAACGACGGTCTAGGCAAAAACCAAGTCGACGCAATTCGATGTAAACTCGTCGTAAACTGTACGACGCATTTACGACGATTTTGTTTGCCTCGATGTTACGACGAAACAAAACCGTCGTATATTATACGACGATTTTACGACGATTTGTCTATTACGATAATGACTTTACGACGATTTCGAAATCGTCGGTAGTCCGTCGTAATGGCCCTATTACGACGAATTAACGACCATTTCGGCCGTTGTAAAATGATGTTTTCTTGTAGTGATACTATTACTAATGGTGTAACAAATTGCAGGAAACTAATATTCTAGATCCCGGAACATCAAAGATTCAAAGTTTATGATCTTTTGAAATCAACTTAACTTCTGTTATCAAGTGTGTGGCAGTCTCCTAGTTCAACTGATGCTACTTAGATCTATTCGAAGTGTATGCTATTTAAGTCTCAAGTGTTTTGGTCTTAACGAAAAAGTGTATGGACTTCGGCTTAAAATTATTTGATTAACCAAAACTAAAATAAAATTAGCCCTTTTTAGTTGATATACCAAATCATTCAATATAATAGGAATAGGAGTAGTTTTTTTTTTTTGTATAATAAGTAGATGTTCCTGATTTTGATTTGTATGTCGGCATACGTCTATTTTCACAAAGAAAATGTTGAACGTATCGAAATGATAACAGTAAAAGCAGTAATGCACAATATTAACAGATGATTATATCAGAATCAAATATTACGGTTACAGTTAATTTGCTTCATTCACAAGCCTGTATTTAGAATTCTGTGCCCAACCACTCCACTACGTTTGTGTGTAGAGCTGATCAATACAAACAACAAAAAGAGCTCAAAAATCGTATTTTGATTGGTGACATACGAAATAATGGTGTGATTATAATTTTTTTATGCGAAAAAATAACATTACAAAAAGTGATACAAATGACAACAGTATAAATAATTTTTTTATGAAATAATAATAGATTATAAATTTTTATTCTTATAAAATGAAACATAAATTCTCATTCATAACATTGTAGTACTATAGTCCAAAGTAATTAAAAATATTATTAAGAAACATAAAAACTATTTAAAGAATATTGAAAATGGGTATTTGGGTCACAATAGTGAATTAGGCACATGATCGATCAAAGCTTTTGGTATTATACTTTTATTCAAGATGTAAGAAACCAAGCCCATCAGGCCCAGTAAAGAAGATCACTAGGGTTTATGAGGAAGAAGAGTAAGGAGGCGACGAAGAAACTGATCGAGACGAAGAAACTGATCTAGAAGACGAAAGAAAAAGAGAAAGAGAAAATGGACGCGAGTATGATGGCTGGACTTGAAGGTCTTCCTGAGGAAGACAAAGCGAAAATGGCCTCCATGATCGATCAGCTTCAGCTACGTGATAGGTTCGTTTTCTAAATCTGTTCTTTTTTTTTTTTCCATTTGATTTTTTTTTTTTTTTTTAAATTTGGGAATGCCGTAAAATTTCAAATTTTTTTGGTTTTATTTGGAAGATCCAGGGAAATTTATATCTTTTATCACATGTAATTTGGATGTATTGAAATGTTTTAACCTCGACACGATTTTCGATTAGCATCGAGCTTGAATCGTTTGTGTCTTTGAACTTTTACTGGGATTAGACGTTACTGTACATTTATAAGTATTCAAGGAGCAGTCTTTGATCGTTAAATTTCAATGCCAATTTGAGGTACCTGTGATTTGGGATAAATGTCACACTCTTTTTAGATTTGTAGAGCAAATTTGAATCAAAGTAAGGGTCTTTACTGGTTTTGTAAGGGATTTGCATCGTTAATATATTTGCGTTCTTAAGCTTTATTGGTCAGAATTTGAACTGAATCAGTGAGTTTCTCTAAATAGTTTTGATTTGTTTAGAACCAAAGAGTGAACTGTGTTCTCAAGAAACACTTTAAGCTGAAACTGTTTTGTTTCATTTTGTTTGTTTGTTTCCTGCTCTTATCAAAACTTAGAAAGCTTCATATAATTGTTATTTCACAACCAGCACTTGAACCTGTTGCTTGTTGTTTGATATTGAAGCTGAGAACAAAAAGATCTCCTTTAAACCAGTGCAGCCAATTAATGCTGCATCTGGACGTTAAGGGAACAACAAGTTATGCATTGTCTAGAATCTGATCTGTCTTGATTGGTTTCCTATTTTTCTAAAGATTTTATGTCTTGAAAATGGAGTTCTAGACTGTAATTTTCTGGTTTTCTTGGAAATTTTCAGCTTGAGAATGTACAATTCGCTGGTGGAGAGGTGTTTTGTGGACTGTGTCGATACATTCACACGCAAAACTCTGCAGAAACAAGAGGAGACTTGTGTTATGCGGTGTGCTGAGAAGTTCCTCAAGCACACAATGCGTGTTGGTTTGCGGTTTGCCGAGCTCAATCAGAACGCACCAACTCAAGACTGAAAAGTTTGGTTTTTGGTCCGGTTTATGAGTTCGAAACCCAGAATAAACCGGTTGTTAGTTGGTTCAGACAACTCTGATACTGTTCTTTGTACTGATACTCCTGTATTTTGAAATTAAATTACTATGTTGTCTAAATCCGATTTTGATATTGAAATGATTTGTATTTCACTAAGTGGTCTATGGAAAAAAATCATATAATATCGTTATTCTAGTAATGTTGACATTTTCATTATTCGCTGAAACTTTTTCGAAATCCATCGGCTGTAAACCGGGAATTTATTGGTAATAAAAACCGATGTCCTTCAAAACCCATCGAAACCGCTTCGATTACCGGTACGAACACTAAATTCATTGGTAATAAAAACACGATGTATTGGTGGAATGAAAACCGATGTAAACCGGGAATTAGTTCGGTCCACAGAAAAAGGTCAAAAACCGGAAGTCTCGTAACTCCTTCCACACCAGTTCCGATCAGAGAAATCTTGAATTCTCCGACCACAAAGGCACAAACTTATGCCTTTTAACTCTGTTTTCGTCATAGGATCTTAGAGAACCAAAAGCTTTGAGTGTGGCTGGGAAGAAGAAGAAGAAGAAGAAGAAGAAGAAGAAGAAAACAGCGAAATCGATTCGAAGTTATTGTTGTCGTAGCCAGGAGGAAGAGGGATGGGAGATGTCTGGACATGGATCATTTCATTCTTAATCCTTATCACTCTTATCGGATTCATCGTTTATCAGGTTCGATCCGATTTCTACTTTGAACAAAGAAACCGTTAAAAAATTATACTTTGGTTCCATCGAATCTCTTTGCCTACTGTATTAGTATAAACTCTGCTTAGGCTTATTCGATTGAGAGAAGAAGTTTCTTTTTATAGGGGTTCGTGTTCTTGCAACATAAAATCGTTTGTAAGAATTGGTTTTCAGTTTTGAAAATGTGATAAATGGAGTAACTTTAGGGTTTGCTCGTGCTTTGATAAAATGTGCTCTGGTTAGGTAAAAATAGATTTCTAATCTTATAGTGAATGTAGATCATGTTTGGAGAAATTTGGATTGACAAGAAACCGGATTTCTTATGTGTTTACACCTCAATGAAGTAGTACAAGACATACTTTATCTGAATCCATGCTCTTGTTAAGAAAGCAACAACTTATCCCTATCCATGGAAATTTTAATAGATTTCTTTGTAACTCAATTTTAAAAAGGAAACGTTTTTCTTCTTCTTTTCTTGCAGCTTATTTGCTTAGCTGATCTCGAGTTTGATTACATCAACCCTTACGACTCTGCATCAAGAATAAACTTTGTGGTATTACCAGAGTTCATTCTTCAAGGAGCTCTATGTTTATTCTACCTCGTAACTGGTCACTGGTTCATGGCACTGCTCTGTGTCCCTTATCTCTACTACAATTTCCAACTGTGAGTCTCTTGTTTCAAATCAGACTCTCAGAAGCAATGGTTAAACATCCAGTGTAAAAGCTGATTCTTATATCATTCTTTCTATGTTAGTTACTCGAAAAAACAGCATTTGATAGACGTCACAGAGATTTTCAACTTGCTTGATTGGGAGAAGAAGAAACGACTCTTCAAGCTCGCTTACATAATCCTCACTCTCTTCCTCACCATTTTCTGGTAAATAAATCTCTTTCAATGTCTTTTGCTCAATCCTGAAATCAGATTAAAAACAGTTTAAAACTTATGTTGTACACTTCTGTTTAAAGGTTAATCTATTCAACACTGGATGATTACGAGGACTGAAGGCGATAGGCAACGCACCGTTTGAATGATCAAACCCTCTCTTGCTAAAAGGTTTATTGTATCTTAATTACAGTGGATGTTGTTAGGGTTTGTGGCATTTAGAGATTTGTGTAATCTTCAGAAACAGATTTATAGTCTGTAGAGAACGTTCTCTTGATCTTGTGGTGTGATGCAGTTAAGTGTGTTAACACCAGAGCTATTAATGTTTTTAGTTATCAAAAATTGGAACCCTCTAATTTGTTCAGCGGTTTTAGTCCTTTTGTAGGGTTTAAGTACTTTTAAAAGTTGACAAATTCTTCAATTGTCTTGTCGTTCAATTCATTATCGTGGTAAGTTGTTTCTCTAGAATTTTGAAATCTTTGAATTAACACTCTGGATCGCAGTTTGTATGAAATCCAAAGGTTAATTTCTCTAGATTTCGATTCTCTTCCTCTACGTCAAACTTTTCCGTGATTTTGTAAGTTTGGTCTTTCCTTTTTGCTCGTTGGATTCTGAATCTGTCGACGTTGGTTTCTTTTACCTAGAAATTAATTTCCTCAAGCCCTAAATAATGTAATCTCTCGATCACATCCTTCTCCATTCTCCTTCTTCTTCCTCCTTTTTCTTTGTGAGGTCTAATTTTGGTTATACGTTGTTTTTTTCTTCTTCTGAATTTCGTGTGAATAAATTGCAATGGACGTAATTATCGAATACCATGGATAATTTTGAAAGATTTGGATAATTTTGAAAGATTTCTGAAAAATTCAGTGACTTATCATGTTTCGTAAATTGGATTAAAGACAGTGTAAATCGAAAATCAAGGTTAAGCCTTCTTTGCTCGTATGATCATCTTTTGATGAGGTTGTGAGTTTTTGAGCTGAAAAGACTAGTGTTCGATACTGTCAAATCCCAAATTAACCGAGCTTTGAGTTGATTCTAATATCTAGATTTTGCTACAATTCAAGTGTCAGTTCTGAATCGATAAACATTTATGTTAATTGCAGGTTTTGTTGATTATCAAGAATCTTGGTTCCTGAATCTTGAATGCTCTCTGGTTGAATCAATGGTTAATTCCATCAAAGGAATCTTCGTCTCCTGATAGAATCTTGTTAATACTCTAATGAATCGCATCTTTTATCTTCAGTTTTTTTATTTACGTTTCTTGTTTCTTTCTTCGTGCAGTGATGTTCCCATGGCACAGTTCATTGCACATTTGAACAATTCGTCGCCTTCTTCACAGAGATTCATAATCCAAATACTGAAACTAGACACTATTTGTATGTTTGTGAAGCCACAAGCTGAGCAGATTATCCGCAGCGAGGTCTCCAAGTTCAGAGACCAACTTTCTTTCGCAAAGCCCGCTTGATCTCTTGTTTTTTCTTTCCCCTTTTTTGTTTACTTGATGTTGATATGGATCTTAATACAGTGTAACATCAAAACATGGTGTTAGAAATTTTTGGTGAAAAACTTGGTGTTTTGTCAGATTAGTATGGAGGATGAGATGAAAAGTTTATGTACTGGAATAGTTTGGTTCTGAAAAACCGAAATGGTTAACATTGGTTTTCTATGCCTAAATATATAACTATTCTTGCTGCAGCCCTACAAAACCTTTTTCATATCTCTGCAAGACCGGACCGGGGTTTTGGAATTTAGTAAAATTGGATTTTTATGTTCTTATATGGATTTGATATGCGACGACAATAGAAATTATAAACCAAATCTTGTACCAGAGAATACAAAGTTGAACCGGTCGGGTATTGAAACTGGAAATGATAATATGAAATCTTGACCGTCAGATACCAAATTAACCCAGCGGCGCTGAAAAGTGAAAAAATTCATCTTTCAGGCTAAAGCGTGTTCAGTAAAAGGGGGTTTATCGAAGTCGGAGACTGTGAAGGGTCCCCAATCAGAGAAAATGTGGAGGAGGGTGATGGTGTTTTCATCGACGGCAAAGAGAAATGTTCATCGGAATCTTCTTGATAACGGTAATATTTGCTGCATTCGAGCTTTTTCTGGTGCTTTGTCTGGTTACAGAGTGATACCCAGAATTGGGATTCGTGATTTGAAGTTAGATGATGCGATTGTTAGAACTGCTTCTCTCTCAATATCTCTTTGCGGTCTCCGTTGCTGGGTAAGAGCTTTTTCTGGTGATAGTTGTGATTACAGAGAGAAGATTAGAAATGGGTTTCTACAGGATATTAAGTTAGATGATGCAATTGGTCTGTTCGGTGAGATGGTAAAGTCTCGTCCTTTTCCTTCCATTGTTGAGTTCAGTAAATTGTTGAGTGCTATTGCGAAGATGAAGAAGTACGATGTTGTCATCTCTATGGGAGAGGAGATGCACAAGTTGGGGATTCGACATGATCTCTTTACTTACAGTATTTTCATAAACTGTTTCTGCCGCTCCTCTCTTCTCTCTTCTGCTTTAGCTATTCTTGGGAAGATGATGAAACTCGGGTATGAGCCCGATATAGTCACGCTTAACTCGCTGCTCAATGGATACTGTCAGGGGAATAGGATTGCAGATGCAGTCTCTCTGCTTGATCAAATGGTGGAATTGGGATTCAAACCTGACACCGTCACACTCAACACTCTTATCCATGGACTTTTTCTCCACAACAAAGTCTCAGAAGCGGTAGCTTTAGTTGACCAAATGGCTGCGAAAGGATGTCAACCAAGTCTGGTTACTTATGGTGTGGTGATAAATGGGATTTGTAAGAGAGGTTATATGGATTTGGCTTTAAATCTGCTCAATAAGATGGAGGAGAAAGGTAAAATTGAGCCAGATGTTGTGATCTACAACATAATCATCGATGGTCTTTGCAAATACAGAGATGTCAGTGAGGCACTCGACCTATTCAACGAAATGGAGAACAAAGGAATTAAGCCAAATGTTATTACCTACAGCTCCCTCATAAGTTGCCTTTGTAATTACGGAATATGGAGTGATGCCTCTCGACTGCTAAGTGATATGATTGAGAGGAACATCAGCCCTGATGTAGTGACATTCAATGCATTGATAGATGCGCTTGTGAAAGAGGGAAAGCTTTTAGAGGCTACAAAATTGTATGAGGAGATGATTAATAGGTCTATAGATCCTGATAATATTACTTACAGCTCTCTTATCAACGGACTTTGCATGCAAGATCGTCTAGAGGAGGCCAATGAGATGTTTGGTTTAATGATTAGCAAGGGTTGTCTCCCGAATGTGGTGACTTGTAATACTCTCATAAATGGATTTTGTAAGTGTAAGAGAGTAGAAGATGGTATGGAACTCTTCAGGGAGATGTCTCTAAGAGGAATTGTTGGTGACACAATCACTTACAACACTCTTATCCAAGGGTACTTCCAAGCTCGAGATTGTGATAATGCCCAAGAAGTATTCAAACAGATGGTTTCTATTGGTGTACCTCGTGATATTATAACATACCGAATTTTGTTGGATGGACTTTGTGATAACGGGAAGCTAGAGAAAGCATTGGTTGTATTCGAGGATATGCAAAAAAGTGGAATGGATCTTGATATTGCTACGTATAATATTATCATACACGGGATGTGCAAGGCTGGTGAGATTGAAGATGCGCAGGGTTTGTTTTGTAGCCTCAGGCTCAAAGGAGTGCAGCCTAATGTTGTAACCTATACTACAATGATTTCGGGATTTTGTAGGAAAGGCTTAAAGCAGGAAGCATATGCCTTATTCAGTAAAATGAAAGAAGACGGGCCTATCCCAAATAGCGGTCCATATAATACGCTGATAAGGGCATGTCTTAGAGATGGTGACAAAATAACATCAGTCGAACTCATCAAGGAAATGAGGAGCTGCAAGTTCTGTGGGGATGCTTCAACAATAAGTTTGGTCACTAATATGTTGCATGATGGGAGATTAGACAAAAGTTTTCTGAACATGCTTTCTTAAACTTTTTATCCTGGAGAGAATTGTTGAGCAACCACGTTCCCTTGAAAGCAGCATCTCTGAGGTAAATCAACGTTTTATGTTGCTTAGATATTGATTGCTTCTCAACATGTGTTTCTTATGTCGTAGAATTGGTTACTGTTGTGTCTTGCTACATGAACATGATTGATGCTGTTCTTTTGTTTTTTTCCTGTTAGGTTGCAAACAAGAGTTGATCCAAACACCCTACATCAAAATTTCAGACTTTGAAAGACGTCTCTGTCTCAACATCCTTCTGCTTCTTAAATGCTCTCGTCATTAGCTTGATAGATAGAAATACTTGTGGATTTCTGAGAATGTACGGTTCCTTAGAATAAATCATGTCTTTTGTTCACGTCCACTTTTATATGGAAGTTACAGACATAATAACAGATCTTCAAAGACCACGGTCCCAGAAGCTCTCCTTATATATACAGATGTTCATGTCATAAAGTTAAACAATTTGTGATTGTTCTTGATTGCTAATGTATATATATAATCTTTTGAGTTTTAATCTAATTGCTCTTGATTTCGCATAAAAATGACAAATCGATAAACAATTTGTGATTGGTCTTGATTCTGTATAAAAATATTAGAATGATCAATAAAAAGAACAGATGAATCAGTCTAAATGATGCTTATGAACCAAGATTCGACCTTGTCAATGCCCACAGCCAAACTTATGTACACAACACCACAACACATTCATCATATGTGCAGAGAGAAACACAGAGTGTTGAAAAGATAATTAGACAAACAAGAAACTGTTCTGCTCTCTCTTTTCTCCGACCACTGTGAATAGTTAAAAATATCGTCATGATGATAGTAATATCTTGAATGCTCTATGGTTTCAGGTTCCTTGCTTCACGAGGAATCAATGGTTTCAGGTCCCTTTTAAAGTATTTTTTTTCTATTTGGTTACTGTTTTGTCTGTTAAACACTCGTTGAGACAATTTCAGTGGCCATAACTCTAAGAAGCTCCTTTAAGAAGATTTCAGATTTCGAAAGGTTAGCTTTGTTTCTTTTCTAGAAATCCTTCTGCTTTCATATAAATTCTCCCAATATAAGGCATTGTAATGTCAAAGTGAGCTTATTCATGTCAGAAAGTATATATTAATCTCTTAACGCTTTTTGTTTTTGTTCTTGTTTGTTTCTGCATAATAGTTACAAATCGCTACGATCAAATAACATCAGTTATAAAATGGTGCAGAAGAAACCAAGATCGATTCTTGTCAATGCACAAGAACCACATTTATGCACACACCACAACAATTTCTACGTAATGTACAGAGAGAAAGAATAAACAGAGTTGTGAAAATGTGAGAAAACAGATTCTCTGCTCGTCTCTCTTCTCTCCATCCATTGTAAACATTAGCAAATTGCAATGTAATCCTCGCTACTACTCGTCAAGGTATCATCATCATCATCACCATGGGCATGATCATCATAATCATGGTTTTTAATAACATCATCACCATCATCTTTATTCCACTGGATATAATCTTCATCAACATTCCATATGTCACCATCATAATCAAGTTCATGAAAACCACCGTAATAGCTAAATCAATCATCGTCATCATCATAGTATTATATTGTGAGATTACAACATTCTTTGTTCTTGTCTTTCGTGTTAAGTGGGAGAGATTGTAAATATATACCAATACAGGTGAGTAATAAGAGGAGGCTACAAGAGAAAATTATAGGGATTAAGTATTACCATCAAGCATACTGTCTTGTTCAAATGTATACAAAACATATAAACTTTTGGTTTCTTAATATACAGAGTGATTACGGTCGATAATAAACAAAAAAGAGATCAAACCGAGGAAAAGAAAAGAAAGAAAATGATTTGTAGGAATACAGAAATATCTCATGAAGAAAATGAGCATTCACGTTGAAACAACTGTTCTCCAGATGATCTCCATGCCACTGATTATAATGTTGAACATCTTCTTGTGGGTTCTATCTCTATATCAATCAAAGAGTAACTTTTCAGGAAACTTCGAATTAAGAGTAGCTTTCCGGGAAAAATACCATGGATTCTGCTGAGAAAACAAGTGCAACAAGTCTGTTGTGTGAAGTTATTGTAAAACTTCGAAACACAAGCCTGTTTCTTGCTGCGCAAGTTATTACATTCTGTCGTTTGACTAATTTTATATAATTAACTATTCTTGAGATGCAAGTTTATGATACTTGAAGTAGACAATCTGAGTTTTCAAGTTATGATCATGACACTTGAGAACAAGTATGTTCATTTATCCATTCTATAAAAAATTGCTTGCTTAATTTTTTTTTTTTTTGAACAATGGCTTTTGTTTACTTCCTTTGAAATACAGATAAAAATCAAATGCCCAAACTTATAATCAAAATATATATCATTGTGTGTTCTATGGAATGCTGTTATTTGAAGAAAAAGATTTCTACATTTGTACATACATATGCTCCAGTCGAGAAGTAGATCCAATTACTCACATTGACAACAAAGCAACACAGCGAAGCATCATGGATTAATAAAAAACAGAAGTAAATGTATCGTATCATCATGACATGGAAATAGAGTAACACAAGGAACAACCACCTTCTCTTTGAGTGTGTTTTCTCCAGTGAATTTGATCTATATGATTGGTTTTTTGGATTAGCAAATGTCGATTTTGGATCATAATAGTGTGAGAACTAAAAGGATTTGTCGGAAATTCATGATGAAATATGAAAAGTATTGTATCTTCTTGTATTGATTCTTGATCCGGTTCAGTTTCTGAGAAACCTAATAGTATGTTGGTTTTTATATGGGTTTCTCATTATCCCTCTCACTCAGTATCATCATATTTGCTAAATCAGGCTTTTCAAGTTTTAACTCTTACTCTAGGTGGATTGGTTCTCCAACCACAACACTTTATTTCACACTAAAAAGAATATTTTTTATTATTATATTATTCTATTTAAAATTTCTTTATTTTTAAAAGTGTTAATAAATACTATTTTTTATATATTTCCAGTGTTTTTTTGAACTTTACTTAATGTTTTTAATCTTAATCAATTCAAATATTAATTTAGATATTTTGTGGAAATTAATATTTTGTATTAGTTAAATCTAAAATTCCATATTACTATAAATTAAATATAGAATAATATGTAAAATAGAATTATTTTTTGTTACAAAAATTTAATCAAGTAATAAACATTAATTTAATTATATCAGAAAAAATATTATAATGTTTAGTGCTATGAACAATCATACACCAAATGTAGTGTGACATTGTTCATAAAACAAAAAAAAAGTTTATCCATCGTTCGGTTGGAGAAATCCTAAGTAAAGTATAGAAGTGATTAAAAATTACAAAACCAAACAGAGTAAACCGGTCCAAACAGAGTAAACCGGTCGGTGATTAAAATTGGAAATTTCCAACGGGTAAACCGGGTAAGTAAGTGAGTCTCCTTTTGGAAGAATCAAAACCTAAACCGGACAAATCTTGCTTCTCATTTTGGGCTTCATCGGAAAAATTAATCTGTGAAGAAGCGAAAGTCTGCTGAATTGTTGTCTTTCTTCTTCACGAGCATCTGTGAAGAAGCAATCTTCAGTCTAAATCAACACTACTGAAGTGTTCAGAGGCGATTAGCGATAGCTTCCGAGTCAGAGAGATTGAGAAGGAACCCCAATCTCAGCTGAAGCCAAATCGAGAAGATGATGAGATCGTTCGCGATTGTGTTTACGCCAAAGAGATTTTTTCATCGGAGTCTTCTCCAGAAAGGTAATGTCTACGGTTTCTGTTGTTGGAGACGAGATTTCTCTGGTTTCAGTGATGATTACAGAGAGAAGATTAGAAATGGGTTTCTGCAGAATATTAAATTAGACGATGCAATTGTTTTGTTTGGTGAGATGGTAAAGTCTCGTCCTTTTCCTTCCATTATCGAGTTCAGTAAATTGTTGAGTGCCATTGCGAAAATGAAGAAGTATGATGTCGTGATATCTCTGGGAGAGAAGATGGAGATGCTGAGGATTCCACATAATCTCTATACATACAATATTTTGATAAACTGTTTCTGCCGCTCCTCTCAGCTCTCTCATGGTTTAGCTATTCTTGGGAAGATGATGAAACTCGGGTATGAGCCCGATATAGTCACGCTTTCTTCCCTTCTCAATGGATACTGTCACGGGAATAGGATTTCAGATGCCATAGCTTTGCTTGATCAAATGGTGGAAATGGGATATCAACCTAACACCGTCACATTTACGACTCTGATTCATGGATTTTTTCTCCACAACAAAGCTTCCGAAGCTGTGGCTTTAGTTGACAGAATGGCTGCGAAAGGATGTCAACCGAATCTCGTTACTTATGGTGTGGTGATAAATGGGATTTGTAAGAGAGGCAATATGGATTTGGCTTTAGATCTCCTCAAGAAGATAGAGAAAGGTAAAATTCAGCCAAATGTTGTGATCTACAGTACAGTCATCGATGGTCTTTGCAAATACAGAGATGTGAATGAGGCACTCGACTTATTCAACGAAATGGAGAACAAAGGAATTAAGCCAAATGTTATTACCTACAATTCCTTGATAAGCTGCCTTTGTAATTACGGAAGATGGAGTGATGCCTCTCGACTACTCAGTGATATGATTAAGAGGAAATTGAACCCCGATGTTGTCACCTTCAATGCGTTGATCGATGCGTTAGTGAAAGAGGGAAAGCTTTTGGAGGCTGAGGAATTATACAAGGAGATGATCAAAAAGTCTATAACTCCTAATACCATCACTTACAATTTACTGATCAACGGGTTTTGTATGAACGATCGTCTAGATGAGGCGGAACGTATGTTTGAGTTCATGGTTAGCAAGGGTTCTCTCCCAAACGTAGTGACTTATACTACTCTTATAAATGGATTATGCAAGTCTAAGAGAGTAGAAGATGGTATGGAACTCTTCAGGGAGATGTCTCAAAGAGGAATTGTCGGTAACACAATCACGTATACCACTCTTATGCAAGGGTATTTCCAAGCTGACGATTGTGATAATGCCCAAGAATTATTCGAACAGATGGTTTCTAGTGGCGTGCCTCGCGGTATTTGGACATACAACACTTTGTTAGATGGTCTTTGTAACAACGGGAAGCTAGAGAAAGCATTGGTCATATTTCAGGATATGCAGAAGAGTGAAATGGAACTTGATATTGTTACATATAGTATCATCATTGAAGGAATGTGCAAGGCTGGTAAGGTGGAAGATGCCTGGGATTTGTTTAGCAGCCTCAGCCTTAAAGGAGTAAAACCGAATGTTGTAACCTACACTACAATGATCTCGGGCTTATGTAGGAAAGGCTTAAAGAAGGATGCATATGCCTTATTCAGTAAAATGAAAGAAGATGGGCCTCTCCCAGATAGCGGTCCATATAATACGCTGATAAGGGCATATCTTAGAGATGGTGACGAAGTAACATCAGTCAAACTCATCAAGGAAATGAGGAGTTGCAAGTTCTGTGGAGATGCTTCAACAATAAGTTTGGTCACTAATATGTTGCATGATGGGAGATTAGACAAAAGCTTTCTGAAGATGCTTTCTTAAAACACTGTTATCCTGGAGAGAATTGTAGAGCAACCTTGTTCCTTTGATAGCAACATCTGTGAGGTAAATCAATGTTTGATGTTGCTTTTATATTGATTGCTTCTAAACATGTGTTTCTTATGTCGTCGGTGGATAGATAAGTGTATATTTAGTTACTGGTGTTTCTAGCTTCATGAATATGACTGATTTTGTGCTTTGTCATTTACCTGTTAGGATGCAAACAAGAGTTGATCCAAACACCCTTCACGAAGATTTCAGTTTTAGAAGACGTCTCTGTCTCAACATCCTTCTGCTTCTGAAATGCTCTCCTCTTTAACTTGATAGAATGAAATACTTTTTCTGAGAATATACGGTTACTTAGCATAAATGATGTTTTTTTCTTTTTGGGTCGATAAATTATGTCTTTTGTTTTATGAAGTGGATTAAGTGAATCAATGCCTAGAAATGGATTATGGTCCCAAAGGCTCTATTTTCATTTTGAATATTTGAGTCTGTTTGTTCTCCCTTTTTATAACAAAAGTTAATGGCAGTTTTGTTGATTCAAGATTTGTTATGTTCTGTCTCTAGAGTCATGGTTAACTCCATCAAAGGAATGTTCACGTCCACTCGAATATGTTACTGACATAATAACAGATCTTCAAAGTCCATGGCCTCGTGCTTCAACGTTAGTCCTTACTGCTTCCAAGAAGCTCTCCTTAAACAGGACAACTGTGAATAGGTAAAAATATCATCATGATGATAGTAATATCTTGAATGCTCTATGGTTTCAGGTCTCTTTTAAAGTATTTTTCTATTTGGTTACTGTTGTGTCTGTTAAACACTCGTCGAGATAATTTCAGTGGCCATAACTCAAAGAAGCTCCTTTAAGAAGATTTCAGATTTCAAAAGCCGTTCCTGCCTTGAGGGAGAAGTTAGCTTTGTTTCTTTTCTCGAAATCCTTCTGCTTTCATAGAAATTCTCCCAATATAATGCATTGTAATGTCGAAGTGAGCTTATTCACGTCAGAAAGTATATATTAATCTCTTGACGCTTTTGTTTTTGTTCTTGTTTGTTTCTGAATGATAATTACAAGTCGCTACGATCAAAGAACATCAGTTATAAAATGGTGCTGATGAAACCAAGATTGATTCCACTCAATGCACAAGAACCACATTTATGCACACACCACAATAATTTCTTCGTAATGTACAGAGAGAAAGAAAAAAAACAGAGTTATGAAAATGTCAGACAAACAGATTCTCTGCATGCCTCTCTTCTCTCCATCCATTGTAAACGTTTGCAAATTGCAATGTAATCCTCGCTACTACTCGTCAAGGTATAATCATCACCATTACCATGGGCATGATCATCATCATCATGGTTTTCAATACCATCATCACAATCATCTTGATTCCATTGGATATAATCTTCATCAACATTCCATATATCACCATCATAATCAACTTCATGAAAACTACACTAATAGCTAAATCAATCATCGTCATCATCATAGTAATATCTTGTGAGATTACAAAATTGAAAAGAATTTGTAAGATAACTGAAATATCTCAAGACGAAAAAGAGCATTCACGTTGAAACAGCTGTTCTCCAGATGATCTCCATGCCATTGATTATAAAGTTGAACATCTTCTTGTGGGTTCTATCTCTATATCTATAAAAGAGTGACTTTTTCCCGGGAAAATGAGTGCAACAAGTCTGTTGTGTGAAGTTATTGTAAAACTTCCAAATACAAAGTCTGCTTCTTGCGGCGTAAGTTATTACATTCTGTTGTTTGACTAATTTTATATAATTAACTGTTCTTGAGATACAAGTTTATGATACTTGAGGTAGACAATTTTGAGTTTTTAAGTTATATGATCATGTCAGTTGACAACAAGAATCCTCATTAATCCCTTTTTAAAAAATAATATGCTGACTTAGTCTAAAGGATAAAAATCAAACCCCTAAAACTTACAATTTAATAATATCAGGTGTGTAGTATAGAATGCTGTTAATTTAAGAAAAAGATTTCCACATTTGTACATACAAATACTCCAATCGAGATCCAATTACACATTGACAACAAAGCAACACACCAAAGCATCATGGATTTTGACATTTTTTTTTTTTTGTTTTCTTTTTCTTAAAGGAGTAAATGAATCGTACCATCATTACATCGAAATAGTGTAACAGAAGGAGCAACCATCTTCTCTTATAGTGTATTTTTTCTACAATGAATTTGATCTATGATAATTGGTTTTGTGAGCAAATGTCTATTTTGGATCATAATAGTGTGTGAGAGCAAGAAGCATTCGTCGGAAATTTATGATTAAACATATGAAATGTACACTGTATCCACTTACTACCACTTGTATTGATTCTTGATCCGGTTCAGTTTCTGAGAAACCGAATTAAGCTTATATTGGATTTCTATGGTTTTCTCAGTATCCTCTCACTCAGTATCGTTTAACCTCACTAAAGTATTTCATATTTTCTAAATCAGGCCTTTCATGTTTTAACATTTACTTTAGGTGACTTCGTTAGTATATTATAGTTAGTGACACTAAAATATAAAAAACCAAACAGAGTGAACCGGTCGGTAATAAAAATTCGGAAACAATCCAACAACTAAACGGGTTAAGTATCATAGTGAGTCTCCTTTTGGTAGAACCAAAACAAAAACCTAAAAACCGGACTAATCTTGCTTCTTTAATTGAGCTACGAACTCTTCCTTAAGAGCTTTTATTGATTCCAGACAACAATATTTTTGCAAGATACAAATAAAACCGAAGAAAATGAATCTGTGAAGAAGCGAAGGACTGAATAATTGTTGCCTTTCTTCTTCACCAAATTAAACAAATCCTAGACCGGGTTAAGCAATCTTCAGTCTCCTTTCGGTAAGCAAATCTTCACCAAATAATTGTTGTGAAAAAAGCAATCTTCAGACTAAACCGGGTTGAGCAATCACTTTCACCTCGTGACCCTCCTTTCGGTACAACCAAAATTATATACAAGCAAGTTTGTTAAGAAACTAATCCTCATTAATTTCCCAGAAAGTTTGTTACATCGCTTATATACAAGCAGAAAGACTAAACCAAAGCTAACCAATAATTACATCATAAAACCGGACATTCCAGAGCCCTTAAACCGAAACTAATATGTACATGTATATTGACTATATACACTCTAATAAACCCGGTACGAGTTGCTTTCTCTCTCTCGCAAATGCTCAATAAACTCTGAGTGGGTTCTCATTTTGTTGGACTTAAACGACAAAGGACAAACTAGTTCAGTGGGTTTGACAACAAACCAATAAACCATTCTTCATTTTGTGGTTTTGACGGCAAAAAAAAAGGTGTGGTTTTGTATTTCATTTCCAAAAAAAAAAGAAGAAAACTTTATTGAAATAATACGAAACGAAAGTCTTGCGAGTCTCATCCTCAGACTCAGTCTCAGAGAGTCAGTGGTTAGTTTCGTTCATTTAGGGGTTTGCACATTGCAGCTCGATTATACAGAGAAATCGCCAAGGAGAGCTGAAGCCAAATCGAGAGAAGATGAGACGATCCTTTGCGATTGCTTCGAAAGCGAACAGATCTGCTCAATGGAATCTTCTGGTGAGAGGTAATCCTGGAACTGGGTTTAGTAGTCTTTGCGGTTTCCGTTGCTGGGTACGAGCTTTCTCTGGTGCTAGTTGTGATTACAGAGAGAAGATTAGAAATGGGTTTCTAAAAGATATTAAGTTAGATGATGCAATTGGTTTGTTCGGTGAGATGGTAAAGTCTCGTCCTTTTCCTTCCATTATCGACTTCAGTAAATTGTTGAGTGCTATTGCTAAGATGAAGAAGTTTGATGTTGTCATCTCTATGGGAGAAGAGATGCAAAAGTTGGGGATTCGACATGATCTCTTTACATACAATATTTTGATAAACTGTTTCTGCCGCACCTCTGCGCTCCCTCTTGCTTTAGCTATTCTTGGCAAGATGATGAAACTCGGGTTTGAGCCTAGCATTGTCACGCTTTCTTCGCTTCTCAATGGATACTGTCACGGGAATAAGATTTCGGATGCAATATCACTGCTTGATCAAATGGTGGAATTGGGATATCAACCTAACACCATCACGTTTACAACTCTGATTCATGGGCTTTTTCTCCACAACAAAGCTTCTCAAGCAGTGGATTTAGTTGATCGAATGGTTGAGAAAGGATGTCAACCAGATCTGCTTACTTATGGTGCGGTGATAAATGGGATTTGTAAGAGAGGTGATATGGATTTGGCTTTAAATCTGCTCAAGAAGATGGAAGCAGGGAAATTAGAGCCAGATGTTGTAATCTACAGCACAACGATCGATGGTCTTTGCAAATACAGAGATGTAAATGACGCACTCGACTTATTCAATGAAATGGAGAACAAAGGAATTAAGCCAAATGTTTTTACCTACAGCTCCCTTATAAGCTGCCTTTGTAATTACGGAAGATGGAGTGATGCCTCTCGATTACTCAGCGATATGATTGAAAGGAAAATCAACCCCAATGTTGTCACCTTCAATGCGTTGATCGATGCGTTTGTGAAAGAGGGAAAGCTTTTGGAGGCTGAGGAATTATACAAGGAGATGATCAGAAGGTCTATATATCCTAATAGTTTCACGTACAATGCATTGATCAACGGGTTTTGCATGCATGATCGTCTAGAGGAGGCCAAGGAGATGTTTGATTCGATGGTTAGCAGAGGTATTCTCCCGAATGTAGTGACCTATAGTACTCTCATAAATGGATTATGCAAGTCTAAGAGAGTAGAAGATGGTATGGAACTCTTCAGGGAGATGTCTCTAAGAGGAATTGTCGGTGACACAATCACGTATACCACTCTTATCCAAGGGTATTTCCAAGCTGGCGATTGTGATAATGCCCAAGAATTATTCAAACAGATGGTTTCTGATGGTGTGCCTCGTGATATTGTGACATACAGCAATTTGCTACATGGGCTTTGTAACAACGAGAAACTAGAGAAAGCATTGGTCATATTTCAGGATATGCAGAAGAGTGGAATCAAACTTAGTATTGTTACATATAACATCATCATTGAAGGAATGTGCAAAGCTGGTAAGGTGGAAAATGCGTGGGATTTGTTTTGCAGCCTCAACCTTAAAGGAGTGAAGCCTGATGTTGTAACCTACAATACAATGATCTCGGGATTTTGTAGGAAAGGCTTAAAGAAGGATGCATATGCCTTATTCAGTAAAATGAAAGAAGACGGGCCTATCCCAAATAGCGGTCCATATAATACGCTGATAAGGGCATATCTTAGAGATGGTGACGAAGTAACATCAGTCGAACTCATCAATGAAATGAGGAGTTGTGGGTTCTGTGGAGATGCTTCAACAATAAGTTTGGTCACTAATATGTTGCATGATGGGAGATTAGACAAAAGCTTTCTGAAGATGCTTTCTTAAAATAAAGCTTATCCTCGAGAGAATTGTCGAGCAACCTTGTTCCCTTGAAGGCAGCATCTGTGAAGAGAATTAACTTTTGATGTTAGCTTTTCTATTGGTTACTTTTCTATTGCAAAAATTTCAGCGTTCAGACTCACAGAAGCAGCTCATTTTTACAAAAAAGTTTCGGATTTTTAAAACTTATGCAAAAAGACAACAAAAGTTCCAGTTTTTGAAGTCATGTTCTTTAAATTCCCAATTCCAGGACAAAGAAGTGTCTAATTCAATTCAGATTCTTGAATTTCCAACAAACAGAGGAATAAAGTCTTGATTTTTCAATACAATTTATTGAGTTCATAACACTTGCAGAAGATGAAAGTGTCTATTTCAGTCTAATTCTTGCATTTCCGACACCTATGGAGAAAAGTTTCCATTTGTGATTCCAAGTTTTTGAAGTCGAAATATCATATATAAAACAGTCTCATTTCGTTAATTAAATGATTTTTTTTTTTAGCTTCTAAAGAAATAAAACAGATAATTCACAACATTGCCGTGGCTCAACAAATCTTCACCTATGTCTGAGAGAGTCAAAGAAGGATTATCCTCTACTTTCCTCTTAATTACCAATACTGGTTTCCACACACATTCGCATGACATGACATACGAACAAGAAATTTTCCTCCTATTTATATTCACTCTTCCGAAAAAGAAAAAACATAAATCAAATTCAAACCATCTAAAATATTAATGGAGGATCAAAAGCAAGACAATGAGCACATTTTTCGCAGTCTATATTCATCTGTGCCCATTCCCGACAAGCTTACACTGGTATGGATTAGAATTGGCTTTAGACAAATGAAAAACTTGTTTATGCTGTATTACAATTTTTTTGTTCGGTTTACAGTTATCATTTTTTGGTTCGATTTCGGTTTATTTGACTAGCCTAATGAGACCATTTAATAAAATTTACTATGTGTTAAAGCCTGAGTTTGTGCTCCAAGGAGTTGAAGAATACACAGAGAAAGTGGCATTCGTAGAAGCCGTGACAGGTAAAGCCTTCACGTACGGTGATGTAGTGAGGGACACGAAGAGGCTAGCCAAAGCGTTGACCTCTCTTGGACTTAGGAAAGGTCAAGTAATGGTTGTGGTTTTACCAAACGTCGCCGAGTATGGGATTATTGCCCTTGGCATTATGTCCGCCGGTGGAGTTTTCTCCGGCGCTAATCCGACGGCTCTTGTCTCCGAGATCAAAAAGCAAGTCGAAGCTTCCGGTGCTAGAGGAATCATCACTGATTCTACTAACTACGAAAAGGTATAACATATATATATGTTCAATGTTTAACATCATCACACATATAATTCGGTTCGGTTTGGTTATCTTAGTATTTGGTATTAAGAATTTTATCACGGTTCAAACCATATTTATTTCAGTTCATTGTGGTAAAATGTCGGTTTGGTTTTCGGTTCAGATTTGATTTGATTCTTAGTCAATTAATTTTTTTTTTTTTTTGTGATTGGTTAGATTACATTTGGGTTTGGTCTAGTTTCCGGTTTGGATTCAGTTCGATTTTGGATTAAAAAAACCAACAACAAAACATATGAATACAATGTATAACATATATTTTCAATGTTTAACATCACATATATAATACGGTTCGGTTTGGTTATATCAGTATTTGGTATGCAGAATTTTATCTCGGTTAAAACTGTATTTACAGTATTTTAATTGATCGTGGTAAAATGTCGGTTCGGTTTTTGGTTTGATTTTATTTTTAATCAGTTAGACAGAAATAATAAATTTTATTTTACAAATATTAAAATATGTTTTTTTTCTGTGATTGGTTTAAATTAAATTTGGGTTTAGTCCTAGTTTCCGGTTTGGATTCAGTTCGATTTTAGATGAAAAAAACGAACAAATTTTTTATGAATAGTGTACAATGTACTCTGGTTAATTCGGTTCGGTTGGACTAAATTAGAGTTTGGATCTGTTTTTTTGGAGTGAGATTTTTTATACTGGTCAGTTTAAGATTGAATTGGTTTCGGTTAGGCTCAGCACTTACTTCGGTTGAAGTTTGGTTCGGTTAAAATCTTCTGATCCACCTATAACCTGAACCGGTTTTGGACAGGTGAAGACTTTGGGTTTACCAGTAATAGTGATAGGTGAAGAGAAGATCGAAGGAGCAGTGAACTGGAAAGAACTTCTAGAAGCAGGAGACAAATCCGGAGACAACGACAAAGAAGAGATTCTTCAGACAGATCTTTGTGCACTTCCTTTCTCTTCAGGCACAACAGGGTTACAAAAAGGAGTAATGCTCACACATCGCAACCTCATAGCAAATCTTTGCTCTTCTCTCTTCAGCGTCAGGTCTGAGATGATAGGTCAGATCGTGACTCTTGGTTTGATTCCCTTCTTTCACATTTACGGAATCGTTGGAATCTGTTGCGCTACGATGAAGAACAAAGGCAAAGTTGTTGCTATGAGTCGTTACGATCTAAGGCTTTTCTTGAATGCTTTGATTGCTCACGAGGTCTCCTTTGCGCCTATTGTTCCTCCGATAATACTGAATCTTGTCAAGAATCCAATCGTTGATGAGTTTGATCTCTCCAAGCTTAAACTCCGTTCCGTTATGACTGCTGCTGCTCCTTTAGCTCCTGAGCTTCTCACTGCCTTTGAAGCCAAGTTTCCTAATGTTCAAGTCCAAGAGGTAAAGTGTTTTAAACAACTATGACGAAGCTCTGTTTCTTGGAATCTGTTGAACTAACGAGAGTTACTTACATATAGGCTTATGGATTAACGGAGCATAGCTGCATTACGTTAACTCATGGAGATCCTGAAAAGGGACAAGGAATCGCGAAACGAAACTCTGTTGGTTTTATACTTCCGAATCTTGAAGTGAAGTTTGTAGATCCAGTCACAGGCAGGTCGCTTCCCAAGAACACTTCTGGTGAGCTTTGTGTTAGGAGCCAATGTGTAATGCAAGGTTACTTCAAGAACAAGGAAGAGACGGACAAAACGATCGATGAAGAAGGTTGGCTTCACACTGGAGATATAGGTTACATTGATGATGATGGTGATATCTTCATCGTTGATCGGATCAAAGAGCTCATCAAATACAAAGGTTTTCAGGTATAATGTGATTTGGTTTTTGGTGAATTTGGTTTTTTAGGGTTTAGGGTTTAGTTCTGTCTGAAAACGGAGTTGTTTACTTTCCGGCAGGTGGCTCCGGCGGAGCTTGAAGCTATTCTCCTCACTCATCCATCTGTTGAAGACGTTGCCGTAGTTCCGTGAGTATTTCTTGAAGCTAAGTATTGAAATTTCAAGAATTGATTGATTAAAACAAATTATGAAATTATGTAAAAGGTTACCGGACGAGGAAGCCGGAGAGATCCCGGTGGCTTGCGTGGTGATAAACCCTAAAGCGAAAGAGAAAGAAGAAGACATTCTTAATTTTGTTGCAGCGAACGTAGCTCACTACAAGAAGATCAGAGCCGTCCATTTTGTGGATTCAATTCCCAAGTCTCTCTCTGGTAAGATCATGAGGAGGCTTCTCAGAGACAAAATCCTCAGCATGAAGAAGAAGTAGAAGAAAGAAAAACCATTGATTCATCTCATTTGGTTTAAGAATGTGTCCTTATTACATTACTCTTTGTGGTTTTATAATTCAAGAATTATCATCCTTTTCATTTTCCTTATTAAAGATTAAAACAAACTCGACCAACCTTTCTACTTTGACCAGCGATTTCAATCCGCAAGAACATCATCTTCTCAAAGTAATCTACAAGATTCCCCTTTAACAAATAACTAACTTCCACAATATCCTCAGTTTCATAACTTTCTCAAGCTGCAAAATGCTACACAAAGCTGCGATATTCGATAACTTCAAACTATTCAATTCTTCACGGATTCTTAGTAGACGATCACATAGATTAGAGTTCAATTCAACTTTCTCTAGCTTGCTAGTACCAAACAAGAACACACATTTCTGATAAAACCAAGTTCTATTATACATTTCTTATTACAGAACAAGACTCCACCAAAACCAAATCAATAGCAAGAGCACAAACCGATCTAACATTTTCCTAGAGCGATCAAACCGTAAACAGAGCTATCAATATACATATAACACAAGGATCTTTAACAGGCAAGAACATTCGCGGCTTACGCTTACTTAGATTCTCTCCACTTTTTTAGACTTCACCACAGGATTGGCTTTGCCAATTACATCTCTTCCTTCTCCTTTGAAATCGAATTCGCAATCGTGATTCTCCGGATATCTATGGTCTCCACAGAATGTGCTCCCACACTTGCACTTAAACCCCATCAATCCCACTTTCTTGTTACAGCTCAAGCACCTCGTCCTGGCCGTAGTCCGTGGCGGCGGCTCAGAAAACGCCGCCGTTTCATCACCGCTCGTTGATGATGACGCAAGAGCAGATTCGAGGGAGGTTGTGATCTCGGAGATTTTACGTTTTGGTTTTAGAGATTTCTCGAAGGCGGATTTAGTTGAAGCAGCTTGCTTTTCGGTGACTCTAAGGTCGTGATAGCATTTGGAGCATAGGTTCATGTTAGCAGCCGTTCCGAAAAATCCGCAGCCATTGACGCAGAGCTTTGGCTCTGAAGGAGAGAAGCTTGTGCTTTCGTTTTGCTCAGAACCCATTTTTAAGTTCCTCTGCAAACAAATATAAAAAAACGGAAATCGAATTTAAGGGCAGTTCATAAAAGAGCAGACTTTGAATTTAGGGTTTAATGTTTTCTGACAAAAATGAAAAAATGATAGATTTTTCTTGTGGGATTTCGATTTTAAGCTGATTTCGATCGAACTGAATCGATACATCACAAAATTGTACAAAAGAAAAGAGAAATAGATTTGGGAGAGACTTTCTCCGATTGAAATTCCAGCCGCCGGAGAAAGAAAATTTCCGACTTTCTTCAGGTTATGTCTCCGGAGACTCGAAATTTACTTATTTGAGAAAATATGAGGCTGAGGAAAAGATACCTCGAAGTTTATCTATATCTGATCATTTCCGACAAGTGCTCGTGATTTTTGATCGGCGACCGAAACTGAAACTCTTTGGTTTTGCGAGACAGAGAGAAAGAGACGAGAACCAGACAGATCATTCGGTTCTGAAGTTTAGTCAAAATATTAGTTATCCGAATCGGAATTTTTATAGCGTTATACCGGTTTGAATATAGAACCGGTTTATTCGAACCGGATTCGGTTGTGGGGACAATCAGCTAAGCTGGCCGATGGTAACACTGGTAGATGCATATAATGAGCAATCTCTCTCACTCTTCATCAGAATATAGTAAAAGTTTTAGCCATCTGTACATGTAACTGCATGTACAACGATGAGTCTTTATAAAACACAAGAAAAGTTACAAAAAAAGTTTGATCAAATTAATGGAATCTTATAGGATCTTGAGATGATAAAAATTATGTACATAATTTTTGTTATATAAGATTACTTTAATTCGTTTTCTGGTAGGTTGTGCATCATATGAATTTCTGGCTTTTTTGTATAATGTATGGTTCAGAATAGGATTTAATTCTTGAAAAAATGATGTATGATCTAATTCTTTTTTGTCTTTAATTAAAACATATTATTGTTTGGGACTATGTGCATTGGTCAAATATCTAGTCATTTTATGTCGAGAAAAGGAAGAATCTAAGAATCTTACGAGCAGAAGTCAGACTTTGAGTTTTCGAAATATACAAAAAAGAAAAATAGTTCCGTACTTAACCAACGGTCATATTATAAATTCAATACAATAAAAAAAAAACAACGTCTATACGTATATTTATCAATTATCATATACGCTAGTATCTATGATTCTCAGTGCATTATTTCTAGGAGTTTACACAAAAACTTCGACAGAAAGCATAATTGGGAATTGAAGCTCTTATTTATTAAAAAATGTACATGGTACATTTTTTATAGAATCTAGAAAACATGATCAATTTTATAGAAAACCTCATTGATTTATAAACTTATTTTTATTTAATTTTGTAGGTTGTGAATTATATTTATGAATGTTGGATTGGTATAGGCAGAGAATAAATGCTTGATGGTACAGACAAACAGACACCATCCTCCCACTCTTATATTAATAAACACATATACATACATACAAATTCTCTATATATATATATATTCACACATACACATACATATAATATAAGCTTGCACGTGGTTCTTGTTCACATGGTGGAAGCCACACAGATGTATCGATTCACAGAGAGAGAGAAAACCTTTACAGAAGAGAGAGAGAAAGAAAGAGAGTATTAAATTGCTTCACCTGCTTACTTTCCACTTTTCCAGCCAAGGCACACTCTCCACGCACTCTTCTTCTTCTTCTTCTCAAAGCTGAGATGAAACTTTCATCTTATTTATTTTTAATTAATGGGTTTAGTTTGGAAACTCAAAACACCCAGATCTTATTCTATGTTTCTTGATCAAGGCTTGTTCTTGATTCCGTGATTCTTGAAAAAATCGCTTATCGAGGTCCTTTTTTTTTGGTTTTTTTCTTGACTTTGGTTTTGTCGTTTTTAGCCGTTGAAGATGCTGAAAAATGGAAATTGTTAAAGCTCAATCCCCAAGAAAATTAGAATGCCGATTCTGTTCTACACTTCTACTTTTTAATTTCTAATTCTTGCTTCGCTTTCGAGGATTGGGTTTAAGTTAAAATGCAGCTACTTATGTATTCTTCTTCTTCTTCTTCTTCAATTTCCAAAAAATGCTACTGAAAATAGCGTAGCTTTGCGAACCGGGTTTTGGGTCTGGGTTAGGATCTGATAACCGACAATGCCAATCGGGTAAATTCCGATTTTCGATTTTGAGAATGATAAGAGTTTCTCGCTTCCTGATTTTGGTAATTCTCACATTTGCTTACATTATTGATTTGTCGGATTCCATCACCGAACGAGAGATTCTGCTTCGATTCAAAGACAAGATCATCGACGATCCGTACAACAGCTTAGCTTCTTGGGTTTCGTTTGACGAAGACGACGACCTCTGTAATAGCTTCAATGGCGTATCTTGTAACCCAGAAGGATTCGTCGACAAGATCGTTCTTTGGAACACAAGTCTCGCCGGAACCCTAACTCCGGCATTGTCCGGTTTAACTTCTTTGAGGGTTTTGAATCTGTTTGGTAACAGATTTACAGGTAACTTACCTTTGGATTACTCAAAGTTACAGACTTTATGGAATATCAATGTCAGTTCCAATGCATTGTCTGGTTCCATCCCTGAGTTTATCGGTGACTTAACTAATCTAAGGTTCTTGGATCTGTCGAAAAATGGTTTTGTCGGAGAGATTCCGGATTCTCTATTCAGATTCTGCTACAAGACCAAGTTCGTTTCACTGTCTCACAACAATCTCTCAGGATCAGTCCCCGAATCAATCATAAACTGTAACAATCTCATCGGTTTCGATTTCTCTTACAATGGCATTACCGGTTTGTTGCCTAGGATCTGCGATATCCCGGTTCTCGAGTTTGTGTCTGTGAGAAGAAACGTGTTGTCTGGTGTTGTGTTTGAGGAGATTTCGAAATGCAAGGGTTTGAAACATGTCGATGTAGGAAGCAATTCTTTCGACGGATTAATGTCTTTGGAGGTTCTTGGATTCAAGAACATGACTTATTTCAACGTCTCTGGAAACCGGTTTAAAGGGGAGATTGGTGAGATCGTTGATTGCAGTGAAAGTTTGGAGTTTTTGGATGCTTCTTCGAATGAGTTAATCGGAAATGTACCTAGCGGTATAACCGGATGCAAAAGTCTTAAGCTTTTGGACTTGGAATCAAATAGGCTCAGTGGGAGTGTACCTTTAGGTATTGGGAACATGGAGAAGCTCTCTGTGATCAGATTAGGCGATAACTCTATAGATGGGACGCTACCTGGAGAGCTCGGAAATCTGGTGTTTCTACAGGTTTTGAATTTGCATAATCTCAATCTCATTGGCGATATTCCAGAGGATATATGCAATTGCAGACTACTTCTTGAACTGTGAGTCTTTCAATCTCTTAAATTCCAACAAACAATTAGCGAGTTTTCGTTTCCTCAATCTTTATTGTTTGTTTGCAGAGATGTTTCTGGGAATGCTTTAGAAGGAAAGATCCCCAAGAAACTATTCAACTTAACGAACTTAGAGATTCTTGATCTGCATCAGAACAGAATCGATGGAAGTATTCCACCTAATCTCGGGAACCTCACGAGAATACAGTTCCTTGATCTTTCAGAGAATTTGCTTTCGGGTCCTATACCCTCTTCCCTCGTGAATTTGAATAGACTGACACATTTCAATGTTTCTTACAACAACCTCTCTGGCGTTATCCCAAAGATCCAAGCTTCGGGAGCTTCTTCGTTTTCCAACAACCCTTTCCTCTGTGGTGATCCTCTCGAAACACCGTGCAATCCTCTCAGAAACGGAACAAGATCAAGAAACGCAAAAGCTCTAAGCACCTCTGTGATCATTGTTATTGTAGCTGCTGCTGTGATCTTGGTTGGTATCTGTCTAGTTCTTGTTTTGAACCTTAGAGCTCGTAAAAGAAGGAAGAACCACGAAGAAGACACAGTCGCTTTCGACAACACAACAACCTTGGCTTCGACGGAATCTGGCAATGGCGGTGTCACGTTCGGGAAACTTGTTCTGTTCAGCAAGAGTTTGCCTTCCAAGTATGAAGATTGGGAGGCGGGAACGAAAGCTTTGCTTGACAAGGATAACATAATCGGGATAGGATCGGTTGGAGCGGTTTATAGAGCATCTTTCGAAGGAGGGGTCTCCATTGCAGTGAAAAAGCTCGAGACTTTAGGAAGAATCGAAAACCAAGAAGAGTTCGAGCTAGTAATTGGAAGGCTTGGAGGTTTAAGTCACCCGAATCTTGCTTCTTTTCAAGGTTACTACTTTTCCACGACAATGCAGTTAATTCTTTCTGAGTTTGTCCCAAACGGAAGCCTTTACGATAATCTTCACGCAAGAATCTTCCATAGAACCAGTAGTAGTAGTAGCAGCAGCCATGGAAACACTGAGTTGAACTGGCAGAGAAGGTTCCAAATCGCGTTAGGAACTGCAAAGGCGCTTTCTTTCCTTCACAATGATTGTAAACCTGCGATTCTTCATCTCAATGTTAAGTCTACCAACATACTACTCGACGACAGATACGAGGCAAAGCTATCGGATTACGGTTTGGAAAAGTTTCTTCCGGTTTTGAATAGCTACGGTTTAACCAAGTTCCACAATGCGGTTGGGTACATAGCTCCAGAGCTAGCTCAGAGTTTGAGAGTGAGTGACAAATGTGATGTTTATAGCTACGGTGTGGTTCTTCTTGAGCTTATTACTGGTAGAAAACCGGTGGAGTCTCCATCGGAAAACGAAGTTTTGATCCTAAGGGACCATGTGAGGGATTTGTTGGAGACAGGGTCGGCTTCTGATTGTTTTGACAGAAGATTGAGAGGGTTTGAAGAGAATGAGCTGATTCAAGTTATGAAATTAGGTCTGATTTGCACAACGGAGAGTCCATTGAAGAGACCGAGCATGGCAGAGGTTGTGCAGGTTCTTGAATTGATCAGAAATGGAATGGGATCATGAGAAATATGGCTCAGATTTTGCAGAGAAATTGTGCAGTGTTTAGTTCATTTTTTTCCGGTTTAGACTTGATTCTTCAGTAAAATTTGTATTCTTTTACCGGAGGGAATAAAAAGATCGATTCTTTTGTCGCTTTTGTTGGTAAAATTGCTCACTTTCCAAGCTTGGTAAAATTCCGGTTTACTCAAAACCGATCCGAATGCAGGCTAGTACACTGATACAAAGAGTCATCAGAGGGAAAATCAAAATCAAATAAGCATAAATCAATTTTGAGATTTACATGTTTCACAAACTTTTCTAATGCGGTTCATAACTACAGGCACATCTCTCTCAGACAAATTACTGAAACAGAACCGGAACCATCCCGGTTCAATGCAATGACAACAAGATCCTGGTATAACATTGATCTTGCCAATGTTCAAGAGCTTGTTCCACAGTTCAATCTCGCCTTTCTCGCTGTAGGACGACATTGATCCTCGCATATCCGCCCAACAGAAGAATCCTCCATTGCTTCTCGTGCACTCGATGCCTAACTCTTTCAACCCCTTGACGAGTTCCGTGTAGATCCTCTGCAATCTCTGCCTGTTCATTTTCACATATCTCTGAGCAAACTTGGGATTGGAGATTGCAGATATGAGCAAATGTTGGGATGGAGATGAAACAGGCGAGAGAGTTGTGAGTTTTCTTGAAGCAGATAAAACAGTCTCGTTGAAGGAGTAGATAGCAGCGGAACTAAGTCCAGGGAAAGACAAGTCTTTTGAAAGGTCGTAGACGATGTGAACTCTTTCTCTGTCGATATTCTCTTCCGTGTCAACTACTTCAGCCATGCTAACGAACTCTCCTTCTTCTTCGTGGACAGACCCAGCGAAGATTTCGTTTGAGATTATATGAATGTTCCTCTCACGAGCAAAGTCCAAAAGAGCATAGAGATTCTCTCTGCTCAACAGACTTCCCATGGGGTTTGATGGGTTTGAAATGATAATGCCACGGATTCTGACACCTCGTTTCTTGGCCTGATAGAATGCTCGATCAAGCACAAGCATTGATATACTGAAATTATCCGCGCTTCTACAAGGAACGTGTATGATTTCAACTCCGGTTCGCCATTTCACATCCCTATCATATCTACACAAGAATGCCCCATCAAAGATTCGATATCATACAATAGGCTCATAGCAGTAGAGAGTTAAAAGCTAAAACTTTACCCTGGGGAACATGGAGTTGGAACAAGGAAGGCGTTTCCGGAATCAGCTAAGCAGAAGGAAAGAATCTCCATGGCAGAAGCTGCACCACAAGTTAACACTAACTGTGATGGATCGAAAGAAACCGAGTTTTTGGTTGCTTCAGACATGAATCCTGCCACAGCCTGTCATCATAATCCAGAAAACTTTTCTCAGGAACACATAATAAACATCTCAAGAAGATCTCAAAACACTCCAAAGATGCGATTTTTATGCTATTGATGAAAAAAGTTGAGAACTTGAATAACCATTTTTAGTTCCATAAGTCCATCACAAGGCTCGTAAGAAGCAATGCCACTGATACTTAATCCATCTGAGATTGCTTCCTTTGGATTCTCCAAAACCCAATCATCCAAGCACAACTTTAAGAAGAAAGAGATAGTCAAATCCACAAAATCACAAAAACAGGTGAAAAAATGAGAATTTTGATTAAACCTTGTTGTTCTGAGCTAAACCAAGTTCGATAACTCCGTCCGGGTTACCCGACTCATCATACGGATCCTCCTCGACCCGTTTTTGACCCACGTAGTATGGCGAGTCTCCTCCCTTGATTACACAACTAACCCGACCCGAAACCGAAACGGATCCACCGGAATTTCTCGGCGAGAGGAGGATCCGAGAGAGGGAACGAGGCAAACCAGTAAGCTCCGTGAGATGCCCAGCGGATTGTGACCGGGTCGGATCCGGAAAACCCGAATTCGTATCCAAGTTCGGAGACGAGGCGGAGTTTTGTTCACCGGAATCGGGTTCGTCTTTCCGGTTTCGTTTAAGGTAAAACTGGAGAAAGTAGAAGAAAGCGCAAGGAATCACAGAGCCTAAGAACAAACCGCCACGACCTTGAACCACGCCTTGTAACGGAACGATAACCCTCATCGCGGTGGTTCCTCCGCCGCTTGCTCCGCCGTCTCCGGGATTCTCGGAATTAGAATTGGAGCTCCGGCTCCGGTAGGGTTCGGTACGGGTCATTGTAGTGAACTCATGTTTTGGGTTGCAAGTGTTTAGAATCAAAATCGGAGCCTTTGAAGGTTTTCCGGGTCGGGTTAACGGGTATTGGGTTCGACGGCGAAGAGATTGAAAGAAAGAGAAACAAATTCAATTTTAGGTTTAACGAAAAATCGGATTTTGTTTTTTGGAATTTCTATTGGAGCGGTGTACGCTCATTCGGTCCTTGGAGATTTTGGGTCGTTGAGAATTTTTGGAGGGAGAGATGAGCCTGTGTAAGTTACCATATTACCCTTGCTTTTTGTTTTTTTTTAGTTGGGTCCCTAAAGTTTTGGATTCTCTGGGAACTTTCTGTCTTTATGCTATAGATTTTCAAATAAAAGTATAATATGGAAAATGGAAGTAATTTATTTATTTAAAGTGTGCAGATGTTATTTTGGGATATGTAATTGGATTTATATGCCATAATACTGTAAGATTCAGATGTGCGGTCCAAATGGAGAATTTTGATTGACTTGGAGTTGAGTGAATCTGGATCTGAATCTAAAATTATTTGATTACACTCTTTTCATTGCATAAAAATGGGTTAAAAAAATGGATATTTTAGTTTCTATTTTTACACTAGCTAAAATGCGAATGAATATTACACGTTCATCAATCTAAACAAGGTGTAATATGAGGTTGTTAAAATTGGAAAACAAAACGAATGCGAGGTTTTCCATAATTTCTACATATTTTTCAATAATTTCTACATGTTTTTAATAATTTCTACATATTTTCCAATAATTTCTACATATTTTCAATATTTTCTACATATTTAATTTCAATGATTTCTACATTTTTTTTAGAGGTTTTGTTTTTCAAGAATTTAACAAAACTTGCGAACATAATAAAACATTTCTCTCTTTGAGGAAATAGTAAATGAAAGAAAGAAAGAAAAAGAAATCAATTAAAATTATAAATTAAATCCCAGCTGGCATGTAGATAGTAGTAGTATTATTCATATCTATTCTTATATGGTCGAAAAATGTAGATAGTACAAACAAAATCCATATCAGAAATAATGTCCTTATATTTTCCCCCAAATTGCATTATCCACAAATTTTATAGGAGCGGGCTATCCATTTTACACAATTTTTTTTAAAAAAAGCGATAATCAACAAAAATATTTGCTATCTTATAAAAATAATGCGAGACAGATGTTGATAAGTACACATGGATTTGGCTTCTGTGTGTATTTCCGCCTCAAGTTGAGATGGCTACGGTTTTGGTCGTTATATAACATGAATCATCATGTGGGCTCCTCACTTCACTTGCGATTTCGATTTAAAGACTTTTTGTGGTTCCTTTTCGAAATAATCATAACCACATGATTATATACTGTAAAGTTTAAGAAAGATATCTAATTGTCAAATCGAATCATATAACTTGCTAAGAAACCTAGAGATGTAGTAAAAGTTTTCTTATATTGCATTAAGGTCATAAGATATATATACACTCTATCACATTTTCAAAGATAGAAGATTTACAAATTCAAGTTTGTATGTACTTAAGCACGACAACTCTTGCACATAGCTTAAGAGACGAGAGATTTAATTTGATTGACGATATGTTTATTAGTCTGGCTCTTAGTTAAATTTTCTAAGAGAAAAAGTATTTCAACAGATAGATTTCGGACTATCACGGTTAAAACCTATAAACACATAATTCATATCTCTGAGTTAGTTTAAATCGGCATCACCCATGCATGACACGGGTACGTGCAACATAAAGAAAAATGTTGAGTGAGTGAAGAAGACGACAGCGATGATGATGACGATGTTGAGTGAGTGGAGAAGACGACGCTCGAGGGTTAAGTTTAGAAGCAACCATTGATTTAGTACCATTTTGTACATCTTAATCGCAAGGTTATCTTGAGAGTTTCTCCTCTCACAACAACGAACATTTAGCTTAACCAACTTTTCCAGGTCCACTTTTTTTTAACGTGGGCTCTGATATTATTTATTGGGCTTTTTAAGCTCATATCCAACTTTCTTAATTAGTATGATATTGTCCGCTTTGGGGTAAACTGACAAAGTCCACACAGATTTGATTTTGGGTTTCTTCCCAAAAGACTTCATATTAATTGGATTTAAATATTATTTATATATTATACTATATTGGTCTAAATTTCCGATGTGAGACTTTGAATTGATTTCCAACATAACTATTGTGATTCTATTGTGATCAGTAATGTTTTGGTGTCTCTTTTTGGATTATTGGTATGGGAAATACGTGGAGAATCATATATTGTTCACTTAGGATTTTGATTTAGATAAAGTAAACATAAAAAATCATTTTCACTTTTTTGTTTCGTTACTTTGTTATTGTAACGTATATGGGCTAATGCAATCAATATTGCATATGCATCAATTTTTTTATAAACAGAATACAGATCAGAGCTATTTTTTTTGGTCATGCATAGGTGAGACATATGACATATCACCATTCACCAATCAGTCATACTCACCCACTTTGGCGTCTATGCTGTAAAACTTTACTAATAAGGATTGTAAAATTTTATTCATTGACTATGTAATTTCGAAATTACCCCAAATCATGATTAAAGGTTAAACTTTGACAGTCAAAATGTATTTTTCAGAAACTTGCGATAACGTTTTCAATTTAACAGTATCGATTCAAAGATCAATTTGATATCAATGGATAGCAGTGAATCGAAACTATATTATTACTTTTTGGAAAATGTAAAACTATATCATAACATTGAATCTTCTTATATATACTAATAAAAGTTGAAGCTAAATGCTTCTAAGAGTGTCCACATAGGATTTAAAAAATCAATTTAATTGGTCTACATCAATATTTAAAAATAAGAAAAATTTACAAATTGTAATATTATTGCTGAAAAAAGGAAATTAAGAATGTATCCACATAGGATTTAAAAAATCAATTTTATTGGTCCACATCAACATTCAAAATTAAGGAAAATTTACAAATTGTAATATTATTGCTGAAAAAGGAAATTAAAAAAGTTTATTGGTCTTATAAACAAATTTATTTGTCCACCTCAACATTGAAAATTAAAAAATTTCCAACTTCTATTATTGTTTTTAAAATTATTAAAAAAAAATTATATATAAAATTGATATTAATAATAAGAAACTAAAATAAACAATATTAAAATAGGAAATTTTAAATTTAAATTAGATATATACATACATATTTAGAGATTCTTATATGAACATCCAATTTTTTTGTCACATAATTATAATAATTTTTAAATTTTTTTTCCTGTGTGTGCAACCATGTAAAATAAACTAAGACAAAAGATAGAGTAAGGTTTCACTAAAAAATGAGTTATTACAACGTAAAAGAACTAACTTGACTAAACTATATGTTTAACTATTAGCTAAATTACATACAATATAATGAAAGAAGATATAAATAAAGCCACTACAAGAACAAACTTGACTAAACTATATGTTTAATTATTAGCTAAATTATAAAGAATATAATGAAAAAAGATATAAACAAAGACACTATAAGCCGCTTTAATATTGAAAAAGATATCATAAAATCTCCAAAGCTTGGCCACAAAATTTGAAAACAATGATAAATTTCAAGCAATTCGAGAAACATGTCAAGTGATTGATACTCGACACTTTTGAAAAACCAAACACTGAAAATAGAGAAAAAAACATAGCGGAGAAGACTGAGGTATGTAAGGAAATTTTTTGAAATAACATAGCATCTGAATGATTTTTAACAACCCAACATGAACCACAAAAGTAACAATTAGCTGACCAAGCAGCATCTGAATACATTCGATAAGCCTCATAATAAAGAGGAGAGGCTAAAATCACTTGCCGCAACGAGCCTCGTGTGAGATTTTTCAGTTTTGATTTCTAAATCTATTATTAATAAAAATTATAGCTATATGCCTTTAAGAATGTCCATATATGATTTAAAAGTTCAATTATCTTGGTCCACATCAATATTTAAAATTAAGAATATTTCTAAATTTAAAAATTATATTGTTAACAAACAAATATATTTAAAGAAAATAAAAGTTAAAGCTATATGCCTCTAAGGACATCCACATAAAATATAAAAGGTCAATTTTATTATTTCACATCAATAACTAAAATTAAAATTTTCTCTAAATTATAAAATTACATTGTTAATACAAAATAATATAGGAAAATTTGTTAATTAAAATTATTCTATTATTAATGATAGTTAAAGCTATATTATTTTCAAAGCATCCACCTCAGTATTTAAATTTTTATTTTTATTCGTATATATCAAAATTATAAATTAAAAAAAAAGTTTCATAATTCTAATATTATGATTAAAAATATATTAAAAATAAAGAAATCTCTATTAACCAAGAAAAAATCAACATGATATTAAAATCTCCATTATCACTGTTTAAATCAAAAATTTAATTTATTATCTATAAAAAAATATAATTACTTATACAAGTTTAAGTTACTTGATTTTAAAACTTTTCATGTAGAATTTGAAATAACTAATATTTATGATTTATATTCTTCTTTTTTTTTTAACATATGCAAAACATATCATCGAAATATGTAATATATTATGCGAAAGTATGTAATATTTTTTTTCTCATGTAATATATTATGCAAAATGATCAAAAAATTTACATTTTATATATTCAATTTAGAATTCATTAGATTAATGTAGAAGTTCTTAGTTTTGAGTTGTTCAATTTGTTATTTTATTTTTTATAAATTTGTATGTATTAAATTGTACTGATTTTATCTACTTAATTACAATTAGAAGTGAGAATGAATATGATGAAACTGAATATAATCATATATAAATTATTAAAATGAATTAATATGATAGATTCATTGAAAAAACAGATATAACAAGAATAAAAATGAAGAAGATGATAAGAAAATTTCATTCTTATTAGAAGAGATGACATATTATCATTTAAAATTATTTAAATACACTACTAATTGACAAAAATATATTTATTCACAAATTTTGTGTGATTTTATTCATTTCATATTCAACTATTGTTTTAGTTAAAGTTGTTATTAATCTCAAAGCAAATATTTTAATTATTAGTTTGTTTTTTAAATTAATTTATCAAAATAAAAATTTGTATTTGTTAAACAAACTAATGAAAAAAGATTAACTTATAAGTAAAAATGATGAAAAAAAATATCTTTTTGATTTAAATAAGTGAATGTATAATATTTTATTATCATGTTAATACTATGTTTAAAAAGTAACATTTGATTAAGTTGTAAAAATTTTAGTTGGTTTTGGTATATTAACTTATAAGTGTTTGACTAAATAATATATTTTTGAAATATGATATACTGTATATAGATTTAAAACAAAACCGTTAAAATATCACAATGTACATAAAAATTATTAGATCAAGACTATAATATTTTAATATATTATTAAAACACTAATATATAAAATTTATATATTAATAAATATAATTAATTGTATATTATTTTTATTAACAAAATACACACGCGTAGTGTGGATGCAAAATCTAGTTTCAGATAAAGATTGATATGTTTGGCAAGAAAAAGGTTTGATATATGAGAAAAGAGGAAAGTAATTAGTCAATCAAATTTTCTTATATCTGTTGGGCTCGGCACTTCTATAACGATGGTATGTAGTACAGTTTTTGTTATGAGATTTCTTTTAATCGGTTCATAACTCCGGTTTGAATTGGACACCATAGCCGGTTTAGATCTGAATGAAAATTTTATTTACATAGTATAAACATTTTAATGATCATGTTATCATCATTAATTATTTAATTCATCATCACCTACAAATCTGTATGTGCAAGAAGATCAAAATGGACATGCAATACAATTAGGGGTCCCCTTTTAACAAAATGTCAGACCTAATCCTGACCCTTACTTATTACATTTAATACACTATTAAATACAAATATTTACTACACTAACAATTATTGCAAACCATTTAATGGTTTTTTCAGTGTCCACGTTATCATCTGCAATAACACTCCCTAATAATTGGGCGTTACATTAATATATCAAATACAAAAATCTGTCTTAATCTCCTTTTCACTACACTAACTCATTATGATTAACTTTTAATTATGAATTAAGTAATTCTCAGCCTCCATTGTACTTCACAAGCTTGTGGTAGACAAATCTCTCCAGCGCAGCCCTTACTATTGTAAATACGTGGCTTAAACGTTACTTCACATATCACTACTACTCAAGATAAAAAAAGATGAAGGTTCAAAAAAAAAAGATAAAAAAAGATGACATTAACAAATTAACGATGGCCAAAGTATAGCAACAGTTTGTAATAATTATATTAATTGACGCAAACCAATATTTTCGGTCCTCCTCCGAAACAAGTGTTTGGTCCATGCTGCAAGAAAAGAAATACAGTAAATGAATTTTGGTCCATGCCGCGAGAGATAACATTCAGATCCCAAGTCTAAACTCTTTTTTTTTTGGATAAAGATCCCAAGTCTAAACTCTCGCTGTCAAGTCTTTTCCAGACCAAAATAACGTTAATTAGAATTTGTATATATGACCATTAATTTTTTTCGTTTTGTGTTTTTGATTAAGTTCATTGTCATTTTAAATGTGTTTCCAAGAGATTACAAATATGTTAAAATTTCAGTGATTTTTGATTAATTATGATTTCGGATTAAACTGCGTGTTTTATATGCAAATTTACACAAATAGAATACAATATTTATAATTGAAAAAAATGACATTTAATTTGAAATGGAATAAGCATATGTTAGTGTTGCTTGAAAATTCAAGTTAAGTCTCAAATAAATCTGCTAAAGTACATGCTGAATGTCCATTGTTTTTCTTTTTCTGTGTTTTACAAAGAAAAACTTTATAGAGTTTTGACATGTAATAAATTGTCAATAATGTCAACTATATCCTTTGAATTTAGTTATTGCTCTTGAGAACTATATATAACTTTGTAACTAAACGATGGTTATTCGATAGAGTTATACTTGTAAATAAAATCTAACTTTGCATAAGAATTTTTAAAACATATCTATTGATCACTATCTATATAAAGCAAAATTCTAAACCTAAAATATATATGTTTAAGAAACTTAATTAGGGAGTATCGAATTATCGTGGAACAGATATCAATTCGAGTTGAAAATCTTGGTGATGTATAATAAAAGTTGAGATGTATGTTCAAGCACATTTAAAACATATGTTCCCATCCCCCTTTGACGTGATTATTCAATAGCCACTAAATGAACAGTGCCAAATTTTATTTAAATAATATTACCAATATTTAATCCCAACTACTCATATCTTAATGGAGATTTTAATTAAAATTAAGTTCTTCGAGATCAGTCACTACCTGTCATCACATCTGTCCTATTAAAGAGGAAGAAGAAAAAGTTGAAGAAATCTTGGAGACAAGTATAAAGAGTCTCATCATGAGCAAGAAAGTCACAAATCAAACTCTAAGATTATCTTCTTACCAAGAAAATATGGATTTTGTTCCTTCAATGTTTATGCCTGATTCTACCGACGAAGATGGATTACTATTTTCTGATTCTTTTGTTCTTTCGCCGATTATGTCATACCAAAACTATGATGATTGCAATCCTATCACAGACAAAAATGGCGGAAGCAACAAGAAAAGAAGTTTATGTGAAGACAACAAAGGGAATGATGATCGAGAAGTCAAGAAGATGAAACACAGAGACACTGAAAGGCAAAGAAGAATAGAAGTTTCATCTCTTTTCAAAAGTCTAAGATCTCTCTTGCCATTTCAATATATCCAGGTAATTATCTATAAGATCTTTTATCTGATTATCTTAATAACTATTTCACATCTTTAATCCATTATATTCCTTACATACTGATTAAGAAACAATTTTCTTTATTACGTGCGACGGAAAGCGACTTACGCAGTTTTTTTTATTACTAAAATGAAATGTAGACTGTTGTAGATTTTACTAAAATAAATACGTCCATTTATTTTTTAAATTTATACATATTTAAATCCTTCATATACCTATAAGTTTATATCTTAGCTACATTAAATTAATTGGTATAATTTTTTCACACTAGTAAACTTATAATATTTAGTTAAATTAATTCATATATTTGTATAACTATTTTTGCAGGTAGTTTAAAGATGAAAAGTTAAATGAAATTTGTATACTTAGTTAAAGTGAATTTACTTGAATTCGAATCTGACGATAATGAAACATCCCACTAACTAATATATTTTTTTCCTCAACACTAACTATTCTAACTACACTCTTGAATCAAATAATTAGTAGTAGTTACTATACAAATGACCATATCGTTTTTTTTATCTATGAAAATGACCATATCGTTTAATATGCAGGGTAAACGCGCGACAGCAGATCACGTTTGCCAAGCAGTGAACTATATCAAAGACTTAGAAAAAAGGATCAAAGAACTCAACGAAAAGAGAAATCGGATACAAAAATCCGTACGGGGCACAGTTACAATTCATCCATATACGGAGGAATGCACAAGTAGCAGTTTATCAACATCATCATTATCAACATCATCATCGAGATGTTCATGTATAGATGACAAACACATGACGGTTGTGATCATACCTTGTTTGGTCGGTGTTGAGATCATCATAAGTTGTTGTCTCGGACGAAAGAAGTCTTGTCTTTCGAGTGTTCTTCAAATCTTGACTCAAGAAGTAAGGCTTAGTGTAGTTAGTTGCCTCTCAACTAGGGTGCAACAGAGATTCATGCACACCATTGTTTCTCAGGTAAACTTATCACTTCGAAATTATTAAGAGAAATAAGTTATGAAAACATTAATCTTCAACGAAAATAACATATAAGTTCCCTAGTATTTCTTATAGTATCTTTCTATATTCTAAAATTCATATATAAACTATACACATGCTACAATAGTAATTTTAATTAGTAAAAGTCACTAGGCTATGACCATAAATCTTGACTTTTATTATAAAAATAAGTAATTGCAATATATCATGGTTTCAAATTTTCAGGTCGACGATGGAATAAAGATCAATATTTCGGAGCTTAAAGATAAAATACTGAATATGTAGCCATACAAGGAATTTATCAAGTATTATGATTTTTCGTCATTTGAATATGGAGTTTTACTAAACTCTAATGTATATTTTATTTGAGCTTTTAGCTACTAAGATCATATTGTTTTAGTGTTGAGTGCTTAGAGCTACAGTTACAAATTGCTATTTATCTTATCATTATATAATCTTTTTTATATCAAAATAAATATCATTTTGATACCTTTTAATTTATTCAATACTAGATTTTATCATATGCATCTGCACGAGAATTTTATCAAATTTTATAATATAATTTATGTTTTCTTTATAGATATAATTTTTTAATCAAAGATTTTTTTTTTTGTTTATATATATTGTATTTAATTTTTTTTTGTATTATTGTGACCGCGATCATAAAACATAATTATAATCCGTTCATTCTATTAATCGAAAAAGTACAGTTATTAAAAAATATAATTCTAACTCATTCATTCTATTAATCTAAAATGACTGGTTATAAAAACATAATTCTAACTATTCCGTTCATATTACTATATAATATAAATATTTACTAATTTTAAAATAATTTTTAGTTTAATATATTGCATATTTTGATAACTTAACTCACATAAGACCACAATTATCAAAAAAACCTAACATATCCCATCAAGTTATTATATAACATAAATATTTATCAATTTTCAATATGTAAAATTTTCGACTGATTGATTATGATTAAAAAACTATAATAACATATTCGTTAATCACATGTGTTATTATAAAAATATTATTTAAATTTTAAATGTTAAATTAATTCTAAACTATATTTAAAGAAGTCTAAAGTAATTTAATTTAATATCTAACTTCTTAGATTTAAATTAAATTGCATTTTTAAATATTTAAATTTTTAAATTAAGTATAACATATATTAAAGAAATCTTTAGTTATCTAAATTGATATCTAATTTTTCGAAATTAGTTTTATATATAAAAAATTTGTTTTTAAAAAATAATATCGCAACAAAATAAAATAATTTTAAAATAATTTTCAAATAATTATTTAAAAAAACTTTAGGAGTGTTTGGATGCAAGCAATAAAAGTGCTTTTGTTTTAATATAATAGATTTTGACATTTTTGAGATACACTAAAATCTGTTCATACAAAAATAAACTAATTAGAAAGCACTTTTCAATGACTTGTATCAATGTATATATATATATATATATATATAATTTATGCAATTACAATAAGGATCTAAAAGAATAAATTAGGCAACATGTAAGACGTCTATAATTATTTTAAGATGTTGAGAAACATTCCTCAAAATCTCGTTTACTCCCCTCAAGGTGGACAGATAAATTATATGTATGTGCGAGCAGTCCAATCTTATCCAAAAGAGGAGTGAGACGTGAGTCAAGCATCGACTAAGGTAAGAACATTGGCAAAGAGGTCGATGGAAGCAACATGGGAGATTCTGAGAACACCATAAAGTAAAAAATTACATTAAAAAAATTTAGTGGGCTTAAAAAGTAAAAATCAAAGCAGAACATGAAATAACGAAAGACTGATACATAATCCAATAAAATAAATAAGAGGCTTAGAAAAAAATTCCAAAATTGTCAATAAGGTTAACATATTTTCTCTCAAATCTTAAAAACTCAAAAACTGAATAGAATAATCGATTTGCCTCTCCCTAAGGTATATAAATCATAGAAATCGAATTGGATGGTATCTAGAGCAAAATATATAGATTTGGGCTGAAAATCAGCGTCTGGTCATTGGACTAATCAGTCCTAACTTTTCATCGGTTTATCCGCGTGAAACCATTGTGGACCGATCGGTATTGACTCAGCTTCTATCATCATTCACAAGACACATTGCCTTGTTTGCACGAGAATTGACATAATATTTGGTCATACTGTTGGATTAATGATCTCAAATCACCTTCAAATAAAATACTATCTTTTATCAAATTTAAACTTGATTCATCGGTTGGAAGTTTTAAAAAGTATCAAATCTCTTACAGTTCTACACGATCCTACAATAGTACAATCCATGTTTGAATTAAAATTAAGATACTTATGCAAGCTCTTTTCATATCCAAATGGTCATTTTGTACCCAAAATAGTTATTTTTCTCCAAATAATTTAAACCTATAGAAACTCCACTACAAAGAATTTAAAGTCTCTAAAAGCATAATTTGACTCGATAAAATATTTTTAAACAATGTTTAAAAGTAAAACACAATTTCTCACCTTTTTAGTAGGAATTGTACTTAGGGGAGCGAGTTGACGCCTTATCATAAGTTTTTTTAACCACCAAAACTACTATCACTTGATTATGTATGGAAAATTTGCCAAAACATAGTGTATCATAATATATATATTTTTATCAGTACAAAAGGAGGTAAACCAAAAACATAAGAATAATATATAAGTGAAGTGCTATGTTATTCTACTAACCCATTGGTACACTTTGGCCTAAACAAAACAATATTAAAGTCAAGATAGATTAAATAATTAGAATGCTAAGGGAGGCGCAGACCAAACAAACATGAATGCACGTCTATTCCTCACTTGCTGATACACTTCTTTTCTTAGTGTGTCTCACGTTGACACCAATTTTTTTGCCTTTCATTTTAGCCAAACAAATGTAAGCCATTCTATTGTATATATTCATTATATATATGAGAGAGATGTTACAATTTTAGGACTTGGCTTATCAGAGAGAAACAAGAGTAGGAGCCCTCAAAGAGAGAAATAAAAAAAAATGGATCAAAGTTTGTATCGTAAGTGCTTGGTTATTTTGTTGGCGATGGCGATGTTCGGAACATCAACGGCGTATTATCGCGGGTCCGTGTGGCGCCGGGGTTCGGCCACTTTCTATGGCGACGAGACTGCTAGCGCAACTATGGGTATAATTCAAATACTTTCTATGTTTTAATCTATGTACGTAGAACACGGTCTATATTACATAGTAAGATCACGTATCAATATAAGATTAACGTCACTACTAATTTTAACACAAATTATCTTAATTATAAGCTTAAGATTGTATGGAGGAAGAAATCTACTTATTAGGTTTAAATTACAATCATATTTTTACTATATAGTAATTTCAAAAATTTAATCATTTCAAAACAATAAATTTGCTTTAATAGACCGTTAAAACGAAACTTATCTATAGTTAAACAAATTTTTACTTATTTATCTACATTTTCACTTTGAAGCCGCATTAATTTCTTAAAATAATATCAGAATGTAAGAACAATTTAAATTTGACAACTTAACATAAAAAAAAAAAAAACAAGGAAGGATAAACATGAAAATGTATGTACATATAGAAGTTATCATTAAAATGTAATAGACAATTTTTGTTGGCTTGACCATGTTATATATTACGTCGATCAGGTGGGGCTTGTGGCTACGGCAACCTATGGGACAGCGGCTACGGCGCGGCCACGACGGCACTAAGCACAGTGCTGTTCAACGATGGTTATTCTTGCGGTCAATGTTTCCAAATACGGTGCGTGTCCTCGCCTAACTGCTACTACCGTTCACCAGCCACCGTGGTGACTGCAACCAACATATGTCCACCCAATTGGGGCCAAAACTCCAACAATGGTGGCTGGTGTAATCCGCCACGTGCCCATTTTGATTTAGCTAAACCGGCTTTCATGAAAATCGCTAATTGGAAGGCTGGTATCGTCCCCGTCTCATACCGGAGGTAAACCACCACAACCTTACATTACAAGTATATATATATATGCATAAGATATTACAATTCTCTAGTTTCTCTTTAATCTTTTTCTTACATTTGTTTTATAACAATACATGCAGAGTGGCATGCAGAAGGATGGGAGGAATCAGGTTCAAATTTGAAGGAAATGGATATTGGCTACTTGTGTACGTAATGAACGTGGGTGGTGCTGGTGATATCAAGTCAATGGCTGTTAAAGGTAGCCGCACGAACTGGATCAACATGAGCCATAATTGGGGAGCTTCGTACCAAGCTTTCTCTTCTCTCTATGGTCAATCTCTCTCGTTCCGAGTCACTTCTTACACAACTCGTCAGACCATTTATGCTTGGAATGCTGCTCCGGCTAGCTGGAGCGCAGGCAAGACTTACAAGAGCAGAGCTAATTTTAGCTGATTATTTGATTGAAAAAGAAAAGGAAAACCGTTCTTGCCCTTTGTTCTTGAGGCAAATCGACCGAGAGGCTACTTTTTTTAATAACTCGGTTTGATTATATATATTAGTACTTAATTCTTGTCTATTTTTATTTTTTGTCCATCATTGGTTCTTGAGAAAAGGATATATCTCCTTCGTTTGCTTCAACGAGACAAATTGTAGACTTTTACGTGTTTAATTTTTGTTTCATTTTAATTTAGAATTGATGAGAGCAACAAAGACTAGCTAATTCAAGAGTTATCAACCAATATGACGGTTTTTTTTCGTAATCTTTCTGTTATGTACATTATTACTACTGCTTAATCTATAACTAGATTCTATCACGTGCATCCGCACGGGAACTATTTTTAATTCATCAAATTTTGTAATATAATTTATATTTTTGTTTTTTATAAATAATTTTCTAATGAATGATAAATATTTTTTTTGTTTATATATATTATATTTCTATTAATTTATTATTTCTAATATATATATGACTGCGATTAGAGAAATATTATTTTAATTCATCCGTTTATATTAATTCAATAGGTATAATAATTATAAAAATGTTATTATAATATGTACATTAATATTAATCCGAAAAAGATCATAGTTATTGAAATATAATTATAACTCATTCATTTATATTATTTATATTATTTATATTTTTTAAGTTTGAATATTAAAAATTTTAGACTTATTCACTACAAAAAAGTGTGTATTAAATCACTTATTTAAAATATTTGTATTACTTATAAATTTATAAAAATGACTCTGAATGTGGTGATGCAAATAATTTACATCAATTTTTTTGTAATTGATGTTAATATATGTCAGTTGCAAAAACTGATGTTAACTTTTAAATCAATTAATATAAATGATGTTAGTATTTGTAACATATGTTATAATTGATGTTAAATATTTGTATTAGTTATAATAAATTGATGTTATAATTAATATCAATTTTCATAAATGATTCTAATAATATATTTGTAAGAAATAATTGTTTGATTAACGAAAAAATATTGTTTCAATTTTTTTCTTTATAAAAAAATCTTTTCCATTATCCATATCACGATCAATTTTTTTGTTTTGAAAAGATTTTTATTACTACATCATGATCAATTTTTTCATTTACAAATATGAGAAAAAAATCATAAACAAAAATCAGTTACTATAGACTTCATCTTTTTTACAATAAAAAAAAACTAAAGATAAAAACTAAGATCTTAATCGAAATAAAATTCCTCCATCTATCTTCATTCCCTTGCCTCTGTTCCTTCATCTTACAATCAATACTTCTTGTATGCTCTATTTCATCTACTTGTAGTATAACGATTATAAGTTACTCATGAGTAGATATCCTGAAAAGGTTTCATTCTACAAAATTTAGAATAAAGTAAAAAAATAATAAGAAATCTCTTAAAAAATCATTGATAATATTTGTTTGAGTTACATTAGAACAACCAATAGCATAAAGTGTTAGAGTACCTTTATTTTCTTTCTCCAGGCCATGTAGGAAACACACACGATCATCTCAGCATCGATTTTGGAGTTCACTATATCTGCATCGATAAAAAAAATTGTGCATAACAACAAAATTAAAATTGAAAAACTATGAGAGTTATCAGTCATCTGATTTCAAAAACTGGTGTTTTCCTTAGATAATATAGCAAGAAGGATTGTGGGTGGAAGAAGAGCGATTGTGGGCGTAGAAAGAGGAATGTGGGTGAGTAAAAAAAATCTAATTAGTTAGATTGTGAGACAAAGTATGAGATATCACTATATTTTTGGGAGCAAATATATATCTATTTCTTTTAACGGCACCATCATTTTCTAAAACAGTAAAGGTAATAAATGTGAAATTAATAACTAATTATTTGATTGATTGAGAAAATCTGGCACATTAAACTGATTTTCCTTTTTTCTTTCCAACTAACTTTTTTTGTTTAATTAATATTTGTACGTTCATTATATTGTTTTTTTGTCAGAAGTTCATTATATTATTTAGTCAATACTTATTATCAACTGCAATTTTATTGATTCAAGATGTTGAATTTTTTATTTTAAAAAAGTTATGCTTTCCAGACGTTAAAAAAAAAAGTTATGCTTTCCATATATATATTTAATCCATTCAAAGACGTTGATGAGTTATTTATCAAGGAAAATTTTTATACAATTTTTGTTTCATTTAAAATATAGGATAGCTGGTAAATATATTGATATTTTAGTTATAAATTTATATGTTCGATGTTGAATGTCTTAACTCAAAATAAGGTAGGATCGGATCAGATTTATTCAAAATAAAAAGGAAATTTGAAAAAGAAATATTGATTTTTGAATAGAAACTATGTTGACATCATTTTATTATTGATGCCAACTTTGCATCTTTTACTTAATTGATTTATATCTTGTATCATTTTTTTAACTGATCTTAACACAAATTAGTAAATACATCGATTATTTAAGTGATGAAAATTCATATTTTGTATCAGTTTTTTTTAAATGATGTAACCTATCTTAGATTTGTATCAATTTTATTCAAGTGATATCAAATAAATAAAGAACAGCATCAATTATTATAACTGATGTTAAATCATAAATTTTATATCATTTACTAATAAGTAATTTAATTTAAAATCATTTAGTTTAATAATACAAATTAACTGATACAATATGCTCATTTTTTTGTAGTGATTTAATAAAAATATACAGTAATATATTATTTTTATTTTTGTCATTGAAATATTACTTAAATTTGAATATGTAAGTTAGATCTAAATTGATATCATATATTTTTGTAAAAATATAATAAGAACTTATTTTATAATTTTTGATAAATAATATAACTTAAATTAAAGAAAATCTATAACAAATCATTCAAATTCAAATTTTCGAATTTATTTTAAAATATAAATTAAAAATATATTATTTTATTAATATTATATTAAATTAACTTGTTTGGTAACATAAACAGAAATTATCCAAACATAGAATAGTAGAAAACTAATTAAAACATATTTGGACACAACATACCTTTCTCTTTTAATAGTATAGATAGTATTACTTTTATGATTTATCTTGCATGATCTTCTATTTAATTAACTACTGAATTACTTCGTTGAAAAAGGAAAAAAACTATTGAATTACTTTGATCATGCCCCGGAAACCGATCAGAAGTATATAAGACTAAAACATACAACTTTGACGAATGTTTAGTCATCCACAAAATAAAAATATATACTCAAGTGTGTTTTTCTTTTACTTCAAAAATATTTATTCATTAAATATGTAGACGTACACTTTACTCAAAACAGTTTCACGCCTTCTTTAGTTTCATATCCAAAAAAAAATCATATTGGTTAGCATATGAACATATATTCATATAATCATAAAGATATCTATACATATATAAAAGCAAACCTTTCCCTTCAATTCAAAGCCTTCATCGAGCTAAAGAAAATTTTACATGTTATGATCAACTAAATTAATGTCGTCCTCTTCACTTCTTCTTATCAACTTCTCTCAACAAACAACAAACGAGAACAAAAAAACTCAATCAAGTCCCGAAAATGGCAACAACTACAACACTCTATTTTCCCTCTCTTCCATTAATACTAATAATTATAGTATTCACATTTCTTTCTTCTCATCTAGAAGGCTCTACCTCTACTACTCAAGAACCTTTCAACGAATCTTCAAGACTTCTTGATCTCATTCTAAGAGACTACACACTCAACTCCTTCAAGAACCAACATAACTCAATCAAGACAGGCCTTCTTCGTCGTGTTCATCTTCCTTCTAACTACTCCGGCGTAAAACTTGACGCCGTTAGGTTCCGGTGTGGGAGTCTCAGACGATATGGAGCTCAGATCAAAGAGTTCCATATCGGTGTTGGAGCGATTCTTGAGCCGTGTGGAGAACGTCTTGTGGTAGTGAGACAAATCTTGGAATCAAATTGGTCTGATATATATTACAAGAACTATGATCTCTCTGGTTATAGACTAGTCTCTCCGGTTCTTGGGCTATTAGCTTACAATGCGTTAAACGACGTTGTTTTGGGGAACAATGTGAGCAGTTCTTATCAAATAAGTCTCCTCTTAGACGGTGCTAAAGATCTGTCCACCGTTGATTTCGGAAATGTTTCTGGACCATCGATGGTAGAGAGAACGTTCTTGAATAAGCCAATATGTGTTACTTTTGGTCTCGACGGAAAAGTAACGTTTGCCGGAGAAGTAAAGCCGTTTGTCTGCGCCGTTAAAACTAACGGACATTTTGGATTAGTGGTGAAGGATGATCATGCGTCGACTAACTCGAACGGTGGAGGAGAAAAGGATATGAAGAAGGAGAAGATCGGACGGTGGAGATCGGTTGTTGGAGGGCTTGTTGGGTCAGTGACGGTGGGTGTGGTGCTTTTAGGGCTGGTGGTTGCGGCGGCTGTGGTGGCGGCGAAGAAGAAGAGGAGAAGGGCAAAAATGGAAGAGATGGAGAGAATAGCTTATGAAGAAGAAGCTCTTAGAGTAGTGTCAATGGTGGGTCATTCTAGGGTTTTCATTGCTTCTGCTTCAAGGACTTTGCCGGGTTTCATGGAACATGAGTGTGTTCCTAATTAATTTACGTTTATTTCGCTTTTTGGATTGTTTTTTTTGTTTTTTTCTTGTAAAAAGGTTTGACTTGAAAGTATGTTTGGAGTTTGTGGACATATATCAGAGACAGAGTAAGTACCTGAAACCAGAGACCAATCAAGAACATAACAAATCATGAATCACCCAAACTGCCATTAACTTCTGTTATATATAAAAATCAATCAATACAAAAGCAACATCAAACATTGATTTACCTCACAGATGTTGCTATTGTTACAGGAATCGCCTTCAGCTACCCATCGTTTCTTTACTCGCTTTCAATAATTACCGGTTATCTCGGTTAAGTCGGTTTTAATTACATTTCGCTTTAGTTTTCAAGTTTGTTTTTGGTTCAAGAGTCATGTGCTGTAGCTGTGCCTCACGTCACACTATTTGTACTGCATTTTAGCTTTTTGGAATGGTTAATAGAATAGCATCTTTCTTCTTCTCTGTCCTTTATCTCTGATGCCATTAAAGCAAATCACCAACGAATCTTGGTACTTAGAGGTGGTCCTTCTACATTTGTACCTCCTCCTAGTCCTAGTATTCACCTAATCTTCAGAATCTCGGTGATTCTTTAGATCGGGGATTATCTCTTTATTTTTACTGTTTCATTGGTATCAGAGCTTTCCAATCCTTGGATCTACGAAATGGGGATGGAAACCCGTCAACAGGAAAAGCAAGCTAAGCTAGCTCTCGCCGAGCAAGCTGAGGAGTTGTGACTACAACAAGAGAAGAAGCTCGAGGAGCAACAGACCCGAACTAATTCTCTGGAAGAACGCTTTGAGAAGCTGGAATCGATGATCAGCTCCTTTTTCTCTCGCGATGGATCATCGGCGCGACAAGAGCAAAACCAGGGATCCTGCTCTGCACCTCCAGTTGGAGCCCATTCTCAAGGGGTGATCCAGTTACCAGATCCGCCAGATCTGAGTGGGGTGGAGCAAAGAGCGCATGGGAAGGGGATCGCACCTCCGGTTGGAATCCTCTCTCCGAGGATGGTCCAGTTACCAGTCCCGACGGGACTGAGTGGGGTCGATCACCTCAACATCGGAAGAAGCGAAGCGCCTCCAGTTGGAGTCTCCTACCCGGAGATGTTCCAGTCACCAGCTCCCTCCAACGAGCTGAGTGGGGCCGATCGATCTTCGATGTTGCCCAACGGCTTGGCGTCAAGGTTAACGAAGATGGGTTTTCCAAGCTTCGACGGATCCGATCTGCGTGGTTGGGTTTTCCGATGCGAGCAATTCTTCGATCTTGACGGTACGCCGTTAGATCTGAAAGTGCGACTCGCGGCTTTGCATCTGACAGGGATAGCCCTCGAATGGCACCGCAACTTCATCGCGGAAAGCTATGGAGTCATTCCCTCTTGGACAGAGTATGTCATGGCCATTTCCTCTCGGTTTGCTGCACTGTATGATGATCCAATGTCCGATCTGGTGAGCCTGAAGCAGGGAAGCGACTCACTATCCGACTTTCACGAGAAGTTTGAACGCCTTCGCTCGAGAGTGACAATACCAGCGCATCATGCCCTCAGTATCTTTCTCTCCAATATGAACCCACACCTAGCGTTTCACACCAGGCAGTTCAATGTCAAAACGGTCGCCGAGGCAGCTCGCATAGCCAAGCTTCATGAATCATCGCTCAACCACACACCGATGAGACATGTTAAAGCTCCCTTCAATCCATTTCCGAGGAGTAATAACCAGTTTCACTCCAAACCCTCAGCTCCTCTTCTACCATCTCTGGAGGCTACTAAACAGATCTCACTCAAATCATCTTTCCCAGCGAAATCGAGTAACGAAAAGAGGCCAAAGATGTTCAGTTATGAGGAGATGCAGGAGCGTCGCTCAAAGGGTCTGTGTATGTTCTGTGAAGATCCCTATACACCAGGACATCACCTGAAACATAGGTGTTCCCAAGTCTACTTTTTGGAGGTAGAGGACGACCCAGCTTCCGATGATGATGAGTTCCTGGAGTTCCCAGTTGCCGAGTCCACACCTATTGAAGGCCCTAATGAGCCCAATGGCGAGAACGCCTTGTCCATTTCCATTCATGCACTTGATGGGTCTGCATCCTTCAAATGTATGAGCGTGATTGGGCAGTACAACAAGAGGAAGCTCTACATTCTGATCGACCCTGGCAGCACTCACAACTTCATCGATCTATCCATTGCCAAGGAGTTGGGATGTAAGTTGGATAACATCAGGCCAATGCCAGTTTCAGGTGCATTAGGAGGTCGAATACGCACCACATTCATCTGCAAGGACTTCTCCTGGAGGGTTCAGGGGTACAGTTACTCTTCTGAGGTTCGAACTTTGCCATTGGATTCGTGTGATCTTGTTTTGGGGGTTCAGTGGTTAAGCACTCTCGGTCCCATCTTGTGGGATTTCCTCAACCTGCGGATGGAGTTTAATCTCAATGGGGTGAAGAATGTTCTGCGGGGAGTCACTAAATCTGGATGCAAGACGATAAAGGGGGATCGCCTTAATAAGCTTCTCCTTCAGGGTCCTCAAATAGCCCTACTTCACATTCGAGACATGGAGGAGGATTCCGATACCTCGCCTTTCCTTCCAGAAGCTATGTTCTCACATATCTCCACAACCGGAGATGATAAATGCGACGATCCTGAGATGCAAGCTCTACTGAGCTCGTTCGCTGACCTCTTCGACGAGCCAACCGAGCTCCCTCCCTTTCGGGAAGGATTTGATCACAAGATACCCGTGGTAACCGGCTCGAATCCCATCAGTCAACGCCCTTACCGCTATTCATCACTACAGAAGGAAGTCATAGACAAAATGGTTAAGGAGATGCTCACACAGGGGATCATCCAATATAGTTCAAGCCCCTACGCGTCCCCCATCGTCCTCGTCAAGAAGAAAGACGGTTCGTGGCGCCTTTGTGTTGATTACCGGGGGTTGAATAAGCAAACCATCAAAGATAAATACCCGATTCCTTTGCTGGAGGATCTCCTCGACGAGCTCGGGGGAGCACTGTTCTTTTCGAAGCTCGACTTACGCTCCGGTTTCCACCAGCTGCGAATGTCTCCCGATGATATCTTCAAAACGGCTTTCAAGACGCACGCCGGTCACTACGAATACCTTGTGATGCCCTTCGGGCTTTCCAACGCGCCGTGTACCTTTCAGAGTCTCATGAACCACGTCTTCCGCGATATATCCAGAAAGTACCTGCTTGTATTTTTCGACGATATACTGGTCTACAGTACGTCGTGGGAGCTTCATCTTCAGCACCTTTCCTCAGTCTTCACCATCCTCCGGGAGCAGAAGTTGTTCCTCAAACCCTCGAAGTGTACCTTCGGTGCTACAATCATCGAATATCTTGGCCACTTCATCTCGGTCGAAGGAGTCAGCACCGATCCAAAGAAGATCGAAGCAATACAACACTGGCCTGCGCCTAAGTCCCAGAAGCAACTGCGAAGCTTTCTCGGATTGGCCAACTACTACTGCCGGTTCATCAGGGGCTACAGTATCATCGCTAAACCGCTCTCCAACCTCCTCAAAAAGGAAGGATTCTCTTGGTCCGATGATGCTCAAGCGGCATTTGATTGTCTTAAAGCTGCTCTGGTTTCGTCTCCGACCCTGGCCCTTCCAGACTTTGAGAAAACGTTCATTGTTGAAACAGATGCCTCCAATACGGGCATTGGAGCGGTGTTGATGCAGGATCATCACCCAATCTGTTTTATCAGCCGAGCATTAGGCCCCCGTCATCAATCGCTCTCTGTCTACGAGAAGGAGCTGCTTGCTGTAGTACACGCGGTGCATACCTGGAATGCCTATCTGGAACACCGACCATTCATCATCAAGACCGATCAGAAGAGTATCAAGTACCTTCTCGATCAGAAGGTGTCAACCCCATTCCAACACATGTGGTTATCCAAATTGATGGGTTATACATTTGAAATCCATTACAAGCAGGGTAAAGAAAACGTCGCGGCGGATGCGCTTTCCCGTGTCACCGGTTCACAGCTCCTCCATATCTCACTATCAGCTTCCGATCTGGAGCTCTTCAACTCCATCTCTTCCCTCTGGCAAACAGACCCTTTGCTTCAGCGCATCATCCAGGAGCTGCAAACCAACAGGGTTTCTCATCCGACTTTCTCCTACACGAATGGGGAACTTCGCCGGAAGGGTAAGCTGGTCATCGGTAATAGCCCCTCTCTCAAACTTCAGATATTCAAGTGGTTGCATGATTCTCCAACTGGTGGACACTCTGGACGCGATGCCACACTCCGCCGCCTCAAATCACTCTTCTACTGGCCTAAAATGGCCGATGAGGCTCAGGCGTACATACAGAACTGTTCAGTTTGTCAGAAGAATAAGTATGATTTCGCGGCAAAGCCGAGTTTACTCCAACCCCTCCCCATTCCAAGCAGCATCTGGGAATCCGTCAGTCTAGACTTCATCGAAGGCCTTCCTCCTTCATCAAAGAAACACTGCATTCTGGTTGTGGTAGATCGACTGAGTAAAAACGCTCACTTCATCGCTCTCTCACATCCCTACACAGCTTTGGATGTCGCCACCGCTTATCTGAACAACGTCTTTAAGCTCCACGGCATGCCCAAGGATATTGTGAGTGATCGAGATCCGACCTTCCTGAGCACGGTGTGGGCTGAGCTCTTCCGCGTCCACGGCGTCGAACTGAAGTACTCCACCTCCTACCACCCACAAACCGACGGCCAGACGGAGGTTACGAACAGAACACTGGAGACTTACCTTCGCTGCATGACGGCTGATGCTCCTCACACCTGGAGTGAGTGGTTACCCTTGGCCGAATGGTGGTATAACACCTCCTTCCATTCAGCGACGCAGTGCACCCCTTACGAGGCAGTCTATGGCCAACCCCCTCCTATTCATTTACCTTATCTCCCTGGTGAAAGTTCATCTGATACGGTTGACCGCACTTTACGCTCGCGTGAAGAGATCATTTCGATGCTGAAGTTTCACCTCATCCGAGCACAGAATCGTATGAAGCAATAGGCTGACTCACATCGCTCCCAGCGTGAGTTTAAGATAGGGGACTTCGTTTGCCTCAAGCTCCAACCCTATCGCCAGCA